CTATGCCTTCTTCGATCCTCGAAGTGGTCCCTGTTTCAAGAAGATTTGATTACAAGAGGATTACACAATCAGTTCTGAAGAAGCCTTGAAGACTTCTGCCGCTCTTCACGTCTGAGAGAGATGTCGCACTGCTCCACTCGACCAGCGTCTCGGTCTTCTGGACGACCGGCTCAAGAATTTCAATGCTCCATAAGCGGCTCCATCTATGCCCAACATGGAAGGTAGCCACTTGACCAAGGGAATTATGACACAATATGAACACGGCCAAGTTCCGAAATCAGGAGGGTGCGGAACAGGCCACACCGACAGCAGGACGAGAAGGAAGGCAGATTAAATACTTTCGAAGTCCTATAACATAGAGGCAAACAAACTGTCCAGATTAACTTTTGTGCCGTTGTGAACAATAATGCGGTTCCTACGTGAGGCAGCTTTGATTGCTGCTGCAGGAAGCTTGGCCTCCGCGTCCAGCTTCAAGAATGGATACTACGACTACATCGTCGTCGGAGGCGGGCCTTCCGGTATTATCAGCGCCGAAAGATTCGTCGAGGCAGGCAAGAAGGTCCTGCTCCTTGAGCGAGGCACTGGGCCAACTGTTGCAACCGGTGCCAATGATACCCTTTCCTGGAGCAACGAGTTGACGCCGATTGATCTCCCCGGTCTATCCGCTGATCTCGGTGCCCTTCCTGAGTGGAATGAGTACATGTGCTCTGACACTGGAGGCTATGCTGCTTGCGTTCTCGGCGGTGGCACGACGGTGAACTACATGGTCTTCGTGCACCCTCCCGAGCACGACTTTGACGACAACAACAACTGGCCGGCGGGATGGAAGTGGAGGGATATCAAGCCTGCTGCAGAGAGGCTCTACAAGCGGAACCCTGGCACGATCTTGCCTTCGACTGATGGCAAGCGCTATGATCAGGGTGCCTACACCGTTCTCTCCAGGTTCTTCAACAAGCTCGGCTGGAAGTCGGTTGATATGATCTCTCAGCCCAATGAGAAGCACCAGGTTTACAGCTATCCTTCGTGGAACATTAAGGATTTGGTTCGTGCTGGCCCAATTCGCACTTATCTGCCCATTGCCCAGAAGAGCAAGAACTTCGACCTACACTTGGGTGTTAAGGTGCTCCGCGTCGTGCGTGAGGGCTCCCGGGTTACTGGAATTGAAGTGCAGAACAGCTCTGGCAAGACCGAGATCATCACCCTTGCCCGTAAAGGCCGTGTTGTCCTCGCTGCCGGTGCACTCTCCACTCCTCGTCTGCTCTTCAACTCTGGCATTGGCCCCAAAACCCAGATCGAGACGGCCAAGAAGAGTGGCATCGCTGTTCCCGCCGAGAAGGATTGGATCAACCTTCCTGTCGGTCTAGGAATTAAGGATCACCCGATCTTCACCGTGACCGTCCAGACTAACGGTGACTTTGGCATTCCCGACTACGACAGCATCGTCAATGGCAGTGATACTGCCGACATCAGCCTCTACAAGCAGGGCCGCGGCCTTCTCACCCAGGGCAAGCATCGCATGATCTTCTTCAGCTCCAACGAGTTGAACGGTCACACTCGGTACTACCAAGGCTCTTGTGCCCCTGCCGAAGGCTCCGTTGTTCAGATCAAGGTCTACATGACCCACGGTCTTACCTCTTCCGGAGTCCTCGGTCTCGACTCGAAGCAGAACACCGTCATCGAGCAGTCTCCCTACATGCAGACCGCAGGTGATCGCCAAGCTATGCGTTCTTTCATCCAGCAGCTGGTCAACGACATCAACGCCCCGTCTTCCGGCTTCGAACTGATCCAGAGCTTGAACACTTCTGCTATCCTGGCCTCGCCGACCCCCGGCGACCACTACGCCTCTTCTGCCAAGATGGGCACTGACGATGGCCGCAAGAACGGTACTTCTGTCGTGGACACTAACGCCAAGGTCTACGGAATGGACAACCTGGTAAGCGCATGCTAATCTCGGACCGACATTTCTTTCGTGTGAGCATACATACTGACAGACATTCTACCCTCCAGTTCATCGTTGATGGCAGTATCCACCCTGACCTGCCCACTGGTAACATCCAGGCCACTATCATGGTCATTGCTGAGGCGGCCTCAGCTCGGATCCTTGCCCAGAAATAGAAATTTTTCATCTTGAGCATCTCGTTGACCGAGATGATATTTGAGAAATGTACAATAGAAGCTGATAGAAGAGACTCATTCCACTTTTTCCAAGATTTATTGGTTCAGATGAAGTTTTTCCGGAGTCACATTACTCGTATTAAAAGGCATCAACTTCCATGAATCGAACTCTCGACCTTCAAGTTCCCTATATACTTCACCAAAATGCTGCATCCCAATCTCACGATGCCGAAGTACACACTCTAGAATCTCGCCCGGCCCGTTCCTATACCACGCCCACCGAAGAATCTCGCCTATACCACTAGTCACCTTTAAAATATGATCTATAAAATATAGAGATCCATATAATAAATAGATTACTGCTATAAAAAAATAAAAAGAAGAAGTTCCGCGAGTAAGGTGAACCACCTCACTCGCATCCCACCCGCCCACTCTCCCCGCCTAGGGATGTGCCCGGTAACCCGTGGAGATCTGCTCGACACGGGAGACCGGTACTTTGTATTTTCCCCTCATGGAGCACACCCAAATGGTCCATCCACTGAAGGTATGTCCAACTAGGCCACATGAGGGGGGAGAGTGACTGGATGACCTAGAAGTTGGTGATAAACCTCATTCCTTCTAAATGAACAGCGGCTGATGCAACTGCCAATATCAGCCCTTGCTGCCTCTGGGATCTGTTTGAATAGTCCTGAAGGGGTCATATACAGTGTTCTACAAGCTGATAGACGACCTCAGCCTCTACGATATATCGACGACAGTATTTTCACCAACGAAGCATCGACCAAAAGAACGCCGAAGCATTGCATTTTAAAGACAAGTTTCACAAAAGGCATCATGGCCAGGGAAATGTAGGGCCGAGCAGTTATATGATACATTTGGATTTCCTTCTGCTACCAGCAAAATGAAAGGACAATAAAAACAACCAACGTGCCAGTGTCCGTCCCAGGCTTACCATGCGTCCACGTCAAAGTTCTCCTCGCCAAAGTACGAGACGACAACGGTGCGATCCGAGAACTTACGACCAGCAAGCGCCTTCAGGGCACTAGAGGCAGACTCGTTGGTATCGAATTTCACGTAGATCTTACCAACACCCGCGGCCTGGCGATTACCACCGGAGGGCCGAGGAATCTTCAGACCCAAGACCTTGCCGTACTTGGAGCACTCCTCCTGGACATCCTCCAGGATCTCCTCGTAGTCGTCGTTATCGAGCAGTTCGTCCACGGTTACCATGTTCAGAAGCTGGAGGACACGGCCCGTCTCCATATCTTGGGAGGTAGTCTTCGCGAACATGGACATGGCATTAACACCCATATCGAGACCGGCAGCCTGGGTGGTTCCAATACTGGCGCGGACGACCTTCAGGTGACGGTCACCGAGCTCCATGCCGTTGAGACCTTCCACGGCGATGGTGGTGGCTGTGGGGTCAGCGTACTCGCAGAATGCAATTCCCTGTGATAAGTTAGAATAAAGGGTAAACGGAATCTTTTTATAAAGGTATTACTCACCCGTGATTCCTCGGTCGAAGCATCCTTGACCAAGACAAAAGACTTGAGTTCACCAAAGGACTTGAGTAGCATAGTGACAGGCTCCTCGGGAATGTACGCGGGGATGTTGGAAACGCAGATCTTGTTGGGTGAATCCGGCACCTCGTTAAGAAGTACGCCTTCCTGGTACTCCTGCTCGGCGCTTCCATTGGGAACAATGTAATCCTTGGGTCGGCGAACCTCGAGGCCCTTTTCAGCACCTTCCGCCATAGTGATACCATCAAACGCCAGAGCCACCGTCGCATCATTGGGCGACTTGAACTCCAAAAGGGCAAATGAATGATCGTCGGCCACCTGCGCAGAGATACAAGGATCGACGCTGTGAATGACGTTCAGGCCGTTGAGCTGTAGGTTGAAGAATGACACGATACTGTCACCAGTCGCGCCAGCGGGAATATTGTAAACAAAGAGACGCTTCGATTGACGGGAGTTGGATGGCTTGAGAGCAGTGGTCTCGGCCGAACCACCGGCAGGCTGGTTCATGAAAGCCTGCAGACGGCTGGGATCCATTGGCTGCTGTCGAGGAGCTCCGGGCAGAGGGAACATGCCAGAAAGCTTAGCTTGTTCGGCGGTGACATTCTCATAACCGGGGGGTTTGATGTCCCATTGTGTCAGGCGACGCTTGCGCTCCAAAATCGACGGCACATCCGTCAGATCTGGGGTAGGCTCTTTCCTGCGAGGTGGTGAAGCACTTCGCCGAGCACCACGGTCACCACCACCGCCTCCTCCCCCACCTCTTCTGTCACCACCACCACGATCCTGTTCTCCTCGCTCTCGGCGGTCATCGCCGCGGCCGCCACGTCGGGGTCTTTCGTCGAATAGGTCTCGTCGGGGTCTGTCATCGAAATCGCGTCGGCGGCGATCACCACGGTCTCCACCACCTCCACGCTCCCCACGCTCACCACGCTCGCCGCGCTCGCCGCGCTCTCCACGTTCACCGCGGTCCCATTCACGGTCTTCCCGGCGGTTGGTGTACCGGTCCTCTCGCTCTCGGGCACGGTAGTCGCGGCTTGAAGAGTATGAATTGGCCTCTGGTTCACGTCGCGCACCACGCGAACCGAAATGGGGAGAACGGGATCGCCGTCTTTCTCCTCCTCCGCGCTCAGCCCGATCACCTCGGTCACCTCGGTCTCGATCGCGTCGCTCGTCGCGCTGTGATGGATTGGTTAGTCGCAATCAGATGATCGCCAAAAATTGACACTTACGAAGTGATCGCGGGGACGACCCGAATCTGGAAAGGTTAGCATAATTCGAAAATGCAGACCAAGTTTACTAACCTCTGGAGGAATAGGTGTCACCGTTCATGTTGAGCTTGGTGAGTAGGATCCTGTGGTAGCTCAGCGAAGGGGAAAACTGGAAGCTCCTGCTGGGGAGGCGGTATGCCATTCACCGCCTTCCAATTCCACCAGCAGGGGCAGAAATGCTTCTTATCGGCATATCACTTTTCGATAGGCTTTCAATCGCAAACTTCCCTTTCAACCACGAGCATGGCGGGCGCATTTTCAGAGTGGCGCAAACTGCCAATAGGCCTGAGTGAGATTTGTATCAATACAACGTTGCGCTGTGGTCAATCTTTCAGGTAACGCTCTTTCAACTGTCAACAATCCTTTGGTCGCACATGCTAACCCCTTGTAGATGGCAGCATATCCCCGAAAGCGAAGAATGGCGTTGTGTGCTTTATGGCAAGCTGCTATCTCTGAAGCAGGACTCATCAAATATCTATTATCGAGATTACCGATCACCCGCTTCGGCCTCTCTACTTACCCCTCCGATCTCAGAAATACCATCTCGAGCACAATCCGAAGGAGAGCCCACCGACAACAACGCGAATGTAGACCATTCGCATGACGACCATGTCCTTCGAATTATAAAACATTATCTCAACCTATCCCTCGATCTTTCCAATCTCTACACCCAGTGGTCCGCCCAGGATCCCAATTTCAAGAAGAAGGCCGCCCAATTCACAGGAATCCGGATATTGCGCCAGGATGCCTGGGAAGCGCTCGTGTCATTCATATGCAGCAGCAACAACAATATTTCCCGAATCTCCCAAATGGTGGAAAAATTATGTCTCCATTACGGACCGTTTGTTGCCAAGGTCGGCGAACGCGCATACCATGATTTTCCTACTCCGGAGGCATTGGCGGGCAAAGACGTGGAAAGCAATCTCCGCAGCCTAGGTTTTGGATATCGGGCTCGATATATCTACCAAACGGCCGTCATGGTCTCTCAAGAAAGAGAGGCAGGGTGGTTAAATAGCCTTTGCAACCCGGAGTCCCCAGCTTTCGGAGTGGAAGCAATGTCCGGCGATGAAATGAAGCCCGAGGGTCGGCAAGGTTACCGTGATGCTCATGAGAAACTTCTTGATCTACAAGGTGTCGGGCCAAAGGTATCTGATTGCGTGTGCTTGATGGGCCTCGGATGGGGCGAATCAGTACCGGTTGACACTCATGGTAAGTCGCTCAAAGTTCCTGTCAAATGAATTGTCTAATTTTCGAGTAGTATGGCAAATCGCACAGCGAGACTACCGATTTGGCAAAAGCTCCAATAAATCGCTCACGAAAGGGACTTATGACGCCGTAGCCAATCACTTCCGCAAGCTCTGGGGCCAGGAGGCAGGATGGGCTCATAGTGTGCTCTTCACGGCAGACCTACGGTCTTTCGCAGATCGACTTGCAGCAACGAAAAAAGTCGATGTGTCAGTGAAAGAGGAGGGCTCGGAGATCAAAATCAAGACCGAGGTGTCAACTGCAGTGGCATTGACGGCGCCTAAAGAAGAGACTGTTGATATAAAGGTCGAGGATTCGGAGAGCAAGCCTGCTACGAAAGCGGCCAGAGGCAAGAAACGGAAGAACTCGACAGAAGCTATCGTGCATGCAGCTCAGACGACAGTGACCAGGAGAGTGTCCAAGAGATTGCGTCGATGAAAGATTGCTTAATACCCTAGGCATGCTCTCTATCTACCAGAGGCAAACTATGTACATTACAATTGAATATAGAGATGTCCGGATGGACTTTACCGCAGAGCGAGAGAAGATGTATATAAGAAGCTTTTCATTGCTGGTGTTCCTAACTGTTTGTACCAAGTTCGACATATACTATCCGTATCCTAGAAGCAAAGTCAGCAAGACTGTCTTCTAATATGAATGACAAGTGTGTAAAAGCCATTTGACATATTCAGAAGTCCAGTTAGATCATCGAAGACGCATCCGAAAATACGCCTTCTGACATAAGAGGTACCAGAAAAAAGTAAAAAATGTGTTTTTCATCATTAAAGGGGTGGCGGGCGAAGGAAAGCAGAAGAGTGACACTGACCGTATAGAGGAATAATGAGAAGATCGAATGGCGTGAATAGGACAACGAGACTCGGATCTCATCCGCAGGAAGTTGCAGGAAACATTAATCCAAAACACGAACCCCAAAGAAAGAGATCCAAGCCGTCGTTCTGTGTTTATCAAAAGCAAGAGCAAAAGCGGAAAGCGGAACGGTTTTGAGGTCTCGAGGAAAATCTCGCGGAAAAATAAGCGAAGTCGCACCACGTGACCCACACACTGGCCGCTCCCCTTCACACTCTCAACTCAATCCCAATCTCCACTTTGAATTTCTTCATCCAACTCGACAACCTCCGACCAGCTCACCGTCGCCGGACCAACCTTCACAGCAAAAATGGGTCGTCTTCACTCCAAGGGCAAGGGCATTTCTGCCTCTGCGCTCCCCTACTCTCGCGCCCCCCCCGCGTGGCTCAAGACCACCCCCGAGCAGGTTGTCGACCACATCTGCAAGCTGGCCAAGAAGGGTGCCACCCCTTCCCAGATCGGTGTTGTCCTCCGTGACTCCCACGGTGTTGCCCAGGTCAAGATTGTGACCGGTATGGAATTTCTCTGGCTCGAAAGCGCAAGCGAAAAACGCAAAGCGGACTTGCAAATTTCGAAGTGAAAAATTGGGAACTAACGTCTGTCTGTCAATAGGTAACAAGATCCTCCGCATCCTCAAGGGCAACGGTACGACTCCAATCGCCACTCCCCTCATCGCTTCAATCGGATGAAGGACGAGCACAATCGCATGCGAAAATTTCTCCATAAAAAGGAAGTCTCGGGAAACTGGGATGAATTTTTCACATTGCGATCGTCTCGATACTTCCTCTTGATATACACATACTCTGGTTGCAGAAATGCACCAGCAGCTAAGCCTCTGCTTGGTCCTAGAACAAGACTGACAGAGAGATTTTGGAATACACAGGCCTCGCTCCCGAGCTCCCCGAGGACCTTTACTTCCTGATCAAGAAGGTAAGCACATGCGTGCTCTTGAATTTTGTTTTCCCTGTCCTCTGCATCATTTGCGCTTTCTCGAATCAAACCCGCTAACATCCAATGCTACCAGGCCGTCGCTGTCCGCAAGCACCTCGAGCGCAACCGCAAGGACAAGGACTCCAAGTTCCGCCTCATTCTGATCGAGTCCCGTATCCACCGTCTGTCCCGCTACTACAAGACCGTCGGTGTCCTGCCCCCCACCTGGCGCTACGAGAGCGCCACCGCCTCCACCCTTGTCGCATAAGCGAAGTCGTGGTTGATTGTGGTGACAGGGAATGGAGCTGTGAAGGAAAGCGGTTTCTGGCATGCGATATCGAGGTTACTTTTCTTCTACATGTGCTAGATCCGCCCATTAAAAAAAAAAAGAACTATCACGAGTTATACCCATGTCTTTTTATTCCTTGATTTGCGCCAAGTAAGAACTTGTAGAAAGTGTAGACGGTATAACGTAGTAAAATCCAAGGGTATATTGCTCGCGAGCCCTCATGTACAATTCCAGAATCTATACGCAGGACACAGCACCATGATCCTTACCCCCCCATCCTTCAATCAATCAGTTCTCACCTCCCTCGCGACAGCATTACAAAGCTCAACCTGCACCCCAGCTCCAAGAAGAATATGAATCCACAACCGTTGGGTATCACTCAGCCGATCATTTTCCGACTTGACCTCCGCAAACAAAACAGTCTGCTTCTCTGCATTCCACAAAAATAGATCTGGAATTCCACCACCACGCTGCTGATACTCCTGTGCCATGACCTTGCATATAGTAGCCAATGCTTCACCACGGAAACTCTGCACGATCTCGAGAAGGTCGTCTAGCTCGAAGGACCAGTCTATTCCGATAGCGCAGGGCTGGGTCGCCGATTCGCGGTCATGGATCTCGCGGACGAGACGCTCCGCATCGCCGTTGGTGATTTCAACGAGGCGGTGGTTGATTTCTGAGGCTCGGGAGGGATAGAATACGTCCGTATGGAGGTCTAGGGGGCATGTTTGGAAGGCTGTTTGGAAGACGTTGGGGACGTAGGTGAAGAGGATGTCGTAGAAGAGGAGGCCGAACTGGAGAATTGATTAGCAATTGGCATAGACATGATGAGGGTTTGAAAGCCTTGTCGACGAGGGTATATCAGTCATATCTTCAAGGGCAGTATATACTCACCAATGTGCGAACGATGCCCCCCTCAGAATGATACCCCTTCCACCCATGATCCCGATACCAACTCAAACACATACTCTCTACTCGACACTCCCCACCCTCCCTCTCATCAATCCAAACAGTAGCCTTGCCCTTCTTCGGCCCCTCGTCCCGCTCAATGCGAATCCCCTCAATCGTCCGTTCGGCAGGTTTACTCAACATGACATGTCCGAAATCATGCTGTTCCCGCTTAACCACCCTCAACGCCTTCTCAAGCTTCGTAATCCGTTTCTGGAGATCATAATGGTATATCAAATGACATAGTGGGTCTTCGAGACCCTCCTCGCACGTCCGCAGCGCAACTCGTTTCCAGAATTTGCGCTGGTTCTCCTCGTTGCGCCCTTCGGCGGGTGTTAGAGCCCACATGTAGTGTTCTTCTAGCAAGGCTTTACGTTGGTACCAGGCGCCGCGGCGAGCGGCGTGAAAGAGGCGTTGGCCGAGAAGTTCGGTGAGGACGTCGTGTTCGCGCTTGTGTTCTTTGAAGCGGCCGAGAGGGTGGAGGCTTTTGTGAATGATCCTGGTGTATACCCATGCTGGAGAGAAACGACGTAGATACGCGCCCTCGCCGCTTTCATAGATGGAATCTTCTTTCCGCTGCTCTTCGTCGACGAGTTCCCGCCATCGCGGGTAGAACTTGTCAGCCAAGTCGACGATACGCTGTAGCGACTCCGTGGTTGGAGGACCGTTGAATTCTAGAATATTGTCAATCTCGAATTGCGTTCGGATTGCAGATTCGAATTCCAGGAGGGCAGCTCTGGACGAGAATATGGAATTCGATCGGCACACGATATACTGTGGGAAGTTTCGCCGCGATATCTTTGCTAGGATGATAGTCGTCAAGGACTTTTCTGTCCATTCGGTAGATCGATAGAATACCAAATGTACACGCTCGAAGAGAGCTCGTGGTCCAGGCGTGATCCGAATGCACTGGCCTGTGTAATCCAGGATTTTCTGGAGAAAATGACCATCCCGATTATCAGGTTGGTTCGTGCCCGGCTCGTCCTTGAACCCGAGTCCGGTCTGTGATTGACTAGTCTCGCACAGAGCTGCCAGCAGCTCTTTCTTGTTCTTCCCCTGGGCCTTGACTTCTTTCGCGAAACCCTTCAGTTCGTCAAGTAACAGGAGGGACGATGCTTCTTCCAGCGTGGTAATCTCCTGTGTGCCGTCGGCGAACCGAAAATTGTTTCCAAAGTCTAGATCGCTTATATCTTGGTCCTCGTTCTTCGGTAGTATGCGATCTCGCTGGAGATCAGTAGCTACCGCGGACAAGTCCGAGATATCGGAGTAATAGCCCAATCGATTGATACGGTGCCAGGCAGAGGTTTTGCGAAGGAAAAGCCGTACATACCTAGAAATGGAAAGTCAATATCTATTTCATATCGAATTGACCTCTGGGCCATAGGAGTGTAGACTCACAGATATTGCGACTCATAAGACAGATTCTTCCACTGTTGAAAGACCTCCATCTCAGCCTCATTAAACAAATGCGACTCCTCATCCAGCACCGTCTCCAGTGCCAAATTGAACGCATCCACATAAATCGAACTCTTCCCCCGCTGCCATACCCCGTCTCTCAATCTCACATGCAATCCCTGTTCAGTCTCAGCATCCTGCTCGGTTTGACTAGCCTCGTAGGCCTTAATTGCGTCTTCGTCGGTCTGAATCACAGGCAGTGAAGTCTCCAATTCCGTCTGACTGCTGGGGATATGTGCACCCAGATCCTCCGCAATAGGCACGGGAGTAGACGTATCAGCTACACCGGAGGAGGAACTCGGACTCGGTGGTTGCTTCTCGCTAAGACTGGATTCGAGCTCGGTATCCTTTTCAGACGTCCTCCTGCGCTTCACGGAGCGCTGAGTCTCCCAGTAATGCAGCAGAGACATTCTGCGAAGATGCCATGGGTGACGTCCTCGCAGCACAAACTCATTCAAGATATCGATGGCCGCATTCACCGGCGCGTCGACTGCCTCGCGAGAGAACACGAGGTCACGTGTGTAATATGCCTTGATCGGGTGGTGTTTGCTCTGTTTGGATCTATGGTCGACTGCAAGAGCAGGGGACCAAGCAGCCCACGTTGAGGGGGAACTAAAAGTGACGGAATAAAGCTATGGGAATCAGAATATAATTCGCAACTTCCGCTCTTGGATCCTCGTCATGGCCAATACACCAGTAAGCCCCCCACCCCTTTCACCGTCTCCCTCACAGTTCCCTGCGGGAAAGGCGAGCTTCCAGAAGCTCCACAGCTCCGCTCAGCACGATTTGGTTCCGAAGAACCAAACCCACCCAGCCTTCTACACGGCTCCAATCCTCTCAAAGCGACCTTGCACTACAACTGTCCCTGCGGAAGTCCTATCTAACTATCTCTCTCTATCCAACCGTACCAGTCCGCCCCTGCGCCGTCCTCCAGTCTCCCCATATCCACGCCCGCACCTCTAGATCCCGCCGCACCTGTACCAAAGCAAACCACGAACACCATGGCCGATACAAATGGCGGACCGAACACGCCCTCGGTGGACTTTTCCAGTGCGGCCGCGACGCAAGTCCGACCTGGCGGTGCTCCAGCGCGGGTATATCTGAATGAGAAGATTGTGCCGTACCTGTTGGAAGGGATGAAGACCGTTACGAGGGAACAGTGAGTGTTGCACAATGACCATAACAGGATGGAAAGGCAGGTAGTCTGACTAGTTGAAATGGCAGGCCGCCCAATCCGCTCCAGGTGCTAGGGGAATTCTTGATTCAGAAAAGCAAGGAGATCGAGGGTGATGCGAAGAAAGAGTCGGAGTGAAAGCTGTTGATGGAGGATGGTGTTCCTTGTTATAGTGTTTCAAGGCGCTTATATGGGTTGATTCGGTACCGTGAGAGGAGAATTGCCCAGCAGAGCTTCTCACGAGACAAGAAATTGTCGTCTGTTGATTTTTATCGTACAAAATGTGGACTATTCAGCTCCACGAAGCTTGTTTGATACCCCCAATTCCATTTTTCAGGATTTACATGTGTCTATTAATGGACTCGTACGAGTCAACACTGTCTTCGAGACGTAATAATATTGATGTCAGCCAATGTATAGTCTATGTGGGAAGAAGTGAGCTAGAAGTATATTCAGAAATATATATTTTGAACACGAACAGACGGTCTACCCTCTACAGGAATCTTGTCTAGATGCAGTATTTGCAAATAATGGCCATTTCCTTCACCAAATTAAAATCGAGCCCAATTCCAGCTAGTTTACCACTTACCAATTTAGTCCCAAGACCGCGGTTGCCGTTCCTAAAAAAGAGTGAGTATAGTCCAGGGAGGGAGGTAGGACCCATCCAAGTAACTGCATCCAGGAATCCATTGGATATTGAAAAGTTTCCGGACTAGACAAATCCTCCGTAGAGGTAAATGTCACTAAGAGACAGAATCATGTCCAAGTCAGCGCTTCAAAACATCTTACCTTTTGTTCCTGGCCTGGGTCGTCTTCCGGAAGGGTTACCGGATATTTTAAATCGCCTGTAGTAATTATATCGGCGATACTACATATTGCGAAGACGACGGCCTTGGCGAACAGAATAAAGACGGAAACGAGGTGCAGGTATAGAAGGTGATGGGTGAGATGATGAAAGGTGAAGAGGTGATGATAAGGCGACACAGTGATTTTTTAGACAGACTTGTCGAATACAGACCGAGCCGTTACTGGAAAGCTGAAGCTGAAGAGTGGTGTGTGCATAAGGCGAACAGTTTTGACCGAAGGTGCTGACCCCAAGAGATAGCCGAATTACAGCGATATTTGTTTTTTTCTTCCTTGCCGCTAGAGTTTTTCCCGAGTTGCGTCGCGAACAGATAAAAGAAAGAGCCACAGCTTTGCGACCAAGAGATGCCGACAAGACTGGGATCGTCCGAAGAGAATAGTTTGCCGAGTCGGTCGCAGCAGGGCCGATGGCGCTCCGTTTATCGTTTGAGACGAGGACGTGAAAAGAAACAAAGAAAGAAGCAAAAAAGGACACAAAATGAGAACGACGCCCGTGGCCCCGTCAGTTCAAACCCCGCATTAAAACAATTTGAGAAACGGAAAAAACAGATATTGGAAGCAGTGGGACATAAGGGGGAGGTAGAGAAACAGGGAAAAGATGGGGGGTGGGTGATAAAACATTGAGCCATCATAAAGCAGAGATATCAAGGACCGACATCTGAGCTCTGACTTTGCAAGGGAATACATTACCTGCTGCCATAACGCTCCTCACCACCACGGCCCTCGTAAGAACGACCACCGCCGCCACCACCGGAGTAGGGCTCACGGGGCTCACGAGGGGCTGCGTCGTAGCTGGGAGGGTTGGCATCGCGATCGTAGTAGCCACGGCCCTCGCTAGCAGCACCGCCTTCGGCACTAGCGCCAGGAGCACCGCCGCCACGACGGTCATCACCACCACGACGATCGTCGCGGCTGTAGCGGTCGCTATAGCGATCGGGGCCGCCAGCACCGCCGCCACCGCGGTAGCCATGGTCATCACGAGAGTCGCGGCGATAGTCGCGACCTCCACCGTAATCACGGCGATAGCCGCCATCACCACCACGTCCACCATCTCCGCCACGACCATAGTCGCGACCTCCACCGTAATCGCGGCGATCGTTGTAAGAATCGTAGCGACCACCGCGATAATAGTCGTCATCGCGGCGACGCCAACCACCACCGCCGCCCGCAGGGCCACGGCGATCATCGTAGCGGTCTCCGCGACGGGGCGGGCCACGACCATCATCTAGGGAAATCAGAATCCATCAAAACAAGTCAGGAATCACGATAAGGACTTACCACGCTTGGGGGGACCAAAGTATTTGCCAGGGGTAGGGGTACGGGGACGGCTGCGACGGGCCTTCTCGATGCTGAGAGTGCGACCCTCGATAACCTCACCCTGAAGGCCTTCCTTGGCAGCATCGGCTTGCTCACCAGTGCTCATGTTGACGAAACCGAAACCACGCGACTCCTTGGAGTGAGGGTCGAGCATGATGGAGCAGTTCTCGACATCGCCGTACTTCTCAAAGAGACGCGTGATGTCGGACTCGGTCAGACGCGGGTGGATACCAGTCACGAAAAGGTTGGAGCCGGTGTTCTGGGCGCCCTCCTCCTCCTCTTCCTCAACGAGATGGGCCTTGCGGAGGGGGCCAGGACGGCTGAAGAGGTGATATTAGCGACGAGTTGATAAAAATTTTGAGGGTTGCTAGACATATGTACCTGTCCTCAGCTCGGCCGTTGGGGGAGCGGCTGCGAGCACGGTCGCCTCGGGGCTCATCGCGAGGGGAGGCGCTACGGTCGCGGTCGTACCGGGGCTCGTCTGTGGAGAAAAACAAATCAGCTGGTTAAGGAGAGGAGGTTTCACAGAGATGAAGGCACTCACCAGCGTAGCGGCTGGTGTCGTTGTCGTAATCAGCCATGATGGTTATGGGAAACAAGGATTGATGGGGAAGGGGAGAAGGAAGGAAGAGAAATCGAAGATAAGAAGTGCTGACGGGGGGCGCTAGGCTTTCCGGAAAGGAACAACACACCCGAGAGCTGGGAAGACAAACACGCAGGGAGCACGCAAGCCAAAAAAAAAGAGCCGACGAAGTTCAGGAGAATTTAAAGTATTCGGCGAGGAGAGTAAAAAAGGAGGAGACAAAGAGTGTGGCAATGAAATGTTTGTCCCAAGGGGGGAGATGCAAGTTGGACAGCAAAGCAAGGCGCCAAGGCCGGTTTGCAGCTGCGGGTACCCCAAAGCGACCTGGGCGATCGTGGTATACTCTAGATACCACAGCCTGGACATTTCACTTGTTATGGCCATTCTATCCTACAGTCTTCTTTTGTCCTAAATTACTAGAAAGAAACAATTACATAGAAGCGTATGAATGGATTTCCATTGTCGCATATTAGACTAGTCTGCATACTGCATAGAAACCCAAAAAAAGAGAACCAGATCTCCGAAAACTCCTGCCTGCGCCTCATGCTCGCTCGTAAAACTGATGTATCCTATTGACCTGGATCACTTGAAGCGTCCGCGGCGTGTCCGACGGACATCCTTCTGTAACTGCCCTGCATTGGCGGGCGCATTGTTTGAACCCGGCTCAAGTTCGTCGTCTACCAGATCCTTGAGCTCGTCCTCGTCCAGTTCACTGAGCTCCTCGCTCATGCCACGCATAACGTCCCGTCCGGTCCAGCGCTCCTCGTGAATGGTCGTGCCAATGGGATCAAATGGCTGCATGTACCATTGGATGCCGCCCTGTGCTAAGGGCAGCTGCTGGTCTTCTTCGGTCAAGAGGGGAGTTGGGTGGCGACGATGGGTTGCGTTGATGTTGGGTTTGATCTCATTAGGAGGGACAACTTCCTCGGCGGCAGCGTCCTCGGGGGTGGGTTCCTGAGCAGTCGCGGTGTCGTCCTCGGCTGGCCGAGACTCCACCGATGCTGCGGTTTCCGTCGTGGGTAAGGCATGTTCAACGCCCTCCATGGGTTCGGTTTTGGTATCAAGCTCACCAGCCTCCATCTCGGTCTCTCCCTCGAATTCGATGGAATCCCGTCGGGACATCACGCTGTGGTCGAGGATCACGTCGAGCTCCTTGAGCTCCTTTTCGAAAGGTTTGCGGTTTAACTCACTCTCCTTTCGAATCGCATCCTCCAGGGCCGGCTGAATAGACTTGATGATTCGCTTGGCCAACTTGCGCTTCTCGCGCTGCTCCAGACTAAGCTCCGGTGCCCGTCCACTGATCTGTTCCTGCAGTGCGGCAGTATCACCAGCGGGTGCGACACCGATCTCCGATGTGAACAGGCTAGCCAAGTCCCCAGAGAAAGAGGCAACGGAGGGATAAAATCGTTCTTCAAGCCGCTTGCGGATTGAATACATGCCCGCTGCAAAGGTGCCTTTGCCATCCAAACTGTGGCCAAGTTAGTTTAATCCGTGGTTGATGCAGGATAGATGTGACTTACACTTGTGCCTTTTCAAAGATGGGCCAGAGAAGTGGGAAAATGGGGAAATAGACAGTGTCAACGATGGTGCGGAGCATCTCCGCATCCTTGAGCTTCTCTTTCTCTCGCTCCTTCACCATAGCACATAGCGAACGAAGTCGGTCAAGGTCCTTGTAGAGCAACTCGCCAAATTCAATGCGACGCTGTAGGCGCTTGTGGCCAGTGACGCCCATCGCCACGTAATCTCTGCGTGTCATCTCCATTGATGAAAAGGTTTCAAGCTGAAGTTGGAGCCGCTTCAGAAGGGCGGCACCTCGTCTTGCCTCCCGCTTGAGGGTCCAGTACTTGCATGCCTCCTCGGCGTAGTGCTTGCGGCCGCGGACGGTGAATCTTCCAAGAGCGGCAACGACAGAGTCGAGAACTACTTGGGGGATGACGGGGGCACCCGAGGGCAACTTCCAGATTGTTTTGGGAACCCGTTTGCGTTTGTTGCCACCAACAGTCAAAGTGATACGAGGGGTAAGGGTCCGATCTTCTTCCCCATCTTCTGCGTGTGAAGGTCCCAACGACAACGCCGCCGCCTGGCTATCACCCCACCGTCTACCCTGCATAGTGTTGCGGTAGAATTCTATCGCATCGGCAGTCGCAGCATCAGTGCCATGCTCCAAACGCCACTCTGGCGGTACATGCTTGTCACAAAAGGCTTTGAGAAGATGTGAGTCCATGAGCCCGTGCCCTATCTTCATCTTGAGATACAGCTGAGCTCGTCGCGCGCATGACACGTGGAACGCAACGAAGCAGTTTTTGTTGCTGCATTGGATTGAAGCTCCCATCTTTTGCTTGCAGATGTAGCAAAGTAACTTCCAGCGGCTGCGTGGCACTTTCTCAACATCGGTGACTGGTTCCATCAGAGATGGGTTCCCAATGGAGACCTCTGGGATCCAAATGGAACAAAGCAGGTGAGCCCATTTCGATGAAGTGGTCTGTTTGAATGCGCCCTCGATGTTTGGGCAGAAGATACAGTTGGTGGTCCCGCGGCCCAGAAGCTGACATTTGCGGCACAGCCATTGACCCTCTGGAATGAAAGGAACGCCATAACACTCCTGATGAACGGCCAAGTCACAGCCATCGCAGAAAACAATCGCGTTCGAGTTTTCACAATCGCCGTCATCGCAGATGGCACATTTGCTATCCTGTTCCTCGCCCGGTCCAGCAGTTTCGCCATTCACTGCAGCCGCAGAGCTGGAGCGCGGCCGCTGCGTCTGCGGCGGCTTGGGATTTGGCTTCGGGATTCGCTTTTCGAGCGCATGCCACTCCTTTTCAATTTTGGTCATAGTGATCTCAAAGATAGCAGGCTTGATGGGCTCCAGCTGATCTTCTCGACGCTTGGCGTTAAATTCGTCCAGCCATTTCTCGTCCTGCTCATCCATATCATACTCGACCCGCCCGATTGACGCATTAACGTCACCCTCGGTAACGGCAGGCTGAATGATATCCATGTCGTCTTCTTGCGCACCCTCGGCCATACGGATGAAGCGTCTATCATGGCGAATGAACAAATCACTCTCCTGATATCCAACACTGGCCATTGTGCGATCGACATAGTTCTGCTGACCAACGCCTTTCTTCTCATAAAAGGTGAAAGGATCCTTCAGGCGGAATGTCGGCTTCGGCAGAGTCAACTTCTCCCGAGGATTCGGACCCGGCGGCGGAATCACCTTTGGCCCTTGTTGTTGCGCAAGTAGCGCATTGAGAATAGCCTCGGGACGGCGCGGTGGACGTCCAGGTCTACGCTTGAAGGGAATTGGCGAGGCCAAGTCGGCGGAATGAATCATGGGAGTGCCCGAGTTATCCTGGACACTGGCAGCTGCAATAGATTCCAGTGTCAGGGAATTGACAGCAGGATCGACTGTGTCTACCTCCGCTGAGGTGAAAACAGCAAGCCTGCCATCGATGTCTAGATCGGGGTGGAACTCTTCCCAACCCCGCTCCTCACGCGGTTTGTATCCATCGCCTTGTTGCAGAGCCAGGGCTGCGGCTGTTGACGAGGTGAAACGACCTCGGTTCTCTCTCTTATCTCTTCTTGGACGCGTCACGGAGGGTGGTGTGATGGGCACAGGGGGTGGTGGTGGCGGAGCGAGGGTTGACTGTTCGATGTCGCGCGCGGCGGGACGGCTTCGTGAACTGGCGGAATGACGTCGGTGAGAACCAGAGGATATTTTCTTTGGTGTCGTCTCTTGCTGTTGTTGTTGTTGTTGTTGTTGCTGCTGCTGCTGCGCAGCTTCGAGATCGACAAATCTTCCACCACCTCCAGGTCCTCCAGGCACGTACTTGCGCTTCTTCAAAGGAGGGCCTTCTGGGGAATCTACGGCGCTGCGCGAGGATTTCAAGGATGACTTTGGCTGAGATGATCTTGACGGACGCCCGGGAAGAGAATGTCTAGACATAGGCGCCATCGTTCCCATTTAGCATGGGAAGCTCTCTGGATGCTGATCGATGTCGGGTGGATGGCAGTCGACACGTCAGGTCGCAGATCGCGAGGTTCAGGGGTGGCGAGGCGCCCGGACGGGGAACACTCGAAAGAAGTAGAAGGATGGAAGCCCCAGGCGACCGGGTATTAAGAAAGTCGAGGGACTAGAAACGAAGGGCTGCCCGATCCAGTGAAGCTCTCTCTGGTGATCGGAGTTGATCCAAGTGTTTTGTTATCTGGTTCAAGGCGGAGACGTTGCACGCCTCAGGCGCCGAAATTCTTCCCGCTGCGCGGACTTGGCCACAGCTTCCCCGCATGCTCCTTAGCTTTGGATCCCCTTTGATCACGTTCCCTTTCAACCCTTACAGCTAACTACAAATACGATGAGTGGTGCCGGTGAAGACAGGTATGTCTTTCTACATACGAATTCATCGATTCCTACACCTCCCAGATCTCACTAATCATGTCCGTTCGTTCCAGATGGCGCGGGCCAGCTCGCCAGTCATCACAACGCCAGTCAGGCAACGGAAACCGCGATAAAACAGGAGGACAAGGTGGTCCTCGTGGTGGTAACTCATCCTGGGGCTCTTCTAGCCCAGCACAGGACCAGCATGTGCCAGTTCGGGGATTCAATGCCGCCGAGGTCAAGAATGTTCTGAAGAAAGGTAAGCTCGTGCAGATAGTGTTTACAGCCAGAGGTCGAAGAGGACGGGGACTGACACCACGAACGATTCTATAGGGCCCAATGGTATATCGAACCCTCCGGATGGGATATCTATATATTTATATAGCGGTCTAACCCCCTCGCTACAGAACCGAAAGCACCCTTCTACAAGCCCGCTGGCAAGGACACGAACAACCAGCGATCAGGTGGCCCATGGGGCTCGAAATGTATGTTCGCAGCGACTATACCCTTGTTCCCTCGGGTGATCCAGTCACTGATCTTGACAAATGCAGCAAACACAATGGCAAACGGAAAGGACTTTTTCATCGAGCTCCGCAAGCAAGTCGCCTCTCTCCAGCGTGGAGGTCCTCCTGTCGGCGGTTGATCCCCATCCAAATGGAGGACTATCCTTTTTTCTTTCTCCAAAAAATTTTGTCTTGCACAGTGGCCGGTCTATGGACTCGGTTTGTCTGCACGAATTAGAACGGCGCATCATCGATACCCTACTATGGAGGATTCATGGATATGATGGGAGGACCTGCATGGGAAAATAGCTCGCATTGCTCTCACTGAAATAATCACGAGGGCTATCTTAAAACAGTGCATTGGCGTATATGGTCATGTGTTCAAGAGCTTGACTTGCTGCTCTCTTGTACAGTATCGGCTTTTTACAATAGTCTGTACCGCTACTTCTTGGGGATGATACCCCTACAAAAGATGAAGACGTTTCCCTACGGGTTCAGCATGGAAAATGGTCAACTTGAGTAGAATGCTTCATCTCTAATGTACAATGTGGGTATCGCTAATATACAGACTGAGTATACATCATCTTACACGGACGATCCATCTTGAACCCACCCACTAGGGCCTAGGACTCCACCATCGTCGGCCTGCGGATCAAGAGTCCACTTGCGGATAGCGCGACAGCTCAAGTTAGTCCGCCATCCAGCCTCGAACATCTCAATGCCCGCCCATCCAATCATGGCTGCATTGTCGGTACACAAGTATGGAGGCGGAGCAACAATCTCCATATGTTCGAATCCACGGACATCCAGGCATGATCGCAGAACGTGCATAAGGAACTTGTTAGCCGCGACACCGCCGCTCACGACGAGGGTCTTGATCTTCTCTTCATCTTTATGCCTGAGCCGCAGAGCTTCCAGCGCGATTATCGTGCGGGACGAAAGATGCTCGAAGCAGACACGCATGGCTTCTCTGCCTAGATCGACCCTCTCTTCGTTGGACAAGCAGCCATTCTTGTTTTTAATAATTTTGCCGACCATGCTTGCGACAGAGGAGAAACTGAGCTGCAGTGCCCGGGTGTTCGCGAACGGAGTCGTCACACTCCATCCCCACCGGCTTTTGCGCTTGACCACCTCCTCACCGCGGGTCATCGGGGGTCTGTAATCCGCAAAATCGGCTGGGCCATTGGGAAAAACGAATTGCTCAAGGGTCTTGCCGTACATGGTCGTTTGGGCCGCTTGAAGCAGAGCCGGAGGTATGATATCTCGGGCTGATTTATCCAGTGTTTCTCCCATGGCGATATCGTCGCTGGAGGCCATGATTTTGTGGTCCGTGAGAGACTTGGAATGAACTATGATCGAATGACCCCCGGAAACGAGAATGGACAGGAACGGGAATTGTGGTGAAGTGACGTTTGGTGAACTCGACTCTTTGGAGTTTTCTAGACACGACACCAAACGAGGAGTCAACAGATGCGCTTGCATATGGTGAACCCCGACCATGGGAATCTGCCACGCAACCGAAAGCGCCTTCCCCGTATCCAGCCCGACCGACAAATTGGAGCGCATGCCGGGGCCTCTCGTAGCGGAAATAAAGTCTGGCCGCTGGCGGCTTGACCCATCAGCTAGTCTTATCGAATTGGCTTCGCCATTCGAAGCCGGTAAACTTTGGAGAGCCTTATTGACCAGATCGGCAAGGTTCTCTTGATGGGACTCGAGGGCGAGGATCGGGTGAATACCACGGTGGGCTCGAGAGTCGGCAGTGATATTCTCTAGGAAGTGGACTTTCGCCCGGTCTCCAGTTAATCTGTCGCTTTGCTTCTCAACGATCGCGACCGATGTGTCGTCACTGTTACAAAGAGCTGTAGTTAGCACATGCGACGGTCGAACGGCTTCGGGCTTGTTGGACTGACCATGATGATTCGATCGCGAGAGTGAGCAAGCCCCGTCTACTTCGTAGTAGGCTGCGCGGTGCGCTCGTCGCCGACTTGCGCAATGTCGCAAGTGGGCCTATTGATAGAAACATTGCTGAACGTAACCCGATCGTCGACGGACGCGCCGGGAGAAAAGATCGGAGATGCACGGACCAAACAAGCCCTGAAAGGATGCCCTAAACTCAAAAACGGCAATGCTTCATTTTCATTCATAAGCAATCTCCACCTTCATGGTCTACCAGACAAACTCGCCCTGCGATCGATATTAACCTCATCGCAATGCTCTGATGCAATAACTCTCCTTTGGATCTTCCCACCAGCAGTGCTAGAGAGTATTTGGAGGAAACTTAATCATTCTTTCAATTGATCTGATCATCATGATGGAAAGATCAAATCATCAAAAGCATAGAGAGTTGATCTTGTGGAAGTAATACCAATCTCGCGAGCATAAAAAAAAAGTACCCCCGCGTCGGACCTACCGTGGGGTGCGTACACTCGTCCTCCGGATTAGGAGTATCAGGCTGGTCAGTTCCAGGCCATGACCGCAAGGTCACAGGGCGCGGGGTTGCAGGTTCTGAGTAGGAAGTTAATGATAACCGTTTTTGGGAATACATTCTGCGTAATGTTTTCCCTCTTCGTTTCTTGCCCTTGGAAAACAGATTCATGTTAAGGCCTTGGTGGAGATCGACACTACCATACCCGCTACCAAGGACAGTATTAAACAGGTAAATATTCGCCTTTTCTCGCCATATGTCTATTGCATCACATATTGACCGATGAAGACCGTACGACTTGAGCATATGAGACGGTTCAAGCAATCCACAAAGTATACATCCTTACACGATATTGTTACCACCAAATAATTTCGAGCTACACAACTCCTCCGGCTTGTAGAATCATAGGTTCATGGCATTTGATGCTGGCTTGTTTGAACGATCAAAACAAGGTTGTCTCGGTGCTATCAGCGAAAAATGCTTTTTTTTGTCTTCATATGTTCTGAACGTCAATTCTCCAGAGGTATATAATTGTTCATCTTCTCCCTCGTTCGTTTGGGAGGGTAAATGTCGAAGCTGAACACGTCAATCAAAGTCAACTCTAGCAGTTGATGAGGATATAATCCTCGAACCATCGTGCCATGTCAACCCTGATATGATGGGCGATGAGATGAAAGGGTTCAAGGCCTCAGTACGAAAGCAGGCCTAAGATGTAGAGATAAGGATCATGTGATTTCAGTCGAAATATGATGGAGTATTCTTTCAGCAGGAAAGTCGGATTGAACTTCAAGTCGATAACTAGCAAAGCTCTGTCCGCGCGATGCATTGGATAAAGTGGAGCCCAAGGCCCTCCACAGATCGATCAGCTTTGTGCCGTGGGACCTGTCAGAAAGCTATACTTCTAGATCAAGGCGCCGCGGAAATTATAGCATGCCAAGCCGATTGGCTCAAACTCTACTCCGGGGAAGTACAGGTATCCTCCCTGATATATAGTTAGATAATCGCTCACTAGACGTCTGCAGGTCTACAATGAAACCAATTTCAGGAACGCAAGAATGTTGATAGGTAAGGACTGAATTGGTTAAACTATTTGCTTATACTAAATAAAGATCATAAATCGGAGGCCCGTCAACGTCATAAGGTATAATCGTCGGCTCAACACATTCGAGACACAAATCATCTTCATGGCCCTAAAGCGGACCGAGGCTGCATTTGGAGGAAACTTCGGCCAGCTCTCGACAATGTGAGCAGCTTCGGCTGTCAAGAAGCGGATCAGCACCGCGGGATCGGTATTCATTGAGTCAGCTCAAAGCTGGCGTGCTGCAGGCCTGGGTATTCCATTTGGAGAATCGATGAAGTTCTTCAATCAATTCGAGGTTCATTGGTATTCGCAAGGTCGAGCATTTATCGTCACGGTTGGAGAGTCGTTGTTTGCTTGGAGAAGGAGGTCATGGGCGTACAGGACAGCCCGCAAACGCACAAGACGGTTCACTCGCGGACCATCCATCGTCGCTCTTCACGGGTGATTTTGGTATGCTTGCCGTAATATTCATCGGTGTTCTCAATTGGGGTCACGCAGTGGACAGTGGGTGTGCCGCTGAATTGAATGCGCTTGTCGGCGACACTTGGTCGAACCGCCGAGTTCTTCTTGAGGATGCTTTTTGACGAGCAGGAGTTGACATAAGAGTAACTTGGAACTTGCAAAGAAGAGAAACGCTTGGTTGCAGGACTCGCTGGCGAAATTGGAGTACGAGGAGCAACTGGTGACTTTAGTGACAGGGAGGGTCGCGAGGTATTGGCAGGAGCGATGCTCAAGGAAAGCTTGGGCTTGGCGGCAGAGCGAAGCATTTTGAATAAGAATTGACTGAACGAAGGATCTCGAGTATTGTTATAAAGATGATAATGTAGGTTTTGGTATCACAGGTTCAACTTCGATCAACGAAGATAACCTATATGGAAGTATGAAGAGAGAGAGAGAGAAAAGACGATTATTGACGCAGTAGACTTAAGAGGATACAATCTGATGGGGGGGGGACAGGCAAGACAGAAAAACTCGTTTGGACCAGCCAGAACGAAGCGCGGACGAAAATAGAAAGAGAAGAAAATAGAAAATCTCAAACAACGATGCAGAAACAACGAAGGAGAACTGGTCCATGAGGTGGATGCGGGCGGCTATATACTGAGTCGTGGGCGGGGGAAGGATTGGTCGCAGCCAACCATCGCCCATGGTCTACGCGCCCAGCCAATGCAACACACCGCACAATCACCCTCCTCATCACGCATTAGTCCCAACCTTGCAAGGCTGGCTGGACATGTCCACCTAGGTGCCAGATCCAATCACTATGGATTTTGGCCAGTCTCGGACTCAAGAGGATGTGATGGACCGTGATGGTCTGGTCTGCCCTGCAGCCACATGCACTCGTCCTTCGCAGGCCTCTCAGGCATCAACAGCGGTGGCTGGAGGGCAGAAACCTTTCCCCGAGTCCGAAGTCATGAATCAAATGAGGAAGGAGTGGACATCACCTCGAAAAAGTCCTGCAGCCGGCCCAAAAATCCCGAACACACGGTAGGAAGCCACCTGCATTACTGTGACTATTTCGCGTTGTCACTCACCCCCAGACCCAGGAGGCAACATGATTGGCAGGAGAAAGCCCCCGGTCGCTCGGTATGATTTCAGATTGAAACGGCATAGGAATAGGTCTATGGACTGGTATATATACTGTATGTCAGATGTAGTGCGTGTTGGATGTGGGACCATTCTCACACATCCCTCGGCACATGGCTCCGGCCGAATATCCACCCAAGCAATAAGGCTGAGGTGTTTAGGTTCTTTGAGATGGACGTGGTACATATAGTGGCTAGTCGTACTTTGTGTTATGCTTGTACTGAGTCGTGGAGCGAGCTACACATACGGAACCAAAGTATCCCCAATTGCAGTCTGCATTGAAGGGAAGAGGACCTTGGGCGATAAGAGAAGGAGGTCCGCAGGGGAAGACCAAGATCGGTATGGACCGAGGCTGTAGCAAAAGTCATACATATTTGAACAAGGGAAGATGCCCAGCAAATTGATTGATAAAAAGTGACAGCATTGGTCATGCTCGGCATGTAATGTTCTGTACTAAACGTTAGTGCATCTGGACTAGTGCCCGTTTTTAATGAACACCGACGGGGATCTTAAGAGACTGTTGCCCGAAAGGGCGATCTTCGGGACGGCGAGGCGCTCTCCCGCAATATTAATGACTACTGTTGTCGCAGATTTAGGAAGTAGGCGGAAGAGCCTCTTTCCAAAATCGCACTAGCGTAGCTCCAGACCCAGTTGATGAAGTTTGTAGGCGATGCCAATTCGATGGCTGTACGCAGGGTATACCGTAGTGTAGCTCGCCGATATTGGACTATCGCTGTAAAACAATCAGTTTGCGTTCATGAAGAAGCACGGAGTATGATTTCGATAATGCCTCAACTCACATTCCTCAGCCTCGGCCACGATTTCAATACTTGTAGACTACTACGGTTCCAGCCGTTGAGCCGAGCCATCAAAGTCCCGTTGGTTCTGGCTCCGAAGTGGGGGTACTTTTCCCCACGCAAGAGCTTCGTAAGCTTTAAAACCGGGAATACTAATCCCAATCAGGAAGGAGTCTTCTCCGCTTGCTTCTGGAATCCAAAAAAAAAATAATATCATCTGGTGAAAGATCCTCAAACGTGGCAAAGATATTACAGCGCGAATCACAAAAAGAACTCGACGTTGGTCCGAGGAGTCTTTCCACACTTGGCAAAATATCTGCATCACTAGTCAGTCGGCCAGCAGACAAAAGAGATATGGCTTGGGGATTTATGCTGCTCCTCCTGCCTCCTGCTTTGCGAGTTCATATTCCTCCGATTCCACTTCATCTGCCCGTGACCGAGGGACGTACGATGAAATAATTACAAAACAAAAGTTCCGACTTTTAAAGAGACACCTTCTTTTTCACGCCCACTTGGAATTCTTTTCTTTGCAACATGCGTACCTTTACAATGTCTCGTCAGCCATGTTCGGGGCCATGTCACCACAGCGAATGCAGTATACCCAGTCTCTCTCTCTCGGATTATGGACATTATCTCAGTCACCAACTGAACACTCGCATGTTAAGTCTTGGAAACTGGAATCTTCCTTGCTTCGCCCTCGCAGATAAATCACGAAACCACAACTTTGTGGGTCGAGAGCGCATCTTGAATTCAATGGATGACTACCTCCTTCCTCAAGAAACGTCTCTCCCCGCAGATATGACTAGTATCCGCAGTTTTGCAATTTGCGGAGAAAGCGGTATGGGCAAAACCGATTTAGCCATTGAATATGCCTACTCAAGAAGACACCAGTTCGGGGCTGTGTTTTGGCTGCACGCTGGCAGTGCGGCTGAATTGACGACCGACTTTTGTCAAATCTCGGGCTACCTAGGCCTTGCAAATGGATACAGCCACCCCACGCTCGAATCAAGGAGGAAACTTGCCAAAGCTTGGTTGAATAATCCAAAGAAGAGTGTGGATTGGGGCGTGAATTGTCGGTGGTTATTGATTTTTGACAATGCCGATGATTTGGACGTTATTGCGGATTATATTCCCTATGGTGGGAACGGATCGATCTTGATTACGAGTCGAAATTATGCTGCGAGGGATCGGTTCTTCGAGGATGGACCGGGTGTTGATTTGGATCCTTTTTCTGCGGGCGAAGCAGCTACCTTGCTACAACGGCTGGTACTAGGCGTGGATGGAAGGCTGAGTCGGACTGATCAGAAAGCTTTGATGAAGATAGCAAGCTTGTCGGGAGGTGTGCCCGGAGATATCACGCGAATTGCCGAGTCGATTCGAGATGAATCCCTCCCCCTTCGAGAATTTGCCGATCTGTTTGCTCGAGATATGGCCCGCTTAGCACAGGTAAGAGTCCACGCCTATCAACATTGAGTCGAACGTGAATCTAATCGAATCAAAGACATGAAATGACCAGGTGTACTCCTGATCAACTCCGAGTCAGCAATCAAGTCGGCTCGCTTCCCAATTATGTGACATGATATGCATTTACGATTGTGACGGAAATGAAGTCAGAAGAACATGATAACTCTAGCGTTGAATCTTCCTTTACAGCATTTGGGCCCGGACGATAATGGGGGTGTTTTATATTCAATTTGGCCATTCAGGATATCCACTCCGCGCATGGTTGGACATGCCGTGTTTATTTACTTATCATTTGTTCCTCGAAACACGAAGATAGACATTTTCAAACCAAGTACTCCATCCGCGTGGATAACCAAGCCACTCCACTTCTTCACAAACAAGACACTAAAATACACCCTGCACTGCCGACATTCATTAATCCCACATCTCCCACCCCTGATCATAAGTCTCCATCCGTACATCAAACATACTTACCCCCAACTCCTCATAACAAAAAATAATCCCCTCCCAAACAACCTCATCATCACGTTTTGCCCACTCCGGATAATCCACATTCCCAGGATCAGTACAATGCATGTGCCCACGAATTACAAGTACCAAATTGACCTCAGGCAACATCCGCTGCCAATCCGAATTAATCCTATCAGCATTCAACAATATAGGCTGCTGAATCAATTCTGCAGGTGCCTTCAAGGGCGTTTCACCGTCGAAGCTGATCCAAGCAGACGAATTGTCCAACTATACCGACCCGGTTGGACTGGGCTCGTGGTAGTGATCGTCAAAATTTGATGAGATTGTTCCATTTACGACGGGCGCGTTGGGCGGTGATTAGCGTGCGCATGTCCATTTGGTGCATTATTGACGCGATGATCTCGGGAAGGGCGAGGGCTCGAGTCGAGGGTGGTTGTTGGGCGGGTATTTGCATTTTTACTGTCAAGAAGGGAGGCTGTCTGAGAGCTTTGAAGATAGATAAATGAGTCATGAAGCATGATAAGTCTGACGGTGAGGCTTTACACATAATGAGCTGCATCGCTTGCTATGGTGGGTTCTGTTCCTAAGCGGGCACTACTTTTCGGCAAATACTTTTTCTTCCTGGGTCCGTATGTAACTAACTGACATCTCAAGTGTACCAATTATGAATCGAGACAAGCTACTGTCGTGTAAGTCAAAGAAGAAACTTATCACTAACTTAGAGCCCAACCAGGCTTATGCGGTGTGCATTCCTCAGGCCATGATTTCCATGTTGAACAAGCCAGATTCAAAATCAAAATACCTGCATTCAGATCACACGATCAATCAACAGCTTAGTAGAATTTGTCAGAGAGATCAACGAATAACGTAGCGCTACAGCTGACAGGGATCTACGTGGGCTGAGGACAGCCACTCCCGAGACAGCCGGGGTATGTCAAGGTAGCTCTTTCAACTGCTTCCCTGCGGAGTATTGTTCATTATTCCTTCCCAAACTGGAATTTACTCCAGTGACATACTAGAATTTACATCTGTGAGGTTGGATGCAAAGTATCGTCCTTTCAAATCATTCCTTACCTACCCTCTGTCAGTTGTGCCATGCCATGGGTATCCTGAAAAACGCCTTAGAGCCTGGTGGTAAGTCTGCCGTCCAGTACTGATGAATGGAGCTTAGTGAATAAATACAGCGATCGCGGCTATATTCACCCTCGGCGCATGGATCAATCGGCGCCACGACCGTCGCGGTGACAATGACCCCATCCGTGCGCCACTCTTGCTCAACCACGACATTGATCAAGAACGCGATACTCATGGCGACCCCGGAGAAGACACCGTGACCGGAGCATCCGGACGCAAACGACTATCGCTTCAATCGCGCGCGCTGGCGCGGTTTCCATTCTTTCTCGAGATATGGTACTGGCTGCTCATATACTGGGTGCGCAACTACTCACGTTCCACTATGATGCCGTCCAGCAGAGCAGCTGACACCACCTAGATATATCAAGGCGCTCGAGCGATCTCAGCACGAGTCATCGCCAACAACGAAGCGATCTTCTCCACGGCCGAGAACCACGCTATCCAACTCCTGTCCTTTGAGAACCGTCTGAACATCGACATTGAACTCCCCGTCCAGCGATTCATCCTCAGTAAAGCACCCCGGCTTATGGAAATTCTCGCAGTCATATACTACTCACACATCGTTCTCGGTGTCGCATTCTACGTCTATAGCTACACTTACCTTCCACGTCACCGTTACCAAGCTATCCGACGCGCCCTCGCCCTAATGAACGTCATCGCCTTTATAATTCTATCATTCTGGCGATGCGCGCCTCCGCGCCTCCTCCCTTCTGACTTTGGATTTGTCGACATACTGCACCAAGGAGATTCGGGGTCCGCGTGGACCAGGAATAAATTTCAATTGACGATTGCGGCGATGCCTTCACTGCATTTTGGTAATTCGGTGTTTATCGCGTTTTGCCTGGTGGTGTTCAGTCAACACGTGTTTCTTCGGATCGTGGCAATGTTGTGGCCGATTTTGATGGGGTGGACGGTAATAGCGACCGCGAATCATTTCGTCCTTGATATGGTGGTTGGGGTGGTGGTTGTTTTGGTTGCATATTTGTTAAATCGGGTGATGTTGATACCGTTGCCGGTTGAGAGGGTGTTGTTTCGTTTGATGAGATTGGAGAAGCCTCGGCAAAGGTCTGGGGATAAGTAGGCGGGTATACCGAGGTGCGTTTGTTTACCTATCTGCCTGGGGGTTTATGGGTTGTCGAGATTCATTATTGGTATTCCCGGTCGGATTGGAGTCTGTTAGATCACAATTGTGTGGATTGATGCCATTGACAGCTTTATGAAGATCGGAGGAGGCCGTGGGAAATCTGGTGTGCCACAATAGGCAGGTTTAAGCGTCGGTGTATGAGGAGAGAGGCACGCCATCCCAACCTCGGGCATTCATTGAACGGGGGATTGGGGAGTTCATTGACTATGGGCGGAGAGTTGTATCATTCAATTATGATTAACCAGACCAACAGAAAGCTCTTTTAACCGTTAACTATTGCCTAAATATACATCATTGCCCTTTAGAACCCCCTATGCATAACCAGCTACTGTTGTACAGTAGTAGTACCTACTGTAGTATGTACTATGCCCCCCCACCCCCCAAGGATCTTTCCCCATTTCAGCCACGGTGAGGAGAGCTGCGGAGAGACCAGGGCCCGACTCGGCGGAGTTGAGCCGAGACTCGGGGGGAAAGAGGGGAAATCATCCAATGACTCCAGACTGTCTCCAACTTTTTGGCCCGTCCAGATTTCAAAATTCCAGAATCCTACGAATTCCAGAACTTGCAGACCCGCTCGTTGCTCCGCACCGCTCACGGCAGCACCCGGAAGTTCTCGTGGGCGTTTTTTCCACACACAGCGTGTCGCTCGCTCACGACATGTGAAATGCGACGGGCTCCGGTTTCACCCTTCCGAAGATCTCGGATGGGTCACCTGAACGTTGGTCGGAGATACTATCCACTAATACGGGACTACACTAGGACGCTATTGGGAGCTATACACATGACACTCCAATTTCCCCCAGGTGTACGGAGTACAGGTACCTAGAAATGACATTTGTTTGAATTGATTGATGAATGTTTTGGTTGCTTGTACTTGTTATTTTTATCGTTTATGCTGACTGTATCTCTGGGTTGGATCTGGCCAGGGGTTCGATATGTCTATCATTGGCTGGCGTATTTCTTTTTAACCGTGGCTCGTGGTGGCAAAGGAGGCCGTCTCCGTAAGATTCCTTTTTTTCTGCCACTGGATTCGAGATTGAGATAGTGTCTTTATCATGATAGTAGATCTGATCTGATCCATCTTATAGAACTTGGCGTGTAGTTCTACATGTGCTATTCTACATGACGGATCTCATGAAATGCGGAGTACCATCGGGGTTGACGTGTAAGACTCGGCCCCCAGCCCGATCGCGGGTAAATCGCCTCCGAAAAAGGCCTTCAGGTCCCAGGCCCAGGGGGAGGCGGTGAAAAATTCATACTCGCGTGGCCAAAAAAAACATACAGTTTGGCAATCAGATCGAATAAAGATACACGATCGAGTCATCTGGCTTGCAATTGCCCTCACAGTTTACAATTCTTTTCATTCTAATCTAATCGGAAACAAGAAAAAAAAAAAAAAAGAACCTAAAATTTAAAATCCTCAGCGCGATTTGTTTCGACCCACGGGGTTTGTCTCTCTATTATTATCGCGAAAATAGTCAGCGGCGGGTTCATCATTCCCTTTTGACTCAACCCAGTCCCCGTTTCTCCACCTTCGATCTTCCTTCGCCCTTCTTTCCCCTCCCTCTTCCCCTTCCTCCAGTCGTTGTGCGGTGGATTTTCGCTTTCGGGTTGCTCCCTGTCTCTTTCACCTTTTGGTCCTACTGTCTTGTTCGGTGACACAATGGCGAGCGTCAAGGATACCGTGAAGGAAACGCTGGTCGGCAGCAGAGAGGTGCCAGAGCTGTCGCATCAGGCCCGCTCGAACTTCTTGCGCCACGCGCAGAAGGATGAACATGGCGAGTTGTTCATGACCGAGGATGATTTCATTAATGCGGTTGCTCCTAAATATGAAGACTATGTGAGTATTTCTATTGGATCTGCTCGTCAATCCCTCTCTCGTTCCCTCGCATGGAAGTCCGAACACGTCGAGACCTTGAAGACACCCACCGGGCTAACACGTTTCCTCAATCCAGCACAAAATCAAGCGCGAGCAATACGGCATCCTCTTCCGAGTGGCAGACCGACGGAGATCCGGCAAGCTGAGCCTGTCCGATTGGGCTACCTTCGAGAACCTCCTTACGAAGCCCGATGCAGAGTACGAGATTGCGTTCCGCCTGTTCGACCTCGATGGCAGCGGTACCGTCAAATGGGAGACCGTGAAAGGACTGTATAACCTGAACAAGAGTGCCGACAGCATCCCCTTCGACTGGAACTCAGAATGGGCCTCCCTGTACACCGGCCGCACCAAGTCCCGCCACGATATGACCTACCCTCAATTCTCGCAGATGCTGCGCGGCCTGCAGGGCGAGCGCATCCGTCAGGCCTTCCATATTTTCGACAAGGATGGAGACGGCTACATTGAGCCCGAGGACTTCCAGCGCATCATCCTGGAGACCTCCCAGCACAAGCTCTCCGACCACCTGCTTGAGAACCTGCCCACCCTGTGCAACATCTCGACCAGCAAAAAGATCTCCTACGCCACCGTCCGCGCTTTCCAGAACATCATGCGTGAGATGGACATTATTGACTTGATCGTCCGTGAGGCCACCCTCAAGAGCACCGACGGCAAGATCACCCGCTCCGACTTTTTGAACGAGGCCGCCCGCGTCACCCGCTTCTCCCTGTTCACCCCCATGGAGGCGGATATTCTCTTCCACTTTGCTGGTCTGGATGCACCCTCCGGCCGTCTGTCTCAGAAGGACTTTGCCAAGGTCATTGACGCCTCATGGCGTATCCCTGTCGCAGTGGCGGGTCAGGCGGCAGAGGCGGCAGTGACCAAGACCAAGAGTTTCCTGCACGGCCTGTTGGAGTCGGCGCATCACTTTGCTCTGGGTAGTTTGGCCGGTGCTTTCGGGGCCTTTATGGTGTACCCTATTGATCTGGTCAAGACCCGCATGCAGAACCAGCGGTCCAATCGCCCCGGTGAACGCCTCTACAACAACTCCCTCGACTGCGCGAGGAAGGTTATCCGGAATGAGGGTTTCCTTGGCCTGTACTCGGGTGTCATCCCACAGCTGATCGGTGTCGCCCCGGAGAAGGCTATCAAGCTGACCGTCAACGATCTTGTTCGTGGCACCTTCACGGACAAGGACACTGGCAAGATCTGGTATGCTCATGAGATTCTCGCTGGTGGTACTGCCGGTGCCTGTCAAGTGGTGAGTTTTGACAACAAATATCGATGAAGACTGATCGTTCTTGAAATTAACAAATCTCTTTCTTCTCAGGTCTTCACCAACCCTCTGGAGATCGTCAAGATCCGTCTGCAGGTCCAGGGTGAGATTGCCAAGAACGTCGAGGGTGCTCCTCGCCGCTCTGCCCTCTGGATCGTGAAGAACCTCGGTCTTGTGGGTCTGTACAAGGGTGCCAGTGCCTGTCTGCTGCGCGATGGTAAGAACAATCACCTTTCAATGAGTATTGACAAAGATCTGACCGTGACTAGTGCCCTTCTCGGCCATCTACTTCCCTACATACGCCCACCTGAAGTCCGACTTCTTCGGCGAAACCGCCACCAACAAGCTGGGCGTCGTTCAACTCCTGACTGCCGGTGCCATCGCCGGTATGCCCGCCGCCTACCTCACCACCCCGTGCGACGTGATCAAGACCCGTCTACAGGTCGAAGCCCGCAAGGGAGACACGAAATACCACGGCCTGCGCCACTGCGCCACAACGGTGTGGAAGGAGGAGGGTCTCAAGGCCTTCTTCAAGGGTGGTCCAGCCCGAATCCTGCGTTCCTCGCCGCAGTTCGGTTTCACCCTCGCCGCCTACGAAGTCCTCCAAAAGATGCTCCCCATGCCCGGTGCCGAACACGAAGTCTCCCCCACTGGCCAGGTCGAGCCCGGTGTCGGTCTCCAGGGTGCCAAGGCTCCTCTGCCGTACCTCCGCTCAAGGAACGCGCTCAAGCTCATTCTGGATGTGGATCAGAACATCGGCCGAGTGCAGGTCCCTCGCGTCGAGAACTGGCCCAAAATCATGCAGGGTTCCAAGCAGTAATTGTGCCCTCCCTGTCTTTAGTTACATAGCGATATGATGTTCAAATTTGCGGGGTTGCGTGCCTTGATTTTTCTTTTAGACCACTTTCGTGTGTCTCGTCTCCATCCATTTAGCATCAATGTTTCTTCCTTGTTTTATGTTCTTACTCGGGGGTTTTCTTATGTTTCCTCTTTTTTCTCACGGCCTGTTCATCTTGTGGAGGTTGTTCATGCCTCTCGCATGGCTCCTCCAATTTTTTCATTTCTTTTCTCATTGAATTCTTCTGTGCCAAAGAGAACTTTGGGGGACGAGCCGTGTTCGGCTTGGGTGTTTCTGACAGATCCTACCTACCCAACTGCATGACTCATCTCTCTCTTCCCCCGCGCGGGTGGGCCGGGGGTTGCACTGTATTGTATCAAAAAGGCTAGATTCTGGGAATAAAGGAGGTGGAAGGCTATATATAGATGGGGGTCGGCTGGGTTCCCTGGTTGCGTGGGGGGAAGTGTGATGCTCGGTCTCGGTTCTTTGATCGTTGTGTACAGTGCTTGGGCCCTGATAAGGGTCTGGGTTTCTGTATTGTACTTAGATCTAGAAGGATAGAATTGGATTTTCCCGTTCAAAGATTATCTTGATGGGTGATGCGGAATATGCAGTGCCGCCTAGGAGATTGTGGAGTGCAGATGAATGTATAAAAGTGGTAGGTCGTAAGCTGGAATTGTGATGATGGCCCAGGTCTGGGTCAGGTATATACAAGTATAATACATGGAGATGATGATGTGTTGGTGAGATAGATTGCCAAAAGAGCATTGGAACCTCACACGTTCTTATGGTGTTCGAGTCCGTAGATAGAGAGGAGCGGCTTCGAGAAGCTCTTTGCAATAGTCCTCGAAGCATTACTAGCACAGGCCTCGTAGATAGAACTCCTGATCAGCTATCTTGTACCTCGAGCAAGAGTTTGGACTCCTGGAATTGCTTTCTGGAAAGCGCTTCACGATTTTCTTTTTCCTTAGAAGAAGTTCACCTTCCGAGTCGACTGCGGCTTCATAGCTTCATCATCACCCGCCGTCTTAGAGACGTCGGAGTCCTTCTTTTCCGGCTCCGGCATGGCCTTCTCCTGTTCTTTCACAGCCTTTTGTTTCGAATGCCACTCCGCATCTTCCTGCTCAATCTGCCGTAGAACTAATCATAAGAAGTCAGCATACAACCTATCCTCTCTCTGAACGTATCTTCACATACCATCCTCCCACTCCTGCTCCTTCCCCTCATCCCCCGTCCCCAACAGTTTCTCAACATCAACATTCTCCCCCTTCTGTACCCTCTCGATGACCTCTTTCAACAACTCAATCTTTGCATCCGCAGACCGTCGATACGCCGCATATCCATTCTTCAGCGTCAACAATCGAATCGCCTGCGACCCGATCAACGTGAACATAACGATGTAAAACGTAGCGGGGTTCCACTCCTTCTTTTCGCCGGGCTTGCGCGACTTGCGGCTCCTGATAAAGCGTGGTACCATCGCTGTCCAGACGGAGCTATCTGCGATCTTGGGGAGCCGCTCGGATGTAGCGTAGGCTCGGGAGCGGGGTGCGCGACATGGGCCGGTGATTGTGCAGGGAGACGGGGAAGGGTGGGAGAAGAGTTTTCGCGTCAGACCCGTGGGCCTTATTCGGAGAGGCATCGTCATTGTTGTGTGTGGATTGTATGTGAAGTCTTTTGCTGGCTTGTATATCGTTGGAAAGACCCGGGAGGATCAAAAGTTGAAAGGTACTTTTCTGCCTGAGGCTGTCAGGCTTGAACTACCCGATCAGGTATAGCGTGTGTTGTTGCTCCGACAACACGGCCGTTTGGCGTTCCCACGGAGGTCTAGCCGGTGATATCAGCAAAGCTCCAATTTGAGAGTCCGATTTCACATTCGCAGTCCGACTGTGATCGCCAACCCCCTCTCTGCGCGCCATGGCGGTTGCCGTCTTACCACCCAGCTCGATGTCCGAGTCCGTTAAACAAGCCTTACGATCAACGTCCACGTGCTCCGACGCAACCGTGTTGTCCCTCCAAACATTGCTCCGCGGATCGTGCAAGGCGCCCGCGAAGCCCGTACGACGGAATACAAAGACTACCAAAGATATCACCACAACGGCGAGTCGCGCGAAGACTTCTAGGACGGTGAAAACGCGAAACACGGGTGAGACGGGGCTGCAGATTGTTGACCAGGATGGGCCCGCGCTGTCGCCTCAGGAGAAGCTCGTGCTTGCTACGGAGGTGTTTAATGGGACGCTGAAGACATTGACGGACGCGTCGAAAGGATCAACCATCAAGCGTCAGACTGCTATCGCAGACAATGTCTCGATAAAGTCGAGTAGGACGCATGGAGTGGCCGCGGACAAGGGTGTCGTTTCGGCCGCTGAATGCGCCAGACTAGCCCTGGCCACGTTACGAGCTTTGAAGAACGAACAGAAATCATCGACTGAATTACCGAATATGCAGCTCGAGCAGGGCGCGTGCGTTTTAGCGGGGAAATTGATCTCGCTGGGCTTAAACGAGATGGCGTGCAAGGAACTTCGATCGTTGAAGAGGAGGATACAACAACATCTGGATGCGACACAGGCTGGAAAGGACATGGTACCCGCAAAGGGCGGTGCGGATGAAGATTCTGGCAAGGAACGAATGTCCGATCTTCTTACGTTTTCGAATATCGCCAATGCGGAGACGTTGTATGGATTGTTGATTTCGTACCATGCGAATGCGATGCGGCTTCTGGTTGCGGAGAAGAAATCCTCGACTACCGAACGGCTCGTTCCTTTTCTGCGGCTCTCTGATCATAGTAGTCCGGCATACGTCATTCTTGCGGCTATGGAATCGGGGAATTTGAGCAGCGACAAGGCTGCTCTCCAACTACAGCTCCTCTCAAACACGGTGTTGTCTCTATGCGCCAGCAAATCTTCCTCTACCGACGAATCAACAACCAAAGACACATTGAAACCAATCACAACCCTGAATTTACAACTGCTATCTCTCGAAATTCGCTGCTTGGGCTGGAAAACATCTGGACATGTCTGCGATGAAAGCAAGGAAATGATTGACCCGCTGCTGCGCTATCTCGGCGGTTTCTCCAATCGCAGTAAGGAGATTGCTAAGGCTGAATTTGTGGCAATCTACAAGTCGATCACACGGATTCAAGCTTCAATGCTGGAAGTCAAGAAACAGCGCCAAGAATCCAAAGATATGAACTTGGCTGCCAAGATCATGACCATTCTTGGGCAGCTCGCTTTGGATGCTGGGTGTCTTGATGAGTCGTTGAAGATTTTTAATCAAGCAATCATACCACTTTTCAACTCTCAAAGCCTTGCGCTAGCTACCGTTCGGTGCAAGATTGCTTCCGTCCACTTCCAGGGCCTGAAGGGCTCGCAGAAGTTTCTCGATGGAGCTCTCAAGGCTACTGCAGACGCCAGTGTTGCGTTGGGATTGCAGTTACGAGGGAGTGTCAATGACTTGGACGAATTGTTGGTTGAATCGGCGAGACTGAAGAAGCTTGCTCTGGCTTGGTTTGGTGAGACGATTACCAAATCCGCCGACAGTGATAGCGCGAAGAACGAGATTGCTTCTCAGATTCGGGAATATCTGCAAGCTTTCTTGAGGTTGCTTCGACGCTATGTTGGGCGGACACCGGGAGAAGATTGTGACGAGAAGGAAACCGAGATGTTCAAGGCTCGCATTGCCATGTCCAAGAGCATTATTCTCGCCGGTGTAGACTCGGCTATTGCTATTGGACGATTGTCGATCATGTCGCAGAGACCGCCGTGGGATGATATGCTCCCCATTCTGACGGATTGCCATCGGCTGCTCACGAGCGTTGAAGCTACCGATGGGAATGGATCAGATGCAGCCCTTACTGAAAGCATTGGTGCTGCACTTGTCAAACTTTCTAACCTTTATTGGGCTCGATACATCAAAGAGAAGGAGGCTGGTCAGGGCTATCGCGAGCTTTTGCCCCTCCTGAAGCAGTCGACCCAGCTACTCTCAACTTGCTCACCTAGCCATCGCAAGACCGCATTTGCCGCTTCCAAGTTCGAGAGGACTGCCCATCTGTACCTTGATGGTAACAAGTTTGATGAATCTGAAAAGGCTTTCAGATCTTCAATCTCAGAATATGTCAACGCGGGGACTCTTGAGGAGATTTCAAGAGGTCATGGAGGTGCTAGCCCCAGTATGCTCAATCACGACCCTCAGAGCCCTGGATTCATGCTCAGTCGCGTTCTTTCTGCTTTCTTAAAGATGAAACTACGACAGAAGGGATTGAAGTCTTTGTCTGTCTATGATGACGAGGAGCTAGGGCCTGAGCGAAGAGGCATCCTCCTCGAATGGCAAATGGGTCTTCTTTGTGATTTCCATGGCTATTGCCCGAGTGAGGATGACTTTCAGTCAATTCTGAGCCCGGTTGTTGCCAGACTTCTCGACAATTACTCCGCCGAACTTCACCCCATCCGACACGGCCGAGTCGTTATCTCTGCTCTTCGTTTCCTGCTTGAACACCCCAATGCCATGAATGCTGATCTGACTGCAAGACTTTTGGAAGAAGGAACGGAAGCTCTGAAATGTGACAAGGGGGCTGGTCAGGACACAGACTTGGCTCCATTTGCGACACATATCCTAAATTCTCTTCGCGTAATCATTGGCTTCCACCAGGGGAAGATGGACGCGTGTGAACTAGACGACACACTTTCCTCTTGGTCCTCTATGGTTCGCCAGTGCCCCGACTTGAAATCGCTGTCTCTTTGCATCACGGATACCGATTACTGGGTTCTTCAGCTTAAGGCTTTGGTTGACTACACCGAGATTCACGGCCTTTGGCAAGCTCAGCTATCTGCCCTTGAGTTGATTCTTCGTGCAGCAGAGCTACTTCAATCAGGGGACATCTCGGATGGAATTGTCATCCTCGCTCGACTAGTACTGCAACACTGTCGTCTTGGTCATTGCCAGAAGGCTGGAGACTTGCTCGCGCGCGGCGAACAGTATCTCGCTAAAAATCAGGTCTCCTTGCTCGCAACAATTTCTTACAAACTTGCTCGGGTCGAATACCTGCTTGAGACCCAGGAGATTGAGAAAGCAGCGGCTACTCTTATCGCGGCCAGAGTGCTTTACCAAAAAGGTCAGAGCCCGGAAGAGCTCAGCAATTTGACCGTTTTGTCCAAGATTTCGTGGGAACGATTGATTGCAGATGCTGCCTTTGTGCAGTCCCGACTATCGACTGCTCAGGGTTCAATGACCCACGCACTGTACTTTGCCAAGTTGTCTGTGAGATTGAATTGCCGAATCTGGGCAAAGGTGGAGAAGCTAGCTCAGAAGAAGCAGGATCGATCACTGCCGTCAAACGCAGGTTCTGACATGGAAGCTGTCGCTGAGGGTGTGGCGAAGCTTGATCTCTCTCAGAACGGGTCCTCGCCTGATGTATCCCCCAGCTATGTTCAGGGGGCTCCATTCTGGCCGCATCTCGGGTCTCATCATATCTGCTTGCTCAATCTGGCCACTTTGTCGGCCCACCATGGCTTGTTCCAGGATGCCACCTACTACGGAGAGCAGGCATTGAAAATTGACAGGACACTGGATGCTAATGTACGACTGGTTGCTGCTCAAACTCAACTTGGCTGTTACTGGATTCTTGGTGGTCATTTGAGCGAGGGACAGGATCTTCTTGCCGCGGCTTCTGACTCGTCCAAGCAGCTTCAAACCAGTATTGAAACCGTTTCCCTTCACATGGCTCTTGCCTCTCTGTATCGGGTACAAGGACAACATGAGAAGGCGCTTCGCCTACTTCAAGAAGCAGAAAAGGCCATTGCGTCCGTGACTTCTTCTGATACCGTGAGCACCTCGGTGGGTCCATGCGTTGCAGTCCTCGAAGAGAAGATGGCGAAGTTGCAGGTTCGTGCCAGCAGACGCACAGCATCGACTGCTTCCACTGTTGCGCCTGTGCGTCGAACTCGCGCGACCAGCGCAGCTGCTACATCTCGAACCTCGAAGAAGACCTCTACTGCCAAGACGCCGATGCCCGAGATGCAATCCAACTCCCTTCTCCGATTAAAGGGCGAAGTTCTCCGACAGCAAGCTGATTGCCTGCGTGCCCTGCGCGACTTTGACCGCTCTGCCCAAACTCTCACCGAAGCCCGACAATGTGCAGTAGCCCGCGAGAGCAAAGTCTCCATTGAAATCGGCGAAAGCGAACATCTTCTCGCCGACGCAATCCGCCATTTCGCCAGCCATGCCGTGTATTGTGTTCTTCCGGAATCCACAATCTCTCTTCCATCACTCACGTCTCCAGTCAAAGGGGGTGAAGACCCAGCACCGCAACCTACAAAGCCTACAGCCACCAAGCGAACTCGTGCTCCCACCAAGACTACGCGTGCCAAGGCGCAGAAGGCGAGCGAGGACTTTTCCATTATGCTTTCAAAGGCGAGCGATTGTCTCAGGAGTGTCTTTGCCGATGCTACCGTTCTTGGTTCGACTCTTGAGAGTCACGCTGCGTCGCGTCTCATGAGTCGGATTTCTATGCTTTCGCATGCTACTACACCGGGAGGTCCTGCTACCTGGGCACAGTCGCCTGCGAACATGAATGGTGAGTGAAGACGTGCAAGGAGTATTTGGAAAATCACATGCTAATTCATCACGGTTTTACTTATAGAGATCGGTCGTGTTGGGGCATTTGCTCGCGAACGTATGGCTATTGACTTTGATCGGCAACTGGCTGACTTTGCCGATCCATTGCTGTGGCCTGCTTCCTCACCTACGGCCATTGAATTGAACGAAGATATTTGCACCAACTTTACCGAGAACTATATCGACATCCTGCCCGAGAATTGGAATGTTCTCTCCTTGTCACTGAGCGCAGACCGCACCGAGTTTGTGGTCTCCCGGCTCCAAAAGAACCGCTCTCCATTCCTCCTTCGACTTCCCCTGCGAAGAGGAAACTCGGACGATGATGAAGAGGAGCAGTTCACTTTTGAAGATGGCAAGGAGGAAATGCAGGAGCTCATTCAGCTGGCCAACCAGAGTGCGCACGCAGCGAAAGCCCAGACTAATAAGCAAATGAAAAAGGAATGGTGGAAGAACCGGGAAGCGCTTGATCGTCGAATGGAGAGCCTGCTTCAGAACATCGAGAATGTCTGGTTTGGAGGATTCCGTGGTGTGTTCTCGCCTCTTGCACGGGATGGTGATGCCTTTGCTCGATTTGAGAATGCTTTCCAAGGTATTCTTGACAAGCATCTGCCCTCTCGCCAAAAGGGCGGAAAGGCTTCCTCGCCCCGTCTGACACTGCATCAGAATGTCGTGGAACTTTTTATTGGTCTTCGCGATCTAGAAGACCAAGAGGAGCCCGAAGATATTCTGATGGATCTGCTTTACTTTGTGGTGGACATTCTTCAATTCCAAGGTGAACGCAATGCCTACGATGAGATTGACTTTGACATGATGGTCGTCGATACTCTTGATGCATTGCGAGGCTACCATGAAGCTGCCCGGGAGGAACTCGCTACTCGCTCCCCGAGTCACACAGTGCTAGTCCTCGACAAAGCCTTGCATCTATTCCCGTGGGAATCTCTTCCTTGCCTGCAAGGCTTCCCCGTGTGCCGAGTCCCATCTCTCGAGTGTCTCCGCGAGCGAGTTCTCAATTTCCGCGACTCCCACTCTGGCGCAGTCATCAAGCGTACTTCGGGCTCATACTTGCTCAATCCGACGGGTGATTTGCGCACGACACAGGAAACATTCGAAGGGGATCTATCGAAGCTGGAGTCCTGGACTGGAATGGTGAATCGCGAACCCTCCGAAGATGAATTCCGCGCCTCCCTGGAGACCAAGGATTTATTCCTGTATTTCGGTCACGGTAGTGGCGCGCAGTACATTCGTGGTCGCACCGTCAAGAGGCTGACCAGGTGCGCTGTCGCGTTCTTGATGGGTTGTAGCAGCGGCACTCTCACCGAAGCTGGGGAATACGAGCCCTATGGCACACCTATGAACTATCTTCAGGCTGGCAGTCCAGCGCTCGTTGCCACGTTGTGGGACGTGACTGATAAAGATATCGATCGGTTCGCGACGTCTACGTTTGATACGTGGGGTCTGGTGGAGAAGAAGGAGAACACTCCCCGTTCGGGTGATGGTGGTTTGGATACGGCGGTTGCTGGGGCCAGGGCGTCGTGTGTGTTGAAGTATTTGAATGGAGCTGCACCCGTGGTGTATGGAGTTCCGGTGTTTTTGGATTGATAGGGGTGGTCCTTCTTGGTTGTCCAGTGTATATTATGTTTTTGCTTGTCCTGTTTCATAGATATGGGCGCTGGAATCGGTCCTTTGTTTCTCATATACATACCCATATTCATTACGACTTTTTTCCGTGACGAGTACAACCTGTCTCTACTTGGATAGCCATGGTAGGTATCCCGATAGCTTGCCTGTGCATTATATCCGATTCCAGTATCTTGAATAAGAGTCTTCTCTTAGATATACAGGAACTAACTCGATAGTTATAAACCCAACCCTAGTAACCTAGATAACGAGCATTGAATCGTGCTGCTAAAAGCGGCAATGCTATCCGGCAACGAAAAGAGTGGAGCTTCCCCTCATGCGGGACAACGAACCCCGCGCAAAAACGTCAGTTCTTCTTTCTTCCTATTTATCTTCTTTCCCGTCTTGAATTCCCCCCGTCATCCATCTCCCCCATTTCAACACTCTCTCGACCATCCCACCCATCATGTCCGGGGTCACTGAAAAGGCTCGCATCGCCTCCTTCGGCGGCAAGCTCCTCAAGCTCAGCCACAATGCCACCACCACCCGCTGCGAAATGTCTTTCAACTTGTACCTCCCGCCGGGTGCTACGGAAAGCAGCTCGGCCAAGGTCCCCGTACTGATCTACCTGTCCGGGTTGACCTGTACGGCGGATAATTGCTCGGAGAAGGGCTTTTTCCAGCATGGTGCCAGTAAGAAGGGCATTGCTGTGTTGTACCCGGATACTAGTCCTCGTACGTGAATTGCTACCCCCTGTCTGACCCCATTTGCTGCCTACCTAGTGGGAGTGATTAAGGGCGGATTAAATTGAAGTCTTTGATTTGGGTTGTTAACTGTGTTGATAGGCGGCTTGAACATTGAGGGCGAGGATGATTCTTATGATTTCGGTTCTGGCGCGGGTTTCTACGTGGATGCTACCAAGCCTCCGTACAACCAGGGCTACAATATGTACAGCTATGTCACCGAGGAATTGCCCGAGGTCGTCTTCAAGGCTTTCCCGCAGTTGGATGCTAGCCGTGTTAGCATTACTGGCCACAGCATGGGCGGTCACGGTGCCCTTACTTTGGTGAGTAGCCTGTTTTTCTCTTGCTCGTTTAATTGGCTTCCGATGACTTCTCTGCGAGCAATATTTCTCCCGGTTCCTTCTCCGGCTACTGTCTAACCCATTCCCTCCAGTTCCTCCGCAACCCGGGCAAGTACAAGTCCGTCTCGGCGTTTGCCCCCATCACCAACCCCATCAACTGCCCCTGGGGCCAAAAGGCGTTCAAGGGCTACTTTGGCGAGGACCAACAGGAGAAGTGGAAGGAACACGACGCGACCGAACTCGTGAAGAAGTGGAACGGTCCCGAGCTGGACATCCTAATTGACGTGGTACGGAAAAACCCCTACCTTTTACCATCGTATCACCAAGCTAACTCATTTCATCGTCCAGGGCACCGGCGACAACTTCTACAAGCAGGGCCAACTCCTACCGGAGAACTTCCAGGCTGCCGCCGACGCAGCAGGCCTCAAGGGTGTCAACATTCGTTACCAGCCTGATTACGATCACTCATATTACACCATGGCCACGTTTGCGGATGACCACATCGAGCATGCGGCCAAGTATCTCAAATAGTGTGTGACCTCCTCCTCCTCCTCCTTTTTCTTGTTTCCTTTTCCGTTTTTTTGGCATGGTTATTTCTGGGGGGTCCGTGTTCGTGGGGGTAATAGATGGGATCACTACACCTGGGATAGGATGCTATGCCCAGCATTCGTACGTGTGGATTCTGAATTTGAAACTCGAATTGCAATTTGATCATGACTGGCATTATGCAACGGATTCTGATTCTTGGTGATTTCTGATTCAAGTGGGCGCCAACACGTTGTCAAGTCGGTTATTTGACGTGGTGTGTTTGACACGAAAATGGGGGGGATGATAGATATGAGAGAAACTGGCTTTGCGATAATAGGAATTGAATGAATTGATGTCTCTAGTATTCATCCTAAATGTCTACTCGACTAGCTACTCGACTACCTAGATAATCTGTCCCCGTAGCTTGGAGAAAAGCCCTTTCAACCATATTCACTGAAACTAGCTCAACCATTCAAGCCGACTACCAAGATTATAGCTTTCAATATCTGCTTTATCTTCAACGGAATCGGAAAAGGACGAATATGACGAGAAGAAAACGCCCGCGATGCGATGCGAATGCGCCACGGAGTGAAGAATAGAACGCAAACGGACACGCTATGTACTGAAGACGTTGTAGAAGTAGAGAGGGTACACTTTTGGTGAGATTTTGAATTTGATTGCTTTTCCAATCCATTTCTTTTTGATATTCTTTTTTTTCGTTGATAGTGGGACATGTCGGATGAGAATGGTATGGTATCCGTGAGGAGAGGGGCACGGATGAAGATATAGATGGCATGAATATGGGGGCTTTTATTTCGACAGCCTGCCCTAGCCTGCCTTGGTGACGGACTTTTCCCGTCGTCATACCTCAGCTCGGGTCGGGTCAGAATCTGGACGGCGCGAGGACAGACATCACCTCGTTACTCGGTCTCGTCAAAACAGAAATATGGTATGGCATGGGGGAATCTAAAAAGCAGGAGAGAAGGAAAAATGACGATGGTCGTGGATGATGGGGGAGGATGGGGAGAGAGGGATTATGCGCTCAATCGCTGGATGAATGACTAGAAAGAAAAGAGAGGGTCAGTACGAGAGATGCTTCGTTTAGATGCTAGAGTTCGCCCTTACTGGGAAGAATTGCCGGAACCCTTTCATGTCCAGCTGGCTGAGTGCCGTCAAGAACTCTTCAATCAGGTCACCGCCCATGCCCATGCCGGGCAGCTCCTGAGTCCGCAAGTATTCAACATATTCCATGCTCGTCTTGAGGTAGATGGTGCGCTGCAGTGCACCCGCCTCGGCAAGAACTTGCTTGGCAAGGGCATCTTTAGAGTTGAAGGATGGGGTGGTAGGGAGGGCCCAGCACAGGGGTGAGAAGCGGCTGATCATGAATCCGCCAAATCCGGGAAGGGCGGTTTGAGTGGATGCGACGCCATTGGTAGATCCGGGAGCAATATCGGGTCCGCCCCAGGCGCTACCCATCCTGGAAAGCACGGAGAAGGCCATCTTGGCGGTCGTAAAGTCGTCAATGTCCTTGGCAAAGTGCTCGATGGTGGTAATGACGCTTTCGAAAATGGGTTGGTTTCCTATATGGAACCGTTAGGCTTGAACTTACTCCGAACAGGAAGAGAGATCATTGAATGACTTACGCTCGCTAATTATCACAGCTCCAAGGTCATTGTTCAGCACAGCGAGCAGGAAGTTCAGGTATTCGCGCTTGAGTTCAGCAAGCTGAATCTCATCGTCAGTACCCGTAGTGGGATCCGCAAGGCTTGAAAAGACGCGCTGCAGGAATGGAGTTAAAAGAGTATCAAGGATACTGTAGATTTCGCTCTTGAATCCGAAGATGACCTGGTCCAACAGACGCAGGAAAAGGGCCATCTCATCACGCGACGAGGTCTGGGTCAGGAGCCCATCGATCCAGCGAGGGAGCTGGGGCAAGATGCGGGCACCCAGAACGCCAATCAGCCGAGAGAAGGCAAAACGAGCGGCAGTTCGGATATTGAACGAGGTTTTGAGAGACTCGAGGGAGACCAAGGTCGCCTCTGCCACCTGGCAGAAACACTCGGAGACCTCTGGCGCGGGCAAATGGCCGGGAGGGTTGGTGGTGGGAGCAAGAGTTCCCAAGGCCATGATATCATGGTGGATCTGCAGCATAGCTCGTTCATCGTTGGACTTGGCGGCGGCAAGATTGCGCTCCATATCGGCGAAGATAGGATTCACAACCGACTGAATGTAGAGGACCTGCTTATCCACAGGCACGCTGTTGGTCGAGCAGATTACACCGACAGCCTCGAAGAGGTATAGTTGGCTGTTGAAAACGGCATCTGCGGAGCCCTCGTGGTCCTCGGACGACATCTCATCGCCATCCTCGCCTTCAGCCGGAAGCTCGGCTTGGATGACCAAGAGATCACCCAATGCCTCGACAACGGTTTGCGCCACATTGCCAATGAGGCCCCGTAGCTGCTTCACTAACCGCTGGAAGAGGTACCATGAGCGAGTCTTCACTTTGCGGTTCGTGTGATGGACAAGCTGGAGGAAGCTTTCCAGAACGCCGGGGATGAGTTGCGCATGGTGCTGGAAGAACGAGCTGTAACGAACGCAGATTTCCATGTATTGGAGTTGTGTGGCAGGGTGGGTGAATGATCGGATATCAGACTCGACCATTCCGAGCATCATCTCGATGAGGCGCATGGCAGCAGGGCCAGTGGGTGCGCCCTTTGCGTACAGACCACCGGCCTTGACAGCGAGATCGCCGAAAAGGAACATCTCATGCAGAGCCAGATCAAGGTCGCGCCAATCAATCTGGCCGCCAGAGGCACGCAAATTCTCGAATGTCGTTCCCACCACTTCCGAAATGGCATCGATGTATAGCTGCTCGTCTGCAGAGGCGGCAATTTGCTGCAAAACACCCAGTCGCTTCCGCAACTCCTGGAATTCTGCCTCGTCGGTCTGCTCATCCTCATCGCCCCAGTTGGACGTTTCATCGTACCGCATCTTCGCGACGATCGCTTTCAAGATTGGGAGGAGAATGGCCTTGTTCTGAGCTTCCAAGGAAGGGTCGGCCTTGGAAACCTTTCGAATGTAGGTGAGCATGTCGTTGACACAGGGAATCACCGTCGAGCAGACTTCGTCGTATTCATCGGAGAAGAATCGCAAGATGTGAGGCAGGAAAACCTGGAGAAGATCGTTCGCCTTGTCTTTCACAGCACCCGAGTCGGTCTCGAGTACCCGCACAATATCCATCACAGTAATATTCACAAGCTTAGCGACAGTCTCGGCCAGATCGGTATCGTACTTGAAGGTGAAACGGTTCTCGCGCAACGGGGGGCTGTTCGAGAGCTGGGTGACGATCGAGTCGAGGTTGAGGAAGATGATCATTTCGATCTTGTCGGCAGGCTTCATCTTCTTGGCAATGATCTCGGTGAAGACATCCACGGCAGCATCCCGGACCCGCTGCTCGCCTTCGCGCAATTCTTGCTTCTCAGCCCGACCCAGCTGCTGGAACAAAAGGTCCAACATTGTCTGGTTCACGACCAATCCAATGTCAATCCAGCTGACCCAGCTGCCCACGGCCTTTAAGCACATCTCGACCACTGTGTCGTCGGCGTCCCGCCATGCCGACAAAATCTCCTGCCATGAGCTGGCAATCTTCTGCATGTCCCGTTCTCGGATCAAGTCTTTCAGACTGTTCGCCTTGTCCTGCTCTCCACGCGATCTCGACACCAATACGTCGCCGATTTCCTCATGGATCGAGTTCACCACACGCAAGTAAAAGACGATTCCGAGGGCGTTGTCGCGGGTTGAGCTCGCGGAGCTCTTATAGGTGAGACTGAGAAGGTCGTCGAAACAGCTCTCCCAGCCATTGGCGTACAGTGCGGAAAAGAGAAAGGTGATAGTCTGTGCAATTTTGTTCTGAATGTAAGGTGCATCGGGCGCGGCGGTGCCGTCGGGGCCATAGACATTCCGGAGGTAGTTCATCAATCCATCTCGTACGACGACCAGGGAGGCTAGATCGATGAGACCCGTTTGGGCGGCACTATTGACAATTTCCAAGCTCGCATGTCGCACGATTTCGGGCTGTGGGGGGGACTTGGTGAAGAGGCTGAGGCAGACCGGCCATCCGGAGGGATCGGAGCGGAGTTGGTTGAGGTAGTCAAAGGCTTGTGACTTTAGGGCGTGGTCGGAGGACGGATTCCAGGCGATCTCAATGGCATTTGCTACCTGGAGAGTGGACATTGTCAATACTTGCATTCGGAGATTAAAAATACAACGACCTCGGAGAGGAGGGGCGGGATGCGGTGACGGTGTTTGGAGGAGGGGTCATGCATGGAGAAATTTGGGCAAAGGACTGGAAATGGCTGGAAAACGGATCGTGGATGACCGACTGACCTGTTCTTCCATCTTCGACCAGCCGAGCTCCTTTATACTAGAGCGTGGGGGTGGGTGGGAAGGAGGGAGGGAGGGAGAAGTTCGACGGAGAGGTTGTGTTGGTTCAAAATTGTTTTTCAGTGGAGGAAGAGACCATCCATGGTATCGTAATCCAATTTCCGTGCCTGGGTCCGCCCTCGCTTGCACCACGTCGACAGCGCTCCTCTAGTATGGGAGATTTGAAGAGGATGTGAATTAAAATGGATATTGCAAGTGAATCATGAATGAGTACTTGTGCATGTTTAATCTCAGGCTTGGAGGCTCGTAAGTATCCCAATAGGGTAAGTGGCAGCGTGTTCTCCGATCGGTACCCAACCACAGCGTCATACTCGGGCCTGCCATACACACACAATGTTGTTGAATGTTAGCCACAAGCTGTAGAAAGAGGGAGTTGGCCTCGGACAGATATGATCATTATTTTGGAGTGATCAGATAGATAGAAGTACATGGTCTTTACTAGCTGGAAGCTCATGATAGCACGATTCTTCCCCAGTACGTTTCCTATAGGCTGAATAGCTTCCAGAATGGGCCCACTTCGACTGGAAGCTGAAAGCTGATCGAAGAATCGGGAACTGGCATTCATACATTGACCACGTGTTTAGCGTCAATAATGGACCAAAGCTATAGATCTGTTGGAAGCTATACTAAGCTTTTGCTTAGAACTAGATAGTCGCACAGATTTCTATAATTCGGCTGTTAATTCCTGGAAGTGTCCAAAGCATATAATGATATAATACAGTCTCACCAGCGAACTCTAACAGCGAAGCGATAAGAAATAGACACCAAACAGCATAGATACAAAATATATCATGAATCCATTGAACAATCAATGTACCGAGTCTCTCCAAAGAGTACAGATGAACATTATTACATCAGGGAACGAGGATTCCACTCATCCCGTTCTTTGCGGAAGAGTCCCGTTCTCTAATCTCTATAAGAGCACATTCAACACTGCTTGATTCACGCTCCGACTCCATGAGACCGGGGTGCCCGTTTAATCTGCCGCAAATGTCTGGTTCGAAGACCCACAACGATCATCGTAACAGCGGCAAGGACTTCGGGAAGAAACATGAGAACGACACGAACCGCAAGAGATCCATAAATAGGACTGAGATCTCTTCGCCCCGTAAAAACGTAGACAAGGCCGTAGATCACACGCACTGCGATAAATATAAGAGTGACAAAGGCACCCTGGAGGAGCTGTAAATAATTCAATACTTAATTAGTCGCTAGCGAAACAAGAGGCTGGATATTTAATCAGGGAGACTTACAGCGGTACCACCATGATACCCAGCGGTGCCCTTCACTCCATTGCTAGGTAGCAAAGAGAACAGCGACCAAAGTACCTGAATCGCCCAGCCCACGCTAGTCAAAACGATGCCGGCTTTCCACTCTGCATAACTACCCGAGCGGGGATGTCCTTCGTAGATAAATAGGGACCCCGTTATCGTGAGAGCGACTGCAACAAACATAATGTTGGTAGTCACAACAATGACCGACCAGCCGAGCAGGCTACTAGAAGATGGGTTGCGATATACTCGTCTAATGGGATACCAGAGGTTGTCAGTCTATGGATCATTTGAAAGTATGGGCATAAAGTTGACAATGTACCCTTCATGAACCAATCCGTCCACCGCAAGAATTAAATGCATAAGCCCCACGGCTTGAATGATGTTGGCCGGCAGGCCATCGCTATCGTGGATCCCGAGGATGCCTCCGATAATTCTTACCAGGCAAAAGACGCCGAGGTAGAACCAAGGAAGGAACCCAGACCACCGGTGTGTATAGAAGATGTATGCGACGATTGGGGCTAATACAAGGTAGACCGTGAGGTCGGCCGGGAAAATTCCGTTCATGTTGGGCGTATTGGATGGTAGACTTGAAGTTTTCGAAGATTAGATCAATGATGGGAATGAGAATCAAAGGAACGCTCAAAATCGGAATGAAGTGATAAATATAGTCTCCATCTCCCTAAGGAACATAGGACCATTTATAGCATCTTATGAAGGATTCCCCAAAACAATCTATGATATCCATTTTTTCGATTTTGGCATACTCCTCGCTCAGCAGTCAGCACGTTGACCTGCGCCACCACGGTAGGTTATTTGAAGGCCATTCAATATGAAGATGGAGATGGGGGTAATTGGGGGCCAAGCTTTCTCAGCCTTAAAGTCTACAAGGACGGTTAGTGCGGGATAAAGGGGGCGATGATCCCTCAAAATGGTAATCAGTTCGAGCAGCTGAACCAATCAATACCACCTCCCACTTCTCCCTCAATCCAACACGTCAGCAGCTAAGCAATTCTCCATTTGCTTATGTTCAATGTACATTGAATCAACGTCCCGTTATTAACCCCCACCTCCCAGCTTTTCCGTCCGATCTGATTACCGCTCTCGGCATCGTGTGCTGGTTCACCTCGTGCTTGTGTTGAGCGATGGTATACAGAGGCAAGCCCAGCCCTGGCTGCGCCCTGTGTAGGGCCAGAAGACTATTGGTAGGTACATGGGTGCTGAGAGCTGCTAGCATGAAGCTGAACCGCTAACCGTCCGCACACAGTGCGATCGGCGTCGACCTTCGTGCTCCCAGTGTCTGCGGGCGAAGCGCGAGTGCTCAGGATACCAAGACCTGCAAGCACTCCGCATCCATGACCAAAGTCAAGAAATTGTTGCCAAGGCTCAAGCCCAGGTCCGCCGTAACCTACGAAAATCTCCAAAGACCTCTTCGCCAGTCCAATCAGAGACACTCTTTGTGCCTATTCCCGCTTCTATACCAGCTTCAATGGATGAGCGGGCTATATCTTACATGTTCAAGATTTTTATGGGCACTAAGCAAAGCCGTGGCGTGCTCGCATTTATGCCAAATCTAATAGGCCAGGACCCTTCCCCTGCGCTCCAAGCCACGATCAAAGCCGTAGGGATGGCTGGCATGTCGAGGGTTCACTCGCTGCCGAAGATGCAATACTCTGCGGCGGTACAGTATAGTAACGCTTTACTTGCGACAAATCGTGCGTTGCAAGATAGCAAAGTGGCTAGATCAGATTCTACACTAGCAGCCGTTGTGCTGCTTAGCACGTATGAGGTACGATATTGTCCGTCTCGACTTATAAGGTTTGATCCAGGCTAATCAGCAATTAGATGATCACATGCCAAGAAGCAGCTAATGGTAATAATTTCATGAGCGGCTGGTCTAAACATGTTCGGGGGGCGACCAAGCTCCTTGAACTACGAGGCGAAGAGCAAATGGGATCCCACAGTGGCCTGGCCTTGTTCAGCGTTGTTCGTATGCAGATTGTAAGTTTGTTAACTACAAATCTATTGCTCTCCATTTTCAATGCTTACAGAAAGATAATTCTAGGTATTCAACAGCATATTCACCCGAGAGCGAATCTCACTGGAGCTCAAAGCTCTATCCCGAGAGGCAAAAACCTATCGCAATACCGAGTCAAAGTCAATCGAAGATTTCTACAACATCGTATGCCAATTAGCGGATCTCTCTATTGAAAGCGACAAGGTCTTCACAAACGCATATTCTTCCACAGATTCAGTCTCCATAATCAAAGCTGCACTCCACCTCGACGCAGATTTGATATCATGGGCTCTATCGGTAGATCCTACATGGCGGTACAAATCCACCGAAACACCCGTTTTCAACAAGACAAACGATCACCAACAATACCCCCTCTACTATGGCAACAGGTACCACGTCTACCCTAACATCGAACTCGCCTCGATGTGGACATATTATTATCAAACACGCATCATCGTACACGGAATTATTCAAGCCACCTGCAGACAACTACTAGAGGCAGATACCGCACACAGCTGCCAACACACTCTCAACCAGTCCATTGCAATCAGCAAACAAATGGTAGACGATATTTGTGCCAGCGTACCCATTTATTTCACTTCGGGCGAGACAGGCCTTGGTGGAACGATGCGGTTGTCATGGCCGTTGTTCGTTGCGGCAGATTGTGCGGTCACCACGCCCGAGGAAAAGAACTGGCTTCTACAGACGTTGGAGAAAATCGGGCAAATTACTGGCTCTCAACAAGCTCTTACAATGTCGGATTTTCTCAAAAAGGGATATGCAGTCCCGTTTATTCCTGGAAATATAATGAGAAGGAGATGATGGGTCTTTCTTCGTGGTGATTTAGATTAACCTCTGAGATTTTTATTAAATGGCAATAAAATTGATCATTCTTTTTATTAGCCCTACCTAATCTCTCTCATGAATCATATTTCTTGTTCATATCGAGGACTAACTCCAGGTTACACAGGAGCTATCCGTGGTCTCTCAGTCAGTATGATAAAGTAATGAGTCAACTAGATCACGATTGAGTTTGATGACTGAGATTCTGGTAGAAAGCACACTGAACACGGCGTTAAGCATAGCCACTGTCGGCATCGCTGCCTAGCCGTTGTGGTGCGGTGTTATTGAAAACGAGGTTTTGTTTGACGTACTACAATTCTATAAACAGTTTATCTCTCACCGGATCAGAAAGTTCGTTGAAGCAAGAAAAATACTAAATAACATCGGAATCAAAATCCATAAAGAACCATAGCTAAAACGCCCCCCAACGTCCTTGCAACCAATACCAAGCTTTAACAAAAGCTAAACTCCAACATACCCTACACCAATAAATTTAGCAAAATCCAAACAAAAGATAAGATCTCCAAGTCCTCATACCTCTACTCTTATCCCGACGACACCCCCTTCGGCCGAGTCTGTCCAATCCCGTCTTGGCCCGGTGCAGAAGGGTTCATCGCATATCCATCTGCAACAGGTCGTGGCGTGTATGCAGTCTCAAAGCCCCGGGCGGCCTCTGCACGATCCGATTTCTTTTTCTTGTTCATGAGGAATGGGATGAGGAGGCACATTTTGGCGTTTCTCGTGTGATTCGAGGGAGTCTTTTAGTCCCGAAAACGGATTGCCGAGCTGGTCTGCTCTAGAACAAGAAGATGTGGGTTAAAGTCGAGTTCCGAGAAAGAGATTGATAGATAATGCCCAGGAAATCAGGCAATAGATATTTGAAGATAGAATGGATGGATTTGTGAGTAACTAACAGATAGACATGGCAGGTTTGGGCCCTTTTATATCCGCCGTCTCCTCCCAAAGGCAACTAAATCAAAATAAGCATCGCAACTTAGGCCCCATTTTGCATCGACTCAGCCTTACTCCTCCTTCCAAATGCTTAGCAATATCGTCGCTAAATTAATGACTGCATGGCCCAATCAACCCGATTGAGAAAGGGCCCAGTCTAACCTAAACGGGTAATCTTTTCGGTGGACGATCCACATCTGCAGCCCCCGAGTCCATGCGCTTGTAACTCGTGTCAGCCCCGAAGGTGGGTTCTTGACAAAGCCAAGTTCGGTCCATAATTCGTGTAGTCCATGCGATTTGGGAATGTACGGTTGAAGATTTGACTATCTGTAGTTAGAGGAACTGCCATAGCCTCTTCCTCGTTGGTTGATAGGGGTCGCTATCTCCGGGCGGAATATCTTACGCACGTAAGCATGCAATGATGCTCAAGGGACTAGCCAAATGAATCGTCGAGATGGATTCTGTGAGCAACTATATACATATTGGAATAAAATTCATTTGTCCAATGTTATGGTCTATCAGGCTTTTACCGTGGTCATTATGTAGGGGCTGTTTCGTTGATGTAGAAGGTGTACCTCCTGGAAGTATAATCTCCCTGCGTACTGGAAAAAGACAGCTCAAATTATATGGTTCATCTGGCTGATATAGACTGATCTACATCTCCCCATCCACTATCTACAAAGATCCGCCCAATCAAATCAAAACAACATCAAAATTCAAAACCCAAGTCTATAGACATACCCCCTCTATTCACGGGCAACCCCCTCCAAAACCCTCTTTTCCATAGCCTCAAATCCCTCAACCGCCTGCCCATACAACTCAAACACACCCTTTTGATACCCCTCCGCAATCTTCTCCACAAACTCCTCCTCCTTCCACCTCTGCCCAATAAGATTCTCAAAAGTCTGACCCTCCCCCCTCTCAATGCCCCAAACAGCCTTGTAAGCGGCACCTAGCGCACACGCATTGTCACCAATGTCAAGCTTATACACGCCCTCGGCGCCGCCGAGGATTTCTCCCGCAATCTTGGCAATGGCTTTGTTCTTAGATCCGCCGCCGACCAGGTATACGCGGCGTGGTTGCGGTGGGAGACCGTTGCCGGGGCTTTGGGTGAGGCCACGGGAGCGCAGGCGGAGGGAGAGCATTTGGCTTTCGATGATGGCGCGGGCTTCATCTTGAGGGGTTTTCCAACCGTCGGTTGTTTCGGTAAGGTCGCCATTAGTAGGGTTGTATGTGAAACGCCACTGGCCAGCGTGGAGGTTTGGTACGATCTCGGGCCGGGGGAAGAAGAGGCCTAGTTTCATGGGGTCATTGGCGTTATGCTGGCCCATTGGGGGTGTGGAGAGGGCTGTTTCGTCGAAGTGAGCCCAAGGTTGGGAGGGGGTGTCTTTTAGATTATCGTTGATCGCGTCACGGACGTGTTCACGGGCTAGACCGCCGTTCTTGTAGCAGAGCATGAACATGTATAGCCCCGCAGTGGTTGGGTGGTTGAAGAAGTGGGTGGCCGGGTCGGGCATGTAGTTGGGGGTGGACATGAGGAAGGTCGTAGAGGTACCCAGGGATACCATCGCATCTGACGGGCGCAATGGCAGCGCGAGAATGGTCGCGGGGTTGTCGCCCGTAGCCGGGATGACAGTGCAGTCTGCACTGAAGCCGTAACGCTCCCTGTAGTACTGGTGGACTTGTCCCAAGTGCAGTCCTCCATCTTCGGGAACCACGCCCAGCTTCTTCTTCAGATCCTCAACATCGAACTTGCCAGAGCACAGCTTGAGGATTGCTTCATCATAGGCGCCCTTCTTTATGTTCCACAAGTTCATCCCGCACACATCCGAGATATCAAAGGGCGCAACATGACCGAGGAAGAGCGAGGCAATGAAGGATGAGACCAGTGAGATTCTCGACGTCTTCTGATACACCTCGGGATGCTTTCTCGTGAACCGAAGAATCTGAGGACCCGTGAATCTCTGCCAGTAAAACACCCATTAGTTTCACGATCTGATCCAACCAAAGACCTTTCTCAACCCTGAAGGAGCCTCTTACGTGGTGTGCTTTACTTCCCGTCGCCTGAGCAAGCTGCTCGGGACCCCCAAGAACGGCATCAAACTCATCACATTCCTTCTGCGTACTCGAATCCTGCCAATTAGGGCTATACGGATGCGAGAAAGCACCCGGCAACTGCTCCTCAAGCGACCTCTTCGCATCCAGCTTCGCCAGCAGCTCTTCCGCATCGGCACTCCAATAGACACTACCATGCTGCTGCCCCGCCCCGCTGATACCCTTCACCCGGCTAAAATCCAGCCCTTGCTTGCGCAAGCTCTCCAACACGGTATCCATGGCCTGCAGCCACAATGCGACCGGGGCGAACACTTCGTGCTCGGCTTCATTGACCATAACACCCTTTTTGATGGAGAAGCCGGTTGAGTCGGCATCGAAGTCGAATTTGGCGATGTACTCAACTTTGAGCTCGGAATTGACAACTAAACCTTTGAGCTGTTGGGTTGACAGGTCGAAGCCAATGTAAAGAGGGGATTGCGACGCCATTGTGGGGGGATGGTGCTGCAACCTGGCGATGTAGTGCAATTGAGCTGTCGTAGGTAGCTGGTTCCGTATTCGGGGAAGGTCTCGAACAAAGCGTGATGAAATTGAAGTCCAATGCCAACGGGGGGGGGATCAGCTGGACTCAGTTATATTCTCGAAATAAAGGCGGGGGGGAACAGGAGAAAGTTAAAGGAAGAATTCCAGAATTTATCCAGCTCGGGAAAAAAGAAGGGCGGGCAAGAACAACGATGCGCAAGGGAAGGATGAGTCCGCAATGATGTAAACCGGGCCCCCGCGCGGTCCCACTTTCTCTGGAGGGAACAGGCTGTATCATTGTGGTCCGCTGGTGGATGTACTCCGTACACCGAGACCGAAAAAGAACTAAGAGAAACGTTCTCTGGTGGTACCTTTTGTGGTCACGAGACGGTGACCGTGATCTGAGGGTCTCAATGATTAGCTTTTTGGGGATTCCCCATGCATGAGTTCGTTCGAGGCTCGTCTAGAACGCGACCGGCTAAATCGGAGGGGGAAAGTCTGCTAAATTACTCGGTAGAATTCCCTGTGGTTGCGGCCCCACTTGGACTCGAGCCAGAACCATGGGGTACGGAGTCGTTGCGACTACATTTAGCTGCAAGCAGATGTGCCAAAGGCCTCTCTTTTGATAAAGAGAATATGCAAGGCAGCCATGGCAGAGGATCACCGCAGCCCTACAGCCCTATCAGAATAGTTAATCCGATCTTACTCGAAGGTTGGTTACACCCTCTATTACAGACATGGAATCATAACAAAAAGGATTGAGACAATGTCACCGAACATCTTTATTCCTGACTTCTGGTTGTATACTTCTAAGCGTCGGTCTATACACAGTACAGAATCTCCACTCGCTGAATATCGCCCTGACCAGAGCCAAGAAGTGTGGGGGGTATCATTGCAGCACCCAACTGCCGCTCATGTGTATCCAAATGGATCCATCCGTTTTTCTTTCTTTTCGTTCGCTTCGCCGATCTGAAGTCTATTGCTTCTTCTGAGAAACTGGATCTTCATGGCTGTGATCATGGTTATGATTGGCAACACCGTTACCATTCATATGGGCTTCAGGATTAGCCCCCGTGTCCTGGGAAACAAACTCCTCGGAGAAAGTAAGCTCTGCGTGCTCGGCAGGAATAAAGCGAATCTTGACACGCTTCACGCCGCGAACCTTCTCGCCAACGGTCTTGCGGACGGCCTCTTCCACCAGTCGGGATCGGGTAATGGCCCAATCACCGGGAACGGCCAGTTCAATATCCATGAGGTAGTTTTGTCCCGACTTCATGCCCTGGACATCGCGGACAATGACCTGCTCGCCGTCCTCAAGGGCCTTCAAAGCCTTGGCAGCGGCAGTCTGCACTGATTGCTTGATTTCATCATCCACAGTAGTATCAGCCAACTCCAAGAGAGAGGTGATGGTATTTCCCCAGCCGGCCTTGATGACCATCAGGGAAATCAAGAGACCGCCCACCGGGTCCAGCCAGGTGGCATCTTGGAAGAGGTAGCTCCCGCCAATGGTGAAGAGAGCGACAATGCTTGTAAGGGAATCAACGCGGTGGTGAATAGCGTTGGATGCGAGGACGGACGACTTGCGCTCTTTGGCAACTTTCATTGCTATTTGGCTGTTAGTAACTGGAAATCCCGAACGTCCATTTGCTTTTGAGGACGGCACTGAATCTACGATCATGCGGTGGGGAGAAACGTACTTGCGTGGTACAACCACTCCTTGATCACGATCGAACCCGCTGCCAGCCAGGCCGCGTGGATGCTAGGACCTAACACTTCGATGCCATGGCTATGCGAGTGACCATGCCCATGTCCAAGAATCCCCGAGTGTGCCAGCGTTTCAGCCAGTTCGGGGTAACACTGCGCCAACAGAACCTGGGTAGCATTGAGACCCATGAAGACACCACCGCAAAGCAGTAGTCCACTCACGCCCAGCGCGCCAATGCTTTCCACTTTGCCATATCCATTCGGGAATCGCTCGCTGGGAGGCTTCAGTGACCATGCGACGGTACCCAGGGTTAAAAAGTCGGAGACCAAATCGGTGAGCGCGTGATAGGCATCGGCGATGAGAGCTTGCGAGTGAAAGACGTAACCACCGATAAACTTGCCAATGGCCATGCAAAGGTTGGCGAGGAGACCGATCCGTGTGATGCGCACACCGGCATCGTTCTTGTTAGTCGAAGTCAGGTATACATTGTCGTGGTGATGGTGGTGGGAATGGCCGTGTTGGCCGTGACCCCTGGTTTGCGTCATGGGGGGAGTTAAGAGAGCGCGATGGGAGGAACGGAGTCGAACATGAGACAGCCAGAGGACGGGGCAGGCTTTTAATAAAGGAGCGGAAGAGGTCAGGACACGAGCAGATCCTCGAAGACAGGGGAGACGATTGGAGCGACCGAAAATTCCGCGGATGGAGGAGTGGAGGGAAGGACGAAGCCCGCACCGCAGGGGCTGCGTCAGCGGCATCACGGCCCTTGTTTTGGACTATCGGTAATTGGAGGCACGCGAGCACGAACACGAGAGGACAAGGTGTTCTCTTCGGGGCTGTGTGCCCATGACCTCGAACTCGGGAATAATAATGAAAACAAAAAAAAATCTATAAGACTGGGTGAAGCTGAAATTGACGTGGGAGAAAGAAGGGTGGGATGTCGTTCGATCATGTAATCCGGCAAATCGGAGATCCCAGATGCGCTGATGTTCCTTCACTGGAAACTACCAATCGTGAGGTGGTGATTACTCAAGCTGGATGAGCCCGACGACTGTCGAGTCAAACTACGTCACGATCGTATATCGCTGAAGCAGACGATAATTTTTTTTTTCTATTTCTGTAGACTCAACTATAGGAATGAATATTAATATAACTCATACCCTCCGTTTTAAGCTCATTACGAATCTGTGCCCCTTCTGCAGTATCATCGCCGAAACGAGTCAGCCAAGACCGGTCCCTACGCAATCCGCCCACTCGGAAAACTGGGCCCCAAGCAATACCGAGATACCAAGAAAGGTTCCAACGGGGACCGGAGTCTCCGCCGCTCCTCATTGCCAAGCCTCCGAAGTGCCTTTAAGGCTACACCTCTATCAAGCCACCCCCAGCTTCCCCTCCCGAGGATGCGTCCTCAATGACGACGCCTGCAATTCGAATTCCCTTCACGGGCCCATTACCTCCAGCCATCGTTGTCCCACCATCCGCAAGGAGCATCGCGGGGGCGATCGACGCCGTGAGCGCCTTCTTCACGGCGCCACCATCCCTACATCTACGGGGCATCGACGTGGGTCGAAACACTCAGACCGTCCTCCTGACCGGTGCTGGTATATCCGTCGCATCAGGTCTGTCCGACTACCGCGGTGATCAGGGTACTTATCGTCGAAACAAGTCCTACCGGCCTATCTATTTCCACGAATTCGCGACACGTCATGAGTCGCGCAAGCGGTACTGGGCGCGGAGTTTTGTCGGGTGGCCAGGGCTCGTGAAAGCGAAGCCTAATTCAACCCATTGGGCGATTCGAGATCTCGGGGTCAAAGGATATATCAGCTCTGTCGTAACGCAGAATGTCGATTCGTTCCATTCCCTGGCTCACCCGGACTTATCTACCCTCGAACTACATGGGTACCTACGGTCCGTGGTCTGTACTAGCTGTCGCAATCAGTTCTCGCGACAAGAGTTCCAGCAATCATTAGAGAGGCTGAACCCAGCATGGGCGGAATATCTCGCTCGCATGGTTGATGCCGGTGCTCTTGATACCGATAACCCAGAGGAGCAACGAAAAAAGGGATTGAAACTCAATCCCGACGGTGATGTCGACCTGGCCGAGGCACCTTATTCGACATTTCGATATCCTTCGTGTCCAACCTGTTTGGAAAGGCCTCCCAAATTGCAAGACGGGACACCCGCCCGTGTCGAGGTTGAGACTGACGGTGCATGGTTACCGACTTCCACTGCTGGTATTCTGAAGCCAGCGGTGACCATGTTTGGTGAGAATATTGATCCGGCGGTTAAGACTGCGGCAGAAGAAGCCGTTGATGATGCTGGGCGCTTGCTGGTGCTGGGCAGCAGTCTTGCCACCTATTCGGCCTGGCGTCTGGTGGAACGAGCACATAAACGAGGTATGCCCATCGGGATCATCAATATCGGGGGCGTACGCAATGAAGCCATGCTCTTTGGCCAACTGGGCTCGGGGCTTGACGGGGACTTTGGTGCTCATGTTCGCTGCAGCCATCCCGCCCAAGCCATCCTCCCGACCGTGGTCTCGGGCCTACCTAGGAATCACTTGAAGTGATAATCACTATAAAATCGTCCGTAGGTGAACCTAGATAGAATATGTTTTTTATATTAGATATACAGCAAGTAAAAAATCATTTTCTCATTGGGCTGCCGACTACAAAAATAAGCATACCAAACATATACAGTTGGCGCAGCAGACAAGCGCCCAGCCAGACCTCCAACCCTCGCGGTCCAGTACATAAGCGGATGGCCGATGGCCCGTTAACTTTCCCGGCCCACTTCCTTACGCGCGGGGCTCCTCCTTCCATCAGCATGGAGCGTCTCAGGGATCCTGCAGCACTCCCTTTCAAGTCCGCTTCAACTCTGGTCTCCCCCGGTTCCTTTCTCTTCAATCCCAAATCAACTCATCCCACGGGGGTTCCCGCTTCTCGTCCACCTCAGCGTCGCAATATGGACAAATCTCAGCAGCCTAGTTCCTTCCAGCAGCTGGAAAAGGTATGATCGGCCCTATGAGCCACCCCCCCCCCCCCCTCGTGGACCGGTGAGGATACTGATTAGATTTTTTTTCTACTTTACAGCTCGGAGAAGGCACTTATGCCACTGTACGTTGTCGCTCTCTGCCTTCTTGGCCGTCTCGCTCCCCTCCATCCCGGCGATCCTACTCCCCTCTCGTTAGGCCGCTTTGCGCCGACCACCCCCGCCTCCGTTGGTTCACCGCTGATACAGGATGATTATAGGTCTTCAAGGGGCGCAATCGCCAGACGGGCGAGATGGTGGCGCTGAAGGAGATTCACCTGGACTCCGAGGAAGGCACTCCGTCGACCGCGATCCGTGAAATCTCACTGATGAAGGAGCTCAAGCATGAGAGCATCGTCTCCCTCTACGACGTGATCCACACTGAGAACAAGCTTATGCTCGTCTTTGAGTTCATGGACCGCGATTTGAAGCGGTACATGGATACCCGCGGAGATCGGGGTCAACTGGACCCAGCCACCATCAAATCATTCATGCACCAGCTGCTCAAGGGCATTGCCTTCTGCCACGAGAACCGCGTGCTGCACCGTGATCTCAAGCCTCAGAACCTCCTGATCAACAAGAAGGGACAGCTCAAACTGGGTGATTTCGGTCTGGCTCGCGCCTTCGGTATCCCGGTGAACACCTTCTCCAACGAGGTCGTCACCCTGTGGTATCGTGCCCCAGACGTCCTCCTCGGATCCCGCACCTACAACACTAGCATCGACATCTGGTCTGCCGGCTGCATCATGGCCGAGATGTACACGGGTCGCCCGCTGTTCCCGGGTACCGCCAACGAGGACCAACTGGTCAAGATCTTCCGGTTGATGGGAACACCCTCCGAGCGCTCCTGGCCCGGAATCTCCCAGCTCCCCGATTACAAGCCTACCTTCCACGTGTACGCTACTCAGGATCTGGGCGTGCTCCTGCCCCAGATTGATCCTCTGGGTCTGGATCTGCTGAACCGCATGCTTCAGCTGCGTCCAGAGATGCGTATTAGCGCAAGCGATGCCCTCCAGCACCCTTGGTTCCATGATCTACCCCAGGTCCAGGCTCAGTTACAACAGCAGCAACAGCAGCAGCAGATGGCCGGCGGATATGGAGGCATGGTCCCTCCTCAATCAGCGTACTAGATGAGAGTCTCCAGTGCCGGGAGCTGGTTAGCCGCGATTGCTGAAAATTGCGCATAACGAGATGACGAGCTCAATTTAGACAAATTTGGAGAAATGGGAGGGTCCGGCGTTTTTGTTTTTCTCGATGATGGGTTGTGTTTTTTTATCATCATTTTTTTTTTTTTTTGCATTGTTCTCTTCTCGAAATTCCAGCATATCCATTTCAAGCTCTCTTTCCCTGGCTCGTTTCCTTGCGATAGTGTTTGAGTTTCATGTCAGTCTTACATATTTGGGTCATGATTTGCAAGATAATGGAGTGAGTCTGTTGCTGGTCCGCGTGCTGGTTTGTGGAATTACTATGCATTATCTTCGCCTTGACGGCAAAAATATCAAAATCTTCTCGACGAGTAATTGCATTTTGATGACCCAAGTATTTCCAGGTGAAGATCCTTTTCACGGTCAACCTGGTAGACTTCATCTTCGGTGGCCTATTACTATTGGGTCGAGTTTGATAGCATATCTTTGCTATTGTTAAATGTAGGATTGTTATTTACTATGCATTATGCTACACCATTAGGAACTCGCTTCACTCATCTAAAATGGCATCTTCCTACCTACACACAAACTTTACAACCTACCATACTACTGCCTGGCTGCCCATGTTCTCCTAGATGTGCATCATCACTAGGCCTACCTAGTATCCACTTTGTAACATAACAGCATACTATAAGGCAAGGTCGAGAAAGTAGGCTTTTTATCGTGGAGGCCCCCATAGGAGGGAGATCGTCTTTAAGTAAAGTAATCTTGTTGGTATCTGAGGAAACCTCCTGAGGGAAATCTCTACGCAAGGAAGCTGAAGAGGGGAGGGAAAACTTGTCAATCTACGTAGATCTGGACAAACTCTCTTGGTCTGCAGTGAAACAGGAAAAACAGGAGATGGCTATATAGCCATCGACCTACCATCTCGACGAAACAGAAACAGGAAGGAGACTTGATCATATGACCAAGCGGCCAGACGGCAACGGGCAGGCGCTGACGCGATTCCCTGTATCAGTTGAACACTATGTATACCAAATATCTCATCCTTCCCCAACTTGTTTATACACCTTCACCTCTTTTGGTTTCTTTTCCTTCGCCCTCCACCCCTTTTTTTTTCTCTTCACCCCCTCATCTCTCAACTATCCATTTGGTATTCGATGGATTCCCGAAATCTTTCACCGCACACTACTCACAGGCTGGGAACTCCGGGGGGTTTTCACACACTGTCGACGAGGAACAGCCTACTCCCAAGTCAACCCCAAGGACCAACAGGACAAGGACTTAAAGGAGCCCCAGTGCTGACCATTTGCCGGAATGTCTCCTCGGTGAGCTCCTCAATGACGAGCTGGGAACTCCCGGGGGGTTTCATATACTTGACCCGCACCGAGCGGCCTACCGGCTCCCTACCCGCTGTCCGTATCGGCCGGGTCACAATCCCATCTGGCTGGGTTGAAGGGCAGCATTACTGACTAGTCGCGAAACCTCGCCAAGTCAACTGCGCACCAGACGCACGAGATTTCCACGGATACTCCAACATCGCCCGGTAGTTATAGGCGGGAGCTGATTCAGCACAAAGGATGGCCGAACATGGTACTTCGGCCGACCTCAAACTCTACGTCGACGACTTCGCTCCCGATCAACCCCGCATTCGATGGGGGGACGAAAATCCATCGAGCTTGATGCTGCTCACTTCAGCAAATACTGACTATTTGCATGATAGCATCATCGCAAATAGCGTACCCAGCTCATGAGACATACAGACGAAAAGATATGGGATAGTTATGTCATACTAGTTAGTCCACCACCATGTCGCCTTCACCGGACCAGTTACTTGCGATTTCCATCACGGAACGTGTCTGTTCGGCCATCTCGCTGGTGGGCACTTTCGTGATTGTCACGACGTTTATTGGATCGCAGTCGTTTCGAAAACCGATTAATCGCTTGGTGTTTTATGCCTCCTGGGGCAATATGATGGCTAATATAGCCACGTTGATTTCTCAGTCGGGTATCCATGCTGGCGTGGGTAGTCCGCTTTGTCAATTTCAAGCCTTTTTAATCCAATGGTTGGTTATCTCGGCAGTGCCTTTTACCTTTTGGTTTGAATGGTTACCGATCTCTTTTGACGGTCTTCTCTAATGTCTCCTATAGGTTCATGCCGGCGGATGCTCTGTGGACATTCGCAATGGCCTGTAATGTCTACTTAACCTTCTTCCACAACTATAACTCGGATCGGCTGCGCGGCCTGGAAAGGAAGTACGTGCTCGGCTGTTACGGTTTGCCGTTTATGCCGGCCTTTATATACTTTTTTATCCATACCCCAACTCGTGGCCGGATATATGGCTCGGCAATAGTGAGAATACTCTGCCTATTCCGTAATATATAGTTCCTCACTAACTCCCTTTTTTCCCTCACAGCTATGGTGCTGGGTCGCTCGTCCTTGGAGCTTCCTCCGGATAGCCCTCTTCTACGGGCCCGTCTGGTTCGTCATCTCCCTCACCTTCGCCATCTATCTACGCGCCGGCTCGGCGATATACCAAAAACGACGCGAACTACGAACGCTGGATACTTTCGACACCCTCGAAACAGAAATAGCCACCCTCGCCGGGATCCAGGTGACCAGTGAAATCGCATGTTCTACGCCAGAACGCCAGTCTGTCGCGGATCCCAATGTCGACATTCCGGTCCCCGCCCGTAGCTTTTCATCTTCTCACTTATCTCCGTACTCTGTCACTATCGAGGGCGGCATGATGGATGAGATAAGCACGTATCAAAACTCAGAAGAACGGCTCCCTTCTATTCAGGCTCCGAGCACGAACCCAGGTCCGAGATTGTCGGTGTCCCAGAAAGCGTGCCGTTCTAACAGCGCGGACATGTACTCCCAGCAACGGGGTATCAATAGGGAGGCTAGTTCGGCAGCCTGGGCTTATACCAAGTATGCGATGTTATTTTTCATTGCGCTGCTTGTGACATGGGTATGTTATCTTCCTCGGGCAATGCCAGCTCAATTCTCGTCGAGGCTCGCGTCGGTTCTGACATGTTCATGGGATTAGGTTCCCTCCACGGTAAACAGGGTGTATGCCCTGGCTCGACCTGACGACTTCTCCTTCGGACTGAACTATGCAGCGAGTTTTGTACTTCCTTTGCAGGGATTTTGGAATAGTTTGATTTATGTAAATATTTCTTGGCCGGCGTTTAAGACGCTGTGGAGGGATATGCGACTGAAGGCGCAGGGCTTACACAAGCTTACTCAATGACTACATAAGCAAATATCCACAAATCTGGATAATCATGAGAACTGCCATCTTCCTTTGTGTAGATTGCATAGTTCCGGCCGTTGAAAAAAGCGGGTCCATATACATTACCCATATCACGTGACGATCGCGTCGCGGTGCCATCAGGACATCACAAGACTCCAGATTCCCAAATGCCAAAAACATGAACACAACTCTCTCATTACGCCAGACAACTCCACCACCCAACATAAAACCACTCCAATTAGCAAAGCCCACGCGCACAACACCATGGCAGGACCCAATTCCCATACCGCGACGACAACAGAACTCCCCGCGCAAACCCCAGGTCTCCGCGCCTCGCGCCTACACCAGGTCTTCGATCAAGCACTAGCACGCACGCTCCGCGCAAACTCATACGCCAATTTCTCCGGCTGTTTCCCGACGCCGGCACGACATGTTCCGGCTAGTTTGGAGAGCGTGTGGAGACAGTTGAATGCGAAGTTGGAGGAGAGTGCGAAGGCGGAGTTTGAGGAGATTCTCGAGGAAAGGGAAGCTGTGAGGCATTTGAACGATTTGGATCGATTAGTTGCGGAGGCGAGGGTGCGCAAGGAGAACGGGAATGGGGAGGCAGGTGGTGGAAATGCGTACGTCTTCTTCCGTTCTCTTGAGCTGGACTTCTAGCTGACGACTTGGGTCTATTTTGTAGGCCTCATACACTCGGTGCGGAAGAGCTTTACAAAGCTCATTTAACGCCGTACCTCCGGGAAGCGGAGGCGACGCTGAATGGCAAACTCGAGGAGACGCATGCGCAGAATGCAGAGTTGGCGCAGACGGTGCAGGCGCAGAGGCGGGAGATTGAGAAGCTCTTGGCGCATCTTGAATCTGTCGTTACGGATATCGAGGGCGCTGCTACGGCGGCTACGGAGTTTAGCAAGGAGCATCATATCCGTCAGGATGCGATTCAGATGGATCGGGAAGTGCACGCCCGTCCGGGTGCTTGAGAGGAGGGCTATTTGCTTGTCCTTCTTAGAGTCTTTTGTCCCTTCTATTTACTCGGTTGTTCGGTTATGAGATCAAGGCGCTCATCTCGGTGGGTTCCACCATCCCGTCCTCGACCATGTCCTGGGCCACTGCAATCAATTGCTCGAAGGATGTCGTCTTGATCTGATCCAACTTGGTTCTCTGGCCCTCCAACGCCGCAGCAATGGCCTCCTTGAAAGATCCATCGCGTTCTGCCTCGGTCTCTCCATCCCGACGAGCTAGTGCCGCCGCTCCACGATAGTACGTTTGCGCATTACGCAAGAGCGTGGCTCCATGCTGTGCCGCCACGGCGTGGTTCCAGGGTGCCCGACCCAGTCGCCAGCGCTGCATCTCTGCGTCACCGCGAGCAAGATGAATCTTGGGCAAATTGTCGGCACTGGGCAGCTTCGAGGCGGCCGTCAACGAGTCCAGCGCAGTCGAAAGTGATTGCCATCGCACATTACAGCAGAATTTGAAAGTGTCCGGATCATCGGCCGGTGGTACATCTGCGAATGCCCCGTTCAGCGCGGTCAGTGCTTCGGCTTTGCTGCACAGTCCCTCGGGATCATTGGATACGTCAAGCTCGGGGCCAAAGGCCCGTCCGACCTCCTGCTTGTACGTCTGGGCATCGGTGTGACCGCCTCGGTAAAGGACGTCGTGGAGCGCACAGACGAACCTTGCTCTCGCAAGCCCAGCTTCATATTGCCTATCCGATCCCTCGACGTAGGCCGGCAGCCGGGTCTCAACCAGTTCGGAGGAGTACTCCTGTATCCAGCCCACTCCGCCAGCACCGGGGTTGAACGTCAACAGATTGCACAGAGCCGTCAACGTATCCAACTGCGCTACGGCCGAATCAACCAGCGTGTTCTTCGTCACTGGCTCGACGATAGCAGCCCACTGCTCCTGCGGCTCACTTTCGGCAGACTCGCCCTGCGCTGGCTGCGACTCTACTGGCGGGGCCGCGGCCTCTGGCTCGGGTACTTCAGAATCCATCTCCCCAGACTCCATCTGCATGATCTGCTCCTCCATCTCGGTGAACTTCATCTCCTGCAGTGCGAGACACCTCTGGAACAGCTCAACCGCTTCTTGCAGGTACGTGCTCGCTTGCACAAGCTGCTCCTCACCCGGGTGCTTCGAATCCGTCAGAGCCTCGGCAAGACTGGTCAGCACCTGTCCGCTGTTAAACAAGGCATCCGCATTGTCTTGCTCGAGATACAGTGCATCCCGGTGCGACTGCAGCGCTACCTCCAGAAGCTCAGCCTGTGGAGCGGGTAGTTGAGCCGCTAGCTTGGGATGCTGGGTGATTTCATATTGGATGCGGGCTCTGGTGATGAAGTTAGCTACAAGAAACGCAATTTGCATAGATTAGGAGAAAATAGAGTCTATATGCTTCCAATGAAAACACAATCTCCATCAGATTCATAAACGTACTTGTTGTAGGCCAGATCAAAGGCAGCTGGATATTTCTGCAGCCCTTCATCGTAGTTGGCAATCGCTTTCATAAAAAAGCGCATTGACTTGGCTGCGTCTCCAGCCCGCCATTTCTCGCCGGCTTCTTCCAGCTCGACGCCCGCTGGAATGGGTTTGATGGTTGGCTAGGGGGAATCTTCAGACTGCGGCAAGATAAGCTGCTTACCTGCTAGATAGTCATCGGCCGTTACGGGGAGTTGCTAGGTTGGCAATTTGAGTCAGTCCTGGGAAGGCTTTCGTTGCTTATTAGGGGCCATGTACCTGTTTCGCGGCGCTCTTCTTCTTGGCCTTGGATTCTTTGAGGAAAGCCTTGGGTCTTGGCATGGTGGCTTGTGATGGTGGATCTGGATATTGATTTGCGTCACTGGCGCCGAGTCGCGATGCTCAGAGAGGGACTTAGTTCGCTTGTTTTATCAGTCAGGTTGGTTGGCCGGTTGGCTAGGGATGTGAAAAGAAGAGACTGGAGAGGTTGATCGTCCGAAAACGGAGATGGCGAATCAGAGGGGCGTGTTCGGGCTGAGGAGCTCCACGTATGATGATGGCGATGATGCTGATGATGATGGTTATTTTTTCCGCCAAGACTCGGGCTGGAGCTGTTGGTGAAAACCGTTAAAGTTGGCGGGGTACATCATCGAATTATACCGTACTGCGTCGCTAGGCCATACTATTTTCGTGGTGAGGATACTTTTCATCTTCAAGGCTGATCTATTGTTCTCTGTTAGCGGTCATCCATCTACGAATATGATCCCTCGTCAAGGCAGCAGCAGTACTGAAAGGCGAAAAGTATACCTCGGACAGTACATGCTATAGTGAATACTCCGATCGAATAAACTTCCCCGGTCGGACTACAGACTGTCAATCCATCCTGGCTGATCCCACGTGGCAAAATCCACCCTGTAAGACTCTTCATACTTCCTCGGTCCATCCTCCGTCAAGAAGGCTGTTCTATTGTACATCGTTCTGGAAAGAATTGAATATAGACTATGACAGATCGAAGATGAATGAAAAGGTTTCTTCTTTTCTGCATTGAATATGTAGATAAAATCCAAAATATACATCACATCATGTCATTCATAGATCATCTGCATCCAGTTTTCTTGCGTTCCTTTCTTTTGCCCCTCTCGTTATGTCGGGCTTCAACCTCCGTCACTCTTCACACCTCCCCAGACCGATTCTCCAACCAGCAACCGCTCCCTGCAGAAGATCATCCCCCCTCTCAGAGTCCCAGCAGATCCCTTCCTCCGAATCTCCTCTTTGCCATCCGACTGTCTTTTCTTTTTCCTCTCTTTTCCTCTCCGACCTCCTTTCCCCACCACCAGCGCGACCCACTCCCGCCGTTTCGGCCCTCCTAAGTCGCCTGGGTTCCGTCCAGAAACCATTCCATCCAGAAACCAACTTGTCCGTGGCTGCATATAGTGTTTCAGTCTCCTCTTTCTCGTGCTCGCTTTCCTCCCTGCCTTTCTTGCGACTGCCCATTGGTCTGTCACAATAGCGAGCTCTCCCGACCCACCGGATTGACCGTGAGCCTTGTACGTGACGATCCCTCTGCCCGATTAATGCGGTCTTGGCTCAGACCACCCGATCCCTGCTAATCTGCCCATCCTCCAGGGAAAAAAACCCCCCCAACCCCCATCGATTCGGCTCCAGACCACAGCACCTCAAAAAGACGCGGTCTCCCTCCTTTCCTACCGAAGAAATGGCCCGCCATCCGTCTCTTGATTCCGAGCGACCCATCATGTCAAACTCGGTGCGCATTCCTTCCTCCCCCTTTCCCCCTCTCGCACGTCGCCTTCTTCCTGGTCCCCCTTTCGTCGCATGATGACTACGTCCGGATAGACTGAATTACTGACCGTATACGGCTCTAGAACCGCACCTCTAAGCGCTTCTCGACGATCAGTGGCAGCCCCTCGCTTGCCAACTCCGAGCGCACCATCGGCAGTCTGCCCAGCGGAGATCCCAGAGTCGCCGACATCACTCACCTCGGTGATGGCCTGGAGCGCCTGGAGAACAAGCCCCTGCAGGCGCAGCGCTTTGTGCCCACCGAGGAGAAGACCGACAACCTGAACAAGTTGGCTCTCGGAGCCAAGGTGGAGCGCGCACTGGGCCGAAGGATGACCAGCCAAGACGCCGTCATGCGCAAGCCAGTCCTGAGCGAGAAGGCCGCGGCCGCTGCGACTACTTCGTAGACGACCGAGACTCAAGGAAATCTCCTAAGTCTTCTCCCTCGCTCGCTTGCGCACTCTGGTGATTCCATATAATGCGGCGGTCAATGCTGGTGTCATTTTCTTCGTCTCTCTTGCCCTTTTTACTGTTCGCACTCCCAAGCGAAGCCCTTCCCTGTGAGGGAACTATCTACGATTGCTTACTTCTTTTCCTTTTTGATTCTCGAACCCTCTCACGTCCGATACCATCTCACCCATCATACCCCCTTTCTTCTTACTGATCTTCTTTTTCGGCGTTTTTCTAAATTTGTTATGAAATTTGCATGACTCCTTTGGGGCTTTTATCCTGTCTAGTATATCTCACCTTTTCCGAATCCCGTCGCTTTGTGTGTTGGGATTCGTTATGGTTTCTCTCCATTTGTTTTGGACTATATCATGAATGCTACCTCGTATTAGATTCTTTGGTTCTGATGCAAGTACCTGTTCTGTATGCTGTATGCTGTATGCCGTATGCTGTATGCCGTATGCTGTATGCCGTATGCCGTATGCCGTATGCCGTATGAGTCCTGCCTAAAAGCTGGGGACCGACAGCGTCGCCTGGCCAAGTTGCAATGACTCGGGCAAACACGTTTGTCTGCCATGGTTTACTATAACCGAATCGGGCGAATATCAACGTTGAGCTTCCCTCCCCCGGAACTTCTTCTCCTCGTCAACTCCCCGAGTCTCAATCTCAGGAAGACTGACACACAACGATCAACTGTTCTTTGTCAATCGTTTCCTGGTAAGTCCTCATTTCTTAATTCACTTCACTCCTCACTGCTCATAATCCATCTCATCGAATCCTTCCCAATCATCTCCCTTTCTGCCGAGCGGTGAGTCTCGTGCCAAGCCCACGCGAAACCCGCACGGAGTCTTCGCAGACGAAAGCCAGTCGCTTTTTCCTCGAAGGCGAATTCCCCCCAACAGCTTCGTTTCTGTCTCTTCTTCTCCCCCTCTTCTCCTCCTCTCATCCCGGTTTATACTCAACCACCGTTCGCATCATCCTCTCAATCTCGCCCCTTGCCGCCCTTCTCCTCTCTTCCCGGTCTATCCCGCACAAGAGTCATTTTTCCCTCCTCCTCTCCCACACCTCAAACCTATACTTCCCGCATCACTCTCCGCATCATCGAAGAGTGTCTTCCCTTTTTTTTTTCCCTTTGATCTTGTATCTTATTCCTTTCTTCCTTTCCTTTCCTGCCTTTCAATTGGGTTGCATTGGTGCTTGGTCCATTTCGCATTGTAAGTGCGCCGCCAACGCCTACTCCACCTTGCCTTTCCATCGGCTGCTGGGATCGTGATGCAAAAAGCGAGTCCCAGAGCTGCCGAGGTATCAAAAACTGACTCGATCTATAGGTTAAGCGAGCGGAAGAAAAACAACAGAGTCTCATTTAGATCTCATTTTGACAGCTTCCGATCTCGTTAAAAGCTTCGTTCAGATAGCTCTTCTCGGCTGTTCCAATCCGCGATCCCCACCTTCTTACGGCTACTTTTAATTTTCATCTCATCTCCTCTCCTCTCGGCCTCGAACCTCATCTCTCCCCAATCCTCTCTCAAAATGGCCGACATGACCCAGGTTCCCCTCAACGGCAACTACGCCGCCCAGCATGGCTTCCCCGAATCCTTCAACCCCGCCCACGCTGCCATGAACACCGCGGCCAACTTCCAGCCTGCGCAGTCCTCGACCCCTACCAGCGCCACCCCCAGCACCGAGCAGCAGAAGAATGAGATTACCAAGGATGAGGTTGGCTGGTTCTTCGTTGAGCAGTACTACACCACTATGAGCCGCAACCCGGATAAGCTCCACTTGTTCTACTCCAAGCGATCCCAGCTTGTCTTTGGCACCGAGGCCGAGTCCGTCCCCGTTGCCATTGGTACCAAGGTGAGTCAAATGCAACTTTCAGCCCAGCATTTACACCCGACTTAGATGCATGCAATGTCCAATACTGACGTCAATCCTTCTGTACTAGGCCATCAACGACAAGATCAAGGCTCTTGACTTCCAGGACTGCAAGGTTCGCGTCCTGAACGTCGACTCCCAGGCTTCCTTCGACAACATTCTGGTCTCCGTCATTGGCGAGATCTCCAACAAGTCCGAGCCCTCTCGCAAGTTCGTTCAGACTTTTGTCCTGGCTGAGCAGCCTAACGGCTACTACGTCCTCAACGACATCTTCCGTTACCTCGTTGAGGAAGTTGAGGAGGATGAGGCCGTGACCGAGGAGCCTACCCCCTCTGTCTCTGAGGCTCCCCAGGCTACTGAGACTGCCACTGCCTCCGAGGAGGCTCAGGTCGCTGATGAGTCCACCGCTTCCAAGGTTGATGAGAAGCTGGAAGAGGTCAATGGCGAGGTCGAGCAGCCTGAGGAGGTCGCTCCCAAGACCAACGGTGCCCCCGCCGAGGAGGTTGACGAGGCCCCCGTCCCCGCTGTCGAGCCCGAGGCTCTGAAGGAAGAAGAGCCTCAGACCCCCGAGCCTTCCCCCGCTCCCGAGCAGAAGGAGGTCCCCGCTGAGAAGGAGGCTGCTGCTGCTGCCCCGGCTGCTCCCGCCGCCGCTCCCGCCGCCCCCATCCCGGCTGTCCCCAAGACCTGGGCTAGCATTGCCTCCAAGGTTGGTGCTGCCAAGGCTGCCGCTGCCGCTGCCGCCCCGGCCGTCCCTGCGGCTGCTCCTGCGGCTGCTGCTCCCACTCCCGCTGCTGCTGCGCCCAAGGCTGCTGCTGCTCCTTCTACTGACTCGGCTGCCGCCACTCCTCGTGCTGCTGCTGCTACTCCTACCCCTGCTGCTGAGAAGGATGTTGTCTCTGCTGACGGTGCTGGCTGGCAAACCGCCGGTGCTGATCACAAGAAGACCCAGTCTCGCGCTGGCGAGGACCAGGTCGTTCTGGGTTATATGAAGAATGTTAACGAGAAGGTTGACGCTGGTCTCCTGAAGCAGACCCTTGCCCGCTTCGGCAAGCTGAAGTATTTCGATGTCAACCGCCCCAAGGTTCGTCTCCGCAATCTCCAAAATAAGTCCTCGCTTTGTTATGGATTGATAGCTAACACTCTGCTGTTTAGAACTCTGCCTTTGTCGAGTTTGCCGAGCCCTCTGCGTATGCCGCCGCTGTCGCTGCCAACCCCCACCAGATTGGCACTGAGCAGATCGTCCTCGAGGAGCGCCGCCCTCGCCCCAACACCTTCGGTAACGGCTTCCCTGCTGGTCGTGGCCGCGGTGGCCGTGGTGACCGTGGTGGTAGCCAGGGTCGTGGCGGTTTCCAGCGTGATGGCCGTGGTGGCTTCGCTCCCCGCGGTGGTCGCGGCGGAAATGCTGCTACCAAGAACCGCAACGGCGCCCCTGCTGCTTAAGCTCTATTCGCCCTCTCAGAATTAAAATAGCTCCATGTGGCGGTGATGAGTACCACGCCCGAGCTTGGATCATGACGTGAGGTTTCGTTCCACCTCTAGCTTCGAGCTTCGAGCCTCAGCTTCAGCTCCGGGCTCTCGCTCGAATATCTTCTCGAGCACCTCGACATGTCTTTGACACGTCTCTCTCTACGTACACTTTCGATGGATTCCTCTTCCAGAAATCTGTATTACTCCGGATTTTGATACTTTTTTCTCGTTTGTGGTCTTGACCCCGTCTCGACCTTTTATCCCCTGGTCTCTTTTTTCCTTTTTTCCCCCTCCATAATGACATGTGTTATGTGACTTCCCCCTCCACCACCCCCTTTTTTTCCTGTCTCCTGTCACAGTGCATATTAGCGGTTGGGTCCGGGTCGGCTGGAAAAGTTGTGTCTTTCTTTCCCCTCCCTCTCTGGGCACTTTGTCTTATTTTGCGGTTTATTGTGTTTTTGTGTCCTATGCGTGGGCCTCCCCGGCTTCTACCGTTTAAACCATATCACCGGTTTTTTTTTTATTTCTTTGGTGGTGGTGGTCTGGCTTTCGTGTTTCCCCCGTCTCACGATTTCTATGCCCTATATTCTCCAATGATTCTCTTTTTCTCCGTCTTGTGCTTTGATAACTTGCCATTTCCTTTTCCATGTCACGAGCCGCTGTTCCACCACGAAGACTCTATATCGCATCGTTTATCTAGCATAGCAAGTTGAGGGTTTTGCGGTGTTACACCATCCCGGTCTCTTTATTTCCTTGTTTCATGTTCAATCTTTCTTATGCTCTTCCGTGTCCCCTTGGGATATGGGTGGATATGTATTTTGCCAGGAAGATGGGTCTTGTAAATGGTATGGTCAATGGGTGGAGGGTTGAGGGGGCTACTCTGGGTATCTGTCATAGTGATTGAAACAAGTGCAATATCAGACGGTTGTACCAACTTGCCCCTGACAGGACCGTATCGTGCCGTGTGACCTACTACGTGGTGGTTGCTGGGTAGCAGACCAGTTGTCAGTAACATCACTGGTAGGACACAATATCTCAGTAAATTGCAAAGTACTGGGAGTTTGGGATGAAGGATTTCTACGTTCTCAGTTACAGATGTTCATGTACTCTATGATACTATGATACTATGATACCGTGCTGCCGAATCCACGCTTTCATGGGGAAACAGTGGCGGGCCTGGATTCTGGGGCAAATCCGGGAGCGAAGATTCTAGACTGTTGGATGCCTGAGAAGCCAGGCATTTCGTCAATGGGTAGAGCAACTGTTTTTGATGAATGTGTCTCTAGCAGGAAAACTGACAAGAAATGAGGCTCCAGAAATTGCTAGAAAAAGTATACCAGTCAAGAATCAGCATTGACATTGCCAATTCCAGCGATAGTGGCTGCAGCTCGACCCTGTCCGTCGTAACATGGCGGTGTCGTTGCTGGGGAAGAGGCCGGTGGAAGCCTCTGGATCGCCGTAGAACCGCCGCCCGTCGAATCGCTGAACCCACCAGAATTTTTTGGAATCACAGGCTCTTTCTTCACCTTCCCCCCCCCATAAGATCTGCGCCGTCTCAGCAGTTCTTTCTTTTCTCTTCTTCACCTCTCCTCCCATATCTCTCTGTACGTACAATCTCGCCCTCCTCCCTTCAACTCTCCACAACTACAATCTTCTTCCCATCACCATTACCATTCCCATTTGCTCTCTGCCTCTTGTCCTCTGCTACTCATCTCCTCTGATCCACTCCCCACCTTTCCTCATCTTTCCGGACGAGGACCTTGTCATTTTGACCCTGGAAGCCCTTGCCCGAAGATTTGAAAAGGCTCATTATCAACCCTTTTCTCTTCACTTCTCTCGCTACCCTTTTTCTTCTACCCATTGATCTTCTCTCTTCACCACCATTCACCGATCCGCATTCCTCAAATTCTAATCGATTTCGCCCCCTCTTTACAGAATACCCACCGCCATCATGCCCGAGACTTTCGAGTTCCAGGCTGAGATCTCTCAGCTGCTCTCGCTGATTATCAACACTGTCTACTCTAACAAGGAGATCTTCCTTCGTGAGCTGATCTCCAACGCCTCCGATGCGTTGGACAAGATCCGCTATGAGTCCCTCTCGGACCCCTCCAAGCTGGACTCCCACAAGGATCTCCGTATCGACATCATCCCCGACAAGGAGAACAAGACTCTGACCATCCGTGATACCGGTATTGGTATGACCAAGGCTGTAAGTTTGATAAAAACTCTCGATGAAAACACCGTCTCTACAGAATCGGGTGGCTAACCTTTTACTCTTCGTTTAGGACTTGATCAACAACCTTGGTACAATTGCCCGCTCTGGCACCAAGCAGTTCATGGAGGCCCTCTCCGCCGGTGCTGACATCTCCATGATCGGTCAGTTCGGTGTCGGTTTCTACTCTGCCTACCTGGTTGCCGACAAGGTTACCGTCGTCTCCAAGCACAACGATGACGAGCAGTACATCTGGGAGTCCGCCGCCGGCGGTACCTTCACCCTGACCCAGGACACCGAGGGCGAGCAGCTCGGCCGCGGTTCCAAGATCGTCCTCCACCTGAAGGATGAGCAGATGGACTACCTCAACGAGGCCCGCATCAAGGAGGTTGTCCGCAAGCACTCCGAGTTCATCTCCTACCCCATCTACCTCCACGTCCTGAAGGAGACCGAGAAGGAGGTCCCCGATGAGGATGCCGAGGAGACCAAGGAGGAGGAGGAGGGTGACGAGAAGAAGCCCAAGGTCGAGGAGGTCGATGATGAGGAGGAGGAGAAGAAGGAGAAGAAGACCAAGACCATCAAGGAGTCCAAGATCGAGGAGGAGGAGCTCAACAAGACCAAGCCCATCTGGACTCGCAACCCCGCCGACATCACCCAGGAGGAGTACGCCTCCTTCTACAAGTCGCTCTCCAACGACTGGGAGGACCACCTCGGTGTCAAGCACTTCTCCGTTGAGGGTCAGCTCGAGTTCCGTGCCATCCTCTTCGTCCCCAAGCGCGCTCCCTTCGACCTGTTCGAGACCAAGAAGACCAAGAACAACATCAAGCTCTACGTTCGCCGTGTCTTCATCACTGACGATGCTACCGACCTCATCCCCGAGTGGCTCAGCTTCGTCAAGGGTGTCGTCGACTCCGAGGACCTGCCCCTCAACCTGTCCCGTGAGACCCTCCAGCAGAACAAGATCATGAAGGTCATCAAGAAGAACATTGTCAAGAAGACTCTCGAGCTCTTCCAGGAGATCGCCGAGGACCGTGAGCAGTTCGACAAGTTCTACTCTGCCTTTAGCAAGAACATCAAGCTCGGTATCCACGAGGACGCCCAGAACCGCCCCGCTCTGGCCAAGCTCCTCCGCTACCAGTCCACCAAGTCTGGTGACGAGCAGACCTCTCTCACCGACTACGTCACTCGCATGCCCGAGCACCAGAAGAACATCTACTACATCACCGGCGAGTCCATCAAGGCCGTCTCTCAGTCTCCCTTCCTGGACACCCTCAAGCAGAAGAACTTTGAGGTTCTCTTCCTGGTTGACCCCATTGATGAGTACGCCTTCACTCAGCTGAAGGAGTTTGACGGCAAGAAGCTCGTCGACATCACCAAGGACTTCGAGCTCGAGGAGACCGATGAGGAGAAGGCCGAGCGTGAGAAGGAGGAGAAGGAGTTCGAGGACCTCGCCAAGGCCCTCAAGAACATCCTCGGCGACAAGGTCGAGAAGGTTGTCGTCTCCCACAAGCTCATGGGCGCTCCCTGCGCTATCCGTACTGGCCAGTTCGGCTGGTCCGCCAACATGGAGCGTATCATGAAGGCCCAGGCTCTCCGTGACACTTCCATGTCCTCCTACATGTCCTCCAAGAAGACCTTCGAGATCTCCCCCAAGTCCAGCATCATCAAGGAGCTCAAGAAGAAGGTTGAGGCCGACGGCGAGAACGACCGCACCGTCAAGTCCATCACCCAGCTCCTCTTCGAGACCTCCCTGCTGGTTTCCGGCTTCACCATCGAGGAGCCCGCCAGCTTCGCTGAGCGCATCCACAAGCTCGTCTCCCTCGGTCTGAACATTGACGAGGATGTTGAGACTGCCGATGAGAAGGCCACCGAGGCCGCCGCTCCTGCCGAGGCCACCGGCGAGTCTGCCATGGAGGAGGTTGACTAAATTAGTTAATTCTCTCTCTTCTTATTGTTTAATCCAGCAAGCAGCTCCCGGGAACCCGTTTCTGAAGCTCTTCTCTTTACACCCGATACTGGATTAGCTAATGATGCGGGTTTTGCCTGCTAAAATCTCTTGTTCTTTTTGCTGGCCCCCTGCCTTGTATGCGCGTGATTTCAAAGTTCTTACGGGAAATGGGAAACGGGATTATGACCCTTGATGTTATTTTTTCTTACGTTTTTAAATCAAGATCAATGATTTACACTTGACTCTTTTTTTTTGTCCATCCGGGCTTTAGATTTAAAGGTCCTTAGACATTTTTAGTTTTTGTGGACTATGGTTTTCTTTGAGACTTGGACTTTTCTGTCTTTAGTTTGAATTGAATCTAATATACCTGCTGTTTGGATATTGATCTTCTCGTAGACCTTTTGTACTCCACGAAGTACAACGTAGAGACCTGTGAAGTTTCTAGACGAACGTAGCAGTAATATCGATCTCCAGCTGCCTCCAGTCCGTTTGGGAGCCAACGTTACCATGAACAGTGCGAGATCAAATATCACAGTGAGTGAACATCAAGTAAGCACGCAGATCGACTCACTGAGTCGACTTTACTGATACTCAGTGCCGCGCGTCCCCGCGGCCTTTCCCGAAGGGCTTGTACCGTACTAAGCCTTGGTCAAATTGAACTATAAGACCCGGCCCCGCTACTGGAAAGTCTTGAACACAGTCTAGCAAACCGCAATCCGTATTCCGAGTCCGAGTCCGGTTCCAATCGCCTTATGGGGGTCCTCTGGGGCTGAATCTCTCATATTCCGCGTCATCATACATCGGTGCAGGTACCCGCTACTATCTAGTGCATCGTATGGCTCACTGGAAATCCGATCTAATGCCACGAACTCCTCCATTTCTTAGTCCCTCCTCTCCTCCCATATCTTAGTCCTATTGGACACAACTCCTACTGCGCAGTAGCGCGTTCTCTCGTGATATCTGGCGCCTCCTACATTTCGGCGCCCCACATCGCGTCGCCTTATGGGCGCGCCCCCCGGCCCCATTGGCTAACTTTGTCCTACTCGCCGACAGTTATCGAGTAATTTTTTACCTTTTGGTCATAATGATTTGAGCGCCGTACAGAAGGTACATGGCGAATAGGATGAAATGGCGAGTTGAGCCGGGGCGTCTCCACAAAGCGGAGCGATGTACTGTAGGGGCGCCCAAGGTAGGACTTCCGGATGGTGTAGATGCAGTAGTTTCGGTGTCGATGAACTCGCTTAAAGTTTGAGCATCATGTCCCACCGCGTAGAAGATACTAGGAAGTCAAGCTCCGTTACGCGGACCGACAAGCTATCGGGCCCGCCTAGAACCTATTGGAAATTCTAGGCCCTGGGCAACTTGCCAGTCTTGATCCAGCATTTAGCGCGATGATGGCCCGCTCAGATGGCCCATGGACGCGCCCGAAACTCCGAGTAGACAACGGCATGGGATGTGTCCCATACGAACCCGCCCTGTTCTCTCGCCATGCCACGACCGCGAGCAATTCTCGTTTGCTGCGAAGTCATCCATTCGCTACGGTGGCAGTTGACGAGAGCCGACCCTTGTCTACTTTGTTAAGCCTATATATATATGGCAGGCCCTCACGGGAAGCGCACTCCTGATATGGTGGTCGCGTGGCAGAGTTTGCATGTAGTCTCACAACGATACATTGTACTCGATGTTTTGCGACGGAGGCCATTAAGGAGTATGTGGCCTTCCACTTCCGGGCTCCAGCGTTGGCTTCGCTAGTAGCTAGCTTCAAAAGAGGGGCAAAATATCAATGATGGGACTGGAAATGGACAAAAAGCAAGAGATCTACACATATTTACGCTTGAGTGCGAGAAGATTATGAGCAACCAGTGTAATAGAATTTGACGAAATAACTAAGCATAGGGAAAGAGACATGATGAGAGAGTGTCTCAATATCATTCAGATGCCTGCGACATCAGGCCTCGGCATATATGAATGGGGCACATTTGCTACTGACTCGCGAAATCATACATGCCTCAAAAAAGCGCCCCGTTACATTAGCTACAGACACTACTGTAATTCTAGCATGCCGCAAGCTCCACTGAGAAGCTGTTTATGTGGGCTTTCAAGAAAGAGCTCACGAGGGTAGACTTGTAAAAGCCACGGAACCCCTAGCAGAAAATCGTTTCTATATAATCTACCGTATATAAACGTGAGGTTAGATCCCTGTATCTCTGCACCAAAATCAAGATCTCGGGGGGAAAAAATTCAATCATCTCGTCTATTTCTCATCTCATCTGCACGTGCTCACCCTTGGTTTATAAGACCACCAAGTCCTATTTCTAATCATCCAAAGAAGATGCAGAACTGGTCCCTTCTCATCCTCCTGATCGTTGATATCTGGGCAATCTTCGTCCGTATTCAAACAGGAGAATGGTCGCCATCAGCAAGGTACTGCCTAGCGTGCTCGCACTTGGCCTTATGGGTCTGTGTGATGCCAAGGTTAATGGAACTACTGTAACCTACACGCCCAAGGTTGAGCAGTGGGGCGAAGGAGGCAATCTTATAGTCTACCCGGACACTATCAGCGCCGACTATGCTCACCTCTATGAGGATAGCTTGGAAAAGCGTACTGGCATCACGGTCAAGGCTGCTAGCGCAAAGATTCTAGCTACCTCTGCCGCGGTCATTCAGACTGCAGGCGCTGCTTTTACCATCTACTCCGTGATTGCCTCCCTGAGTAAGGAAAAGTCCAACCAGAACTCGTGCACGCTCGTCTATGGAACTGATACTACTGGAAGTATCTCTGAAGGCTATGCCTACAAAGCCACGACTACTGGCTCGAACTGTGATACTACGGCCGAGACTAAGACCATTCTGGCTGCCGTGGGGAAATGCGCCAATGCTCTGAATGCGGAGGGTGCTGTGACGGGATGCTGCACGATGAATCGTGGAGGAACTTGGCATGGACATCTTCGGTTGAGTGGTAACCCAACTACCTAGCCAGTGACATCTGTGACTTGCTAGAAGCTGTGCTGAACATTGATGGGGGTTTTGACTGAAAGTTTTGCTTGGAAAGAGGATTGGGGGTGCTAGAAGGACTTGTGTATGAGGGGCTGAATCTGTATTTAAACCTACATTTCCATTCAAATGGGGACAATTGTCTTTTGATGGGATTTGGCATCTCATAGTATTCAACTTTACAAGTACTTTGAATTCATTTCTATATCATTGGAGTGTCGCTTTTTGTTTTGAAGGGTGTGGCCCCTATGTGACCGGAAGATAACCTTGCGATGTGATCATTGATATATGTTGTGATTTTGAAAGGACGCTTTATCATCGAGGGAGAGAATCTAGGAGACTATAGATATGATATCCTTAGGTCGAGTCTAAATTGATTTAGATCGACTCGGTGCTTTCTTTACATAGAGCAGGCATGTTTTTTTTTCGATACTGCGACTTCGTCCCTACCTAACATCCTCTCTCCAGAGCTAACACTAGTCCCGCCTTCAAATCCCGGACCTCTGCGCAAAGCCCGATCAAGGATCCGTCTTCTACTCAAAGGACAAAGAGACGCTATCCTCGTTCGTTATGCAATCCGTCAGACTATTCTTTCAACGGCATTGATTCATGATCCTTCATATCTATCATGTGTAGATGAGTATGTTTACCCTAGTTTTGTGCGAGATACGACTGTAGGGACTGCACTTGATATAAACTACCGATTTACCCCCGGTACATCATATACCACATTCTCTCCCTCTCTGCGGAGTACAATACACCATCACAACACTAACCTATCAGTGAACCACATCGCACCACCCCATAGGATCCACAAACCGTACGGTCGGCTTCACCTCGGGACTATTCTCGGCGATTTACCAGATCCACACCGGCTTCACCGAAATGTTTTCGGGTTTAAACGGCAAGGGGGAAGCATTGAGTGGACGTGGATGTGGACATCTCCGTGATCGCTGTAAAGATCTGCCCTGATTCTGAGGTGCATAACCCCGCCATTGGAGGGGTACAGGTACAGGTACAGGGACACGTACAGTCTACACCGACATCTCCACTTTCACTTGCAGCTGGAGCTGTTTAACCTCCTCCCCTTCGACTCAACTTAACTTCCTTGACCCAGATCCTACCAATTCCCTATCAAGAATTCTATATTGGTATTCCCCTCAAAATGGTCTACACAATCGTCGTTCGTACGTGATAATTGCCCCCCCCCCCTTACTCCATCCCAACACATCCCCTACCTACCTACCTACCTGACCTAGGGACGTAACCCTCCTCCCTCCATAACCATCGCTAAATCCCAGCTCCAAATCCCCAGACCTCCGCGCAAAGCCCGATCAAGAATCCATCACCAAACTCCACGCAAAACTCCTCGAGGCATCCGCCGTCTACTCAAAGGACAAAGAGACGCTATCCTGGTTCGTTATGCAATCCGTCCACGACAAGCAGGATTTCACCATCGTCGAGCGATACCTCCAGGAGTCGTCGCAGGAGTACCATTTGAATAACCCTTATTGGAAGACGTTTGATCCTTACGTTATTCCCTTGTTGGAGAAGGAGATGGATTTGAGAAGGTTTGAGGAGTTGGTTCCTGAGAACTGAGTTCCGTTTTCTCCCATTGGATAGGGATATTAAGGATGTAACTAGCTAGAAATGCTGCATATAAAAATCACCTTTTTCAACTATTCGATTGCGGGTATACGATAGTCTGGGTGGTTTTTTGTAATGATATGATTGTATTGTGGTGACTACGCGATGTGGTCTAACCGTCAATCCCTAATACAAAGGCAAAGTGTACTCCAGCTCCCAGCTCCAAACGTCCCAGAAACAGAAGAAATACCACCGTGAAAACGCCCGTCGGGATAAGAATGTAGGCATGATCACTCGAAAGAAAAAGAAAAAAGAACGCCAGCCAGCCAGCACACTTTTCTTCCATCTCCGTCCTCGATCAGCCAAGCCGGTGCCTCGAAACCACTTCCCCATGTTCGCCCATCAGCTCGCAACCAACTATCATCTCGAGAACGAAGAATCAATTCTCAATACTCCCGTACCAGTGATCAAACTGCAAGTCTGCAAAACTTCGCGTTGGGAGTCCCCAAGACCGAGCGACCCACAATGCCAGTCCACCGACGACTCCAACACTGCCCACGATCTGGACGATAATCCAACCCCGTCGTCCGATATCGTCGATCCATCCCACAACGCCGAGTGGGTCATGAGGACTCAACCCCGCAGCGCGGTAGTCCTTGCCGTTACTTGCACGAGCTCTCATCACGTTCAACCCGCCGCCACTCTTGTCACTGGCTGGGACGTGTAGTCCGCAGAACCCGGGCGTCTGCGAGATAGGCACTAATGATCCATCTACAACACACTCGCTCAGTCGCTCCGTAAGCCATACCGCGCGATCGCCACGTGCCAGTGCCGCATATCGCTCTCGCTCGTTTTGGAGGCTGCGTTGCAGGTCCGTTGCCCATTGTGCAAGTCGAACTTGGGCCATGCGCTCTTCGTGTCGTGTATAGTCTGCGAGGCGGGCCAGGGTATAGGTAGGCGGTGATTCACCGAGTGAGGAGATGGACGAGTTCATGGACGCTCCCACCGTAGTTCCCCAGCCGACACCGGGCGAGGTAGCACCGGAAAATGCATTAGGAGCTGAGGTGGCTGATAGCGGCACGGCAGGTAGATCCCCGCACCGCTGGACGAGCTTTTTAGCGGCGGAGTGGCGCAGCCAGGCGAGGTTATCTCGGTCGAATAGTTTCTGTACGAGTGTGTCCAGCTCTGATGGAACAAGGGGGAGTTCGTAGTCTGGGCTCATGAGGGTACTAGCATCCATGACCTCCAGATCGGCGGTTTTCTCGGATGACACGGCATATGGAGGTTGCGGGTTTTGCTCTTCTAGCATCCCGGCTGGTGAGTCGCCGAACATAAAGGGCTTGATGCCGGCATCTTGCGCTTGTTGGTGGAATCGGTCTTTGAGGGAGGTGATATTCTCGGGGGAGAGGGTGTCTGCTTTGGCGACGAGGGGGATGACATTGCTTAGCTCGCAGAGTTTGCGAATACATTCTACGTCCGTTGGCAGAGTATCTGTAAAATTGTTAATAGCCAGATCATGTAAGCAAACTGATATGTTGACCACTTACCATGGGATATCAAGTATAATATTGCGTCCACTTGGGTACCACCATTTCCAGCAAGCAGATTTTGGAAATCTACACCTGATCCTGCAACCGCAGCAGTCGCCCTCCGCAGTTGCTGTCGCATATACTGCACAATGGAATCGGTCTGGCCCGTGCGACTCAAAGAGGTAGCCGGAGTATCCACAAAGCACAGATTGCGCTCCAGCACGATTTCGCCTATACTTTTGCGCCGTCGGAGCACGCGCGAGTCCTCTAGGTCCGACCACCACGAAGGGTACGGCTTGGTACTAGCGTAGATCTCGGTGGTAACGGTGGGCATCCCGCGAGTGGGGACGGGGCCGGAGTGGGGTCGCGAGGAACGGCGCCGCTCCAGTGCGGTCACGGAGAGCGAGTCGATAGAATCAACGTGTACGATATCTTCGCAGGTCTGGACAATGGCTTTGATCAAGGAGGTTTTGCCGGTTCCTACAGGGTTCAAACACGGCGTTAGTAAGGGTTGGAATCTGCGTGCAGGTGTTATATAACGAAAATTCCTACCTGGTGCTCCAGCTACAAGCACTTTGAATCTACCCATCGCTTTTCCCCGCTCTGTAAATGGCCGTCGACTGGGCATCTTGATGCTAGGCATGATCAACTGCGAAGCTCCGGCGAATCCCAGGCGAGGGGAGGGTCGGGGTTTCTCTTCCTCATCGCCCGATCCGATTGCTTGGCTGTTGATCTCATCGGTAATGGAGATATCATCAAGCGGTCGGAGCGACTGGTTGGAGATGGACTTTGGGCTGCTGGGCAGCGATGATGGGTCGTCGGGGTGAAATGGGGTCAACGGACGGGAGATCGTGTCCGAGGCAGGTGGTTGCAATGATGACTCCCGAGTATCCTCCGAAAAGGGCCTGATTGTAGATCGGCGTCGTTGGCCCCGTGATTCTCTCATACTGTCGGATCCCCGCGAGGAGCTTCGTGTCCGTTGACTATCTGCGCGGAACTCTTGAGATGCGCAGGCTCTAAGCTCCGATCGCGACAGTGTCTCTGCTAGACTGTGCACGCCGTACATGCTTTCTTTGGGATCGCCCGCTGCATCTGGAGAGGGGCTGCGTTCTGTATCAGAGGCATGCGGGCTGCGAGATAGGAAGAAGGTTGCGGGGGCGGCAGTGCGGGGATCTAACGACGAGCCCGAGGATGGAGGGTCCGCGGAGGGTTTACGGGAGAAGGCTGATAGGTCAGGAACTGGTCGCATGGTCGAGACATTTGAGGGAAGTAGGAGAAAATGAAGTTGAATCGTAATACTTTCGGCGGGCTATCGCGGGGGGGTTCATACCATGTTGCGTATGTAAGCCATCACATCACGCGGTGCGGAAGGTTGACCAGTGACCAGGGTTCTCGAGCTGACCTAAGTTTGTAAGTGTAATCGAGTAATGTATGTATCATGTGTAGAGTTTGGCTTTAAGGACAGAATGGATAAGTAATTCGTTGTTTGTCTAATTGACTATTTATCAACTAGTGATCATTTCTCTCTATCGAGTTATTACTGTTGTATACACAACCATATCCCTTGGGTGGGGGTGGATAAGTATACACAGTGTACTCTGCAATCTGCCCATGACTTGAAGCTAGGGGACTAACGGGTAGCAGCAATTTATACTACCTAAATAGCTACGATGAGCCACTTTATACTTTCTAAATCATGCTTTTGCCCTTGATACTTGAAGAGCCCTCACTCTAAGCTCACCTTGAGCTCACTAATCTTCGTGATAGCATGCTAAAATATACTCTTGCTTCATGAATCTAGAGTTCGAGCTACATTCCATCAAGCAAGGCAAGATGGCCGAGTTGGTCTATGGCGCACGGTTCAGGTTTACCTGATCCACAATTCCGTGTCTCGAAAGGGGCGTGGGTTCGAATCCCACTCTTGTCAAAACATGATCTTTTTGTCTTTTTGCACTTTTTCGAACATAGTGGATGACCAATACATGTTGATCTTTTTTTTGGTCGTGACTTTATGTTAATCATAGCGCATCAAACGTTGCCTTGCATCGCTCTATAAGGCATACGTCTCCGGTTGTTGTGAATGAATTACTCTAGTCGGAAGGGTCGGGAACTAGAACGAGATCTATGCCTCGTACGGAGTACTGTGGTGATGTAGAGACTCTTAAGGTGCTGACAATGTAAGAATCAGTGTTTTATTAATGAGTTATGTCTTTGCACTTTCTAGGTTTACATGTCACAGGTATTTCATATATAATTCCAACTGTGAGCTTTCTCTCTCCCCACATAAAGACGAGATCAGTACAATGACCACTAGCATACCCGCCCTTTGTCGATGTGAATATATTTCCACGAAACTCGAAGACACAAACCCACACACAGTTCCTCACCATCACGATCTTTCCTATCCATACCAAAAGCAACATCCACATACACAACACAGTGCCTCTAGAATATTAAACTATTCCCATCTACACTAATCAACATAGTAGTAATCCCCATCACCTACCTATTAGCCCGACATAGCTCGTCATATAGCAAACCTCTCAACATCATTCCATCAATTGGTAAGATGGCCGAGTTGGTCTAAGGCGTCAGGTTAAGGTCCACCTTAGCATAAATTCCTGATCTCGTTTACGGGGCGTGAGTTCGAATCTCACTCTTATCATCTCTTCTTTCTTTTTTGCATTTAGTTTTTTTGTTTGACCTTGGTACTGTGGAGTGGCGATCGCGTCGGCGCTTGATGGGGAATTTGGTGGGGCCTTTTTTGCCTGGGTAGAACCAATCACAGGGAGGGGGTGATGCGATTACGAACTGTGTATAGATTGGATGGGGGTGATGGAATCTATGTACTGTAGCTATCAAGTATAGTACTTTGATAGCTACAGTACTGTTTTTGGGTACCTTCCATCACAATCAATTCACTACAATACCAAAGGAAAGATAGAATAACGATCAATGTTCAAGTTTGACGTCAATATGCTACAATGGAACACGAATCCCACGACTTCACCCGGATTCCAGCCTTAACCCTACACAGACAAGGCCAGACAGTCTATATACAGAAAATCACCCAGAAAAGCCAAACACGAAGCTTACTCAACATCAAGAAAAACCAACGGGGCAAAATAAGAACATGACGAGAAGTGGAAAAAGAGAGAACGGAGACAGAGGCAGAATGTGCAAATGTGCAATGCACGGTGATGCAAGTCGATATGTTTGGGAGATTGGTAACTACAGCTTGGCGCGAGGCGCGGATTCTTCCTCCAGAGCTTGCTCGTAAAGCTTGTCCAGGAGTTGGCGGTAGACCTTGACGGTTGGGGGGCGCTTGAGTTTGAGGCTGGGAAGAGTAAGGATGTTAGCAAATTTTGTACGAGAAGGAGGGATAGATAATCCAAGGGTCTCTGGGTGACTTACGTTGGGGTCAACAGGTTATTCTCAACGGTGAACGGCTCCAGTTTCAAAGAGACGTTGCGGACACGCTCGTATCCAGCGAGACGATGCTTCTTAGCAACACGCTCGAGATCACGCAAAACCGCGCGGCGAATCTTCTCATCCGTCAGCGCCTCCTTGATCGCATCCAGGTCCGTCGCGCCGATAGGACGGCCGAGGACCTTGCTAGCGAAGGGAGCGAACAAGTCGGGCGAGATACCAAAGATACCGACCAGGAAGGTCTGCATACTGTCACCGTGCACGTAGGCCTGAGCCAGATAGCCCAGCTCGGACATGAAGACACCCTCCAGACGCTCGGGTGAGATGTACTCGCCCTGTGCCAGCTTGAGCACGTTCTTGCGTCGGTCGATGATGATGATGCGGCCCATCTCATCGATCGTGCAGACATCACCGGTGCGGAACCATCCATCCTCGGTCATGGCCTTGGAGGTCTCTTCGGGGTTCTTGAAGTACTCATTGAACATGTTGTTACCGCGCAGGAGCAGCTCGCCACGGGGGTACGGCTTATCGTCGACAGAGTACTCCATATCGGGCAGGGACAGGAGGCAGGCTTCCACGCAGGGAGCGAGACGACCGCAGTTACCCGAGGTGAGATCGTCGGTGGACTGTGCGGTACCGCAGGCATAGGACTCGGTCAAGCCGTAGCCCTGAACGATGTCGGTACCGGTGGCAATGCGCAGGAAGTTGTGCAGAGTCGGGTCAAGAGGGGCCGAGCCGGAGACCATGTATCGGGCACGCTCGAGACCGAGAGCAGCGGCGACCTTCTTGGCCCAGATACGGTCGTAAAGGGCATGCTTAACGGTGGCCTTGGAGGGGTCGGGGTTCTTCAAGTTGGCAGTCTTGGCGGCAATGATGTGGCGAGACAGAGCACCCTTGAAGCCCGGTGCCTCGACGGTGGCAGCCTTCACTGCAGTACCGAATCGGCTGTACAGACGGGGCACGGACATGAAGCCAGTGGGCTTCAACAGCTTCAGGTCATCGACCAGCTCGACAATGTTGCCATGGAAGTAGCCAATGCGAGCGCCACCCCAGAAGGCAGTGTGCTCGGCGAGACGAGCGTAGATGTGAGCAAGAGGAAGGTAAGAGCACATGGTGTCGCCCCGGGCCTGGCCGATAGTAATCAGACCGGCAGAGGTAGCAGCCACGGCACTCTTGTGGGTCAGAACGACACCCTTGGGGGGACCGGTAGTACCCGAGGTGTAGTTGATGGTGACAATGTCCGAGGGGGAAGGAGGGTTGTATCCACGCTTTGAGGCCTCTCCCAAAGCCTCAACCTGATCAATGGTATAGATCGACACGTCCTGGCCAGCGGCGATTGACTCCAACAAAGCACGCTTGGAGTGACCAGCTTGCTCACCACCATCGAGGGGATCCAGGCTGACAATCATCTTCAGGTTGGGCAGGGCATGCTTGAGCTGCAGAAGGGCTGGGATGTGAGGGAGAGAGGTAACAACACAACTCAGCTCTGCGTGGTTAATGATATACTCAGTAGCGTCCGGAGCAAGCACATCGTAGATCGAGACCGAGAAGAGGCCCTGAGACATGCAGGCCAGATCTAACAATCAAATAATTTAGCTTCTAGAAGACCCGAGGATTTCGATAGGGTCCACCCCCCTTACATACCGGTGATCTGCCACTCCGGGCGGTTCTGGCACCAAAGACCAATACCATACTGGCCAGGACGGTGGCACTCGTGCTTGTTGTGTAGCTCAACTAGACCGGCACCGAATGCAGCGCGGCGCTTCTGGACCTGCTCGTATGTGAGCCACTGGTAGGCATCGAATGTTTTGGTAACCGGGTTGAACGGGCGCCAGCCGAGGCAGTGGTTCTTGGGCTGGCGATTGGCGGTAGACTCGAACATGTCATGAGCGGTGACGACCTATCCGTGGAATCTCATATTAGCCCTGCATGCTCTATTCCACAAGTCCTCGCTCATCGCGACCAACTAATCCACATACCTGAGGATCCAACGTGGTCAACAGCTCCTTTTGCGCATTCCAGGCCCGGTATACCCGGCTGCGACCAGGCTGCTCAGTTCCGGGGATGGCTACGGAGTACGGCGTCCCCTTAGGAGGAGACTGCTTCAGCTCCTCCGCCTTGGCGAGGTGTGCGGGCTGTGAGAAAAACATGATGTATCTATCTAAACCGGGGAGAAAAAGATGAGGTGTCAGCACGAGCTCTGATGCGGCTGCAGCCGCAAAGCTGGGGAAGACGGAGAATGTTATGCATACCAAGTGGGTTGGACGAAAGTAATGGAGCAAGACAAGGAACGAGGATGAGAGAGCTGATCTCCCAAAGCGAATGAGTCCGCTGCGATTAGAAGAGAAGGGACGAAAAGTGTGGGGAGAGAGGAAAGAAGGGGTTGAGGGTGGAAACGAGGATCTGGAGTACGGAGAAGGGAGGGAACGCCGGAGAGGGCGACCTTTTTCGGTCAGACTTCCATCGCGGAGAGTGGATCAGCTGGGAAAGTACCTCGGCATATTTGCATAGGGGTACCTGCGGTTAGAGTGGCGACCCCATAATTAAGATAAGTACCGACACTGAACCCCCTACCTCAACAGAGTTTATGAACCCCGATGTCATCGGCCCTCACATGTCCGTTTCACATGGGACGAAATCACAAACCCGTGTCAATCGAGACCTTATTTTTTGGGGGGGGGGGGATGTAACGACTATGAAGCTCTTTGAATGGAACTAGGTGTATTTTATGGGGTATTTTATGGAGTTTCACCGGTTTTATTTCCTCCGGTACCACGTTCCACCTCTACACTCTACGCTGGGAAAATCCATATAGCGGAGATATTTATATTATATGTACCAATAATAATGACCATTTCTATCAACGGGATAGGCTCGACGAGAAGGTAATGTACAAGACGCACAAGCCAAAAAAAAGAACACCAACGACGCCATGCCCAATGCCCACATGCCACGAATAACAGAGAGCCAAGAAAATAATACAAATTGACAAAAAGTGATTAGTCAAACACATGCTTCAACCCGCCCTCCGAAAGGGTTCCATATTCACATAACATCAACCAGAGATCCAGTGCCACACCTTGCCGTACCAGGTAGTCGGCTCGACGGTCTCCCAGTTCTCGCTATCGTGCGATGTTCGGCCCGTGTCCAAGTCGGCCTCAAGGGGCTTGACAAAGGCGGGGCGGAAGATCAGTTTATGGCCGCAGTACAGAACCACGAAGAGGATAAGACTCAGATAGTTGATGAAGAAACTCTGGACGTCGAAGCCGCCAATGAATGAGGTGAAACCCTGAGTGAGAATAATCAGGCAGTTGAAGAACAGGCCGTACCACGAGAACCACGGCTGCATGATAGCTTTATACGGCAGGACATCGCGCGAAATGTTGCGCGCCTTGAGCGCCCGCTGGAAGGCCAGGTGGCAGCCATTCAAAGAGGCCCAGGTGATGAAACCCGCGACACCGGCGATCTGATACAACCAGGTGAAAACGGTCGCGCCCGAGTTCGACACGTTCAGGAACCCGAGCAGACCGAACAAAGCGGTGAAGACGACGGCGTAGTATGGGACACCGCCCTTGGTGGTGCGCTTGAACAAGCGAGGCGCAAAGCCTTCCTGAGCCAGACCGACGAGGATACGGCTACCGCTGTACACGTTTGAGTTGGCAGCCGAGAGCACCACGGTTAGGAGCACGGCATTAATAATATCCGGAAGGACATTCACACCCGCGCGACGGGCCGCAACCACAAACGGCGAAGCATTGGCGTTACTGCCGTCGGCACCGCCGTTCTGACTCGCCACCAGGCCATCGTCGTCCGAGGGAACCACGATACCGATGAAGAAGATAGTCAGGATGAAGAAGAAGACGATGCGGAAGAAAGTCTTGCGGATAGCCGAAGGGATAGTCTTGCGCGGGTTCTCGGTCTCACCGGCGGCGATACCGACCAGCTCCGTACCCTGGTAGGAGAAACCTGCTTGAATCAAGCAAGACCAAAAGCCGACAAACTTGGCGAGAGAATCGTTGCCCGTAATCAGATAAGGGACGAAGGGGCCGGGGTGCACCCAGTACCGGAATCCAATATAACCCTCCTTACCCACGCCGGCGTTCATGCAGATAGCGAAGATCATGAAGCCAATGACGGTCATAATCTTGATGCTGGAGAACCAAAACTCCAGTTCACCATAGAATCCGACGGGCAGCAAATTGAAAATGATAATCAGGACCCAAAAGATGGCGATAAAGATGGCAATGGAAATATTCTCGTCCCAGTATTGGATAATCAGACCGGTAGCCGTGAGCTCTAGCGCAAATGTCGATGCCCACGAGAACCAATAGATCCAACCCATGGAGAAACCCAGGCTGGGATCGATCAGGCGAGTAGCGTACGAGGTAAAGGCACCGGGGATAGGGATATAGGTTGCGACTTCACCCAGCGCGGTCATGACTGAGTAGACGATGGTACCGACGAAGATATAAGCGATCAAGGCGCCCACGGGGCCTGCATGTGCAATGGCCGTACCGCTACCGATGAAGAGACCAGTACCGATAGTACCACCTGATATGCGAGAGAACGACGAATTAGGGTAAAATTCTGCGGCGAGCTCCAAGATGGGCTCTAATTCTTTAAGGCGCATAGTATCTTGACTCACCGATGGCGATCATCTGCAAATGACGACTCTTCAGCTTGCGCTTCAGATCGGGCAACGGGCTGGACTCGCGACCAGCACCGTGCTTCTCATAGTCGACATCGTACTGGTTGACGGCATCCTCAGGCTGGACGTGCATAATGGGGCCTTCGGACTCCATCTTTCCCTTTTCAGACCAAGGCGCGTCCGGGGCCATCACTGACTGCTTGGGGAAATGAAGCAGATTGCAGAGACGAACGCAATGGGGGGGGGGAGGGGGGGGGAATAGTAGGTGGGAAGTAAGAAGGAGAAGTCGGAGGAGGAGAAAGAGTTAGACTCACACGCCGGGCGCGATCTCCACTGTGAAGGTCGTGTCTGACTCCGGCTTGGCCTTTTTTTGCTGGTGGAGTAACCCACGACGCCAAACCCTACAGTACCAAGTTCCGATATCCAGTGGGCAAGATTTTAGGTAAAAGAAATCCGTGATGGGAAGTGTACTTAGAGATCTTGGGGAAATAAGCCTTGGGCCGGGCTGAATTGACTTGGAAAATTCCAAGATAGTCGTGACAATCCAGACTCAATGACTCAAAAGCTGCCTCTTGTATGATTTTCAACAGAAAAGGTTTTCCTTGCCCGCGCAAAATCTTCGATGGCACCCGTTGAGTTTTTTTGCCTTTTCGGCCCTGCCATGTGGGCCGCGCCGAAAACTTTTTTTTGGTGGCGATTATTGGGGGCGCTGCTGGCGCGGAACACTTGGGCCTGTGGTTTTAGAATTATGACTACTGGCTATGACAAGCCAATATTGTTGTCCTATCGCGGGGAAGACACGGGCCAGGCTATTCAAGACCTGTTCCTACTGAACTGGGAGTACTCCGCGGTCGGAAAAGACTTGTACTCCGTACACTAAAGACCGACTCGGCATGCACGTCAGGCGCCACCCGCCGATCGCGGCTCAACCGAAGATTTTAGCTTGGCCACGCTGTTGTAGAGTTGGTGATGGTCAACTCGGGTATATCATTTACTCTTTACATTCTTGTTGCCCTCTATAGATCTATCAATATATGTTCTCTGTATACAACGAAGAAATTTCCATCTCCTTTCCCAAAATCTGGGGCATCACTTTTCCGGTTGGCAACCATGTTACCCTAGACTTGACAAAGGCCGTTTCCGTTCTCAGCGGCAGCCACCCGACGGGCCAATCAATGGATCCGATTAATATGCACTGGAAGCTGGTGACGATTAGCTAATAATGGGCCCATTAGTATATCTCCCATAAACCAGATAAGTAGCTAATATCTATGACAATTAATCTAAGATGAGCCTCCATTTTATCAAAACCGTAGCGATGCTGAATAGTCTAATACTCTACCAATTCTTGAGGCACGACATGAGCAGAAGTGAATCGTGATCAATAATCACTAATGCCAGCGAATGAGTTTCGGGGATCGTTGGAAGAAAAGTCAATCATATGAGATCCTCGACGATCCGAGATTCAGGCATGTTCTATACCCAACTATTTTGATTATACCATGTCTGGCCACCGGGCTATGTTGCGATTGAGTAATCCCAATACCAAGAAACATTCCTGGTTTAGACGACTATCAGCATCAATATGACGAGACCATTAGAATCAAGTTTTAAGGAAGTGTAATATAGCCCAAGCTGAGCTGCTATTGCCCAAAATATTCAAGCTCGGGAGGGAGGGGGGAGTCATAGCTCCAACGACAATCTACGCCGAATACTTCTCCTTCGCCAGGACCGGACCATGACCATGACCATGACCCTTTTTAGTGAGCATAAGCAACCGATAGTCGATTATCAAGTATTATTGCAAAGTTATTCAACAGGTATTAATTGTAATCATCATGCATATCGATACCAGCGTAAGACTTTAAGTTGACATAATCGAGGACCAATAGAAAAGAAAGTAACAGCCGCGAGGGGTATCGTGGAGAAAAGAATGAAGAAAACAAAACAAATACTTCGCTGCATAACAAGTCATTCTTCGACCAGACCATAGATGGTCACCCCAGACCGAACGAAGTAAATCTGGATATCTTCATCGCGACAGCTCAATGGCGCACTCTCAATGCCCACCTGTCGGCCTAAACACCGAGATGGGCGTTATGCTGAGTCTTCTGCGCACTCTCCCCACTGTGTCGGTGATCCTTGAGATCAATAATGGCGAAGTAAGTAGTCACCACGAAAAGGACCCTAAAAAAACAGAGAGACGCAAGTTAGCCGCAGTTTCCCCTGATCATCAATTCCACCGAATACCCCATCGCCATGCGATATCATAATACACCCCTCTCCGCCAAACAACAAAGACCACTAATTTGACTTACCACTCAAAAGCCCCGAAAACAGTAACGGCCTGCAAAGCCCGACATCCACTCCAAGTACAATAAGCCGGCGCCGGCAACTGCGCACCTATCGCAATAAAGCCCGCAAACCAGAAGATCATGGTAATGACCTCCACGGCGGGAATCACGAAGCGATGCGCCAGGCGCGGGAAGTAGATTGGTGCGGCGAGGAGGTAGGGAGTCGCGACGAAGGTGGTCCAGCAGCCGAGGAAGAGTAGGAAGTTTACCGTGTCGGAGAAACTCCACCAGTAGGAGAAGGTGCTGATTACTACATTGGGAGGAGAGTTAGTATGGAATACGGAATGGTAAAGTGTAGCTGTTGTAGATAGTCTGGTTGAGTGGGGGAGTCAAGGCACGTACCATAGGCGGTCAAAGCGACCACGATCAGGCCGAAGACGATTTGTACGAGACGTACGGCGTAGATCCAAGGCATAGCCATTTTGAGCAGTTGTGGTGGTATTTGCGATGGGGAGAACGAAGAGTTGGGAAATGGTCTTTTGACGAGAGTCACTCCTAAAGTTGGGGGGTGTCACTTAAGAAGAAGCGGAAACTCGCACAAAGACGACGTAGATAGAACAAGGGTATATAAAGCCATAGTGACCATCACAGAAAAAAGTGGGCAGCCACCGGCGTCGCCCAGCGTCATCGGTGACATCTTGGCGTGACCATCAGGTGCTGGTTTGCACCTGACTGGTAGGGCTGATGTGCTAGTCTGCCCGTGCCGAGAGAATTGGTTGGACTGGGGATGTTCCTTACTGTTTGAGTGCAACTTAGTTTTTTTAATTTAGAGCGATCGGCGGGGGAAAGCGAAGTGACGTTGGTGGGAATACTTTTTGGTGCGGAAGACAAGGAATTCTCGTGAGCTTCCAGGAAGGACAAGTTGAGAGCTTATAAAGAAAACGAAAGCTGAACTGGATTTCTCTGGCAGGATATATCTTTGATCTTTTCTGCTGCCTATGACCATGGTACGTATTATGTGTACTGTACGCTTTCCTCATTCTTCAGACCCTGGCACAGCCACTATCAAGGAACGTTTTGCTGCGCTGCCTAACGCCCAGCATGTGAAACTCGGTTAGGCGCGCGCCGATCGCAGGGTCTCAGATTCGTCGCAAGTCGCCGAGGATTAGAGACTATCGAGTGGATCAGGGTGACAAGCCGACTGGTAGCTGTGGAAAGAAACTTGCAGAAGACCGTGGATATTCTCGACCGGACCATGGCTGAAACCTAAGAGACTATACTTCTTTGTTTACTTGCTTGCAGGGGATATACCAAGTTTGTGATTTGCATGCCTGAAGGTTGAGGCATCTAAAGTGTCATTAGTTGTCCACCGATGACGTCGTGGCTGAGTCCCTAGGTCTAGATTGACCCCCTCTAAAATACACTCCACCCTAACAAACATTCTATAAAGTCTATAATAGTCTAGACGTCTATGTATTTACATTGCCTTTCCCAAACCTAGATACCACCTCGTGACATCCTAGGAAAGCCAAAGAAAAGGGTATCATGAGCACCGTTAAATCGACTGCACGGTAGCCACGCGCTCCATCTCCATGGTGGGAACTTCGGTCCGTGCCTCTGGTTCCGCCGTCGATGCCCTCCGTTTCTTTTCTTGGACCGTATTCTCTGCCAGCTTCCTCATGTACTGATCAGACTCGGCCGCATATTTACACTTTGCCCGCACCGCAGCACCATACTTGTAAAAGAAGAATGGGAACGGCAGGAAGAGGAGCGAGATAAACGCAGGAATGGACGGTGCCCAATGAATTCCGACACCATCATACATCCACGTTGAAACTATAGGCAAGACCGCGCCAAAGATCGACCGAAGTACTGCGTTAGCCGCGAGCACGGACGCTGCATAGATGGTGTACGAGTCGATCAAGTAGTTCATGCACCCCATGTAGATCAGGATAACGCCAAATCCGAATGGTGCCGTGCCGATGATGCATACAATCCAGTGGATCGAAGGATAATTCGTCCACGCAAACCAGAACTGGCTGATTGGGATTGCGATAGCCCCCGGCATACACATGATCAATCGGGTTTCCGGTGGCGCATATCCTCCGTGTTGACTCTGGATTTGGGTATAATGCAGATTCGCAGGGATAGTGCAGATAATTCCGATGATCATACCAACCATGATACCCAGGAAGGAGAGACCCCCCATACCTGGATTCCATCCTCGTACTTCTTCGAAAACGATGGGAAACGCCGCGAAGAACATGTAAAGAGTACCGTATACCAGTGCGACGTAGACTGCCGAGAGCAAGACAATGGGTTCTTTGAAAAGTAGGACCCAGGGTCTGGAGAGTGTTTTCCTCAATAGTTCAGCAGTAGTCACTGGGCCCTTCTCCAGTTCTATTTTGCTGCGATAGATCTTGCCCGTAATACGCGAGAGTCGATTCGCACGCTCTCGCAAGAGCACTGGCGCATATGTCTCTGGAGTCATCAAGGTTGACACGAGCCAGACGAATCCAGCAGTCGCAGCCAGAAGACCTTCCACCCATCGCCAACCAGCCTTCATCCCAAGAAACCCGCCAATGATAGGGCCCAAAGAGGGTCCGAGGAAGGGCGCGGCAGCGTAGAGGCTGAGTCCAAGGCCCCGTTGCCTCGCCGAGAAAATATCCGAGATAGTTCCACCGCCATTCGTCAATGGAGCAGAGCCAAATGATCCCGCAAAGAAACGCAGAATACACAAGGACCAGATGTTCTGTGCGCCGGCACAACCGGCCAAAAAAATGGCCATGAAAAGCAAACTGATAAAGAATGAAACCTGCCGACCATAGACTTCGCCTACAGGGGCCCAAAACAACGGACCGATCGCGAAGCCTAACACGTACAATGATAGACCGAGCGTCGCGACAGGCGTGCTAACTTGGAAATCAGCAATGATCTCGCTGATACTCCCACTATACGCAGATGATGCTAGGGAGACGATCAAGCTGGCAAAGGCAACGGTGAGGGTTATCGAGATTTTGCGGGCGCCGCTGAAGAATTGCGGATTGCGGCTGTCGTTGGGTATCCACGCTACCGCGAAGGGATCGTCTTCCGTTCCAGAACCAGCATACTCGTAGTCGAGCACATCCTGGGTGATAGCTCCCTTATCGACGAGCAAGTGCCAGAAGGGGATTCGTTTCGGATAGACCGTTAAGTTGGGGCCTGGACTCCTCCCGGACATCTCTACCTCGATGAAGTTGTTGGGGACCAAGCACGGAGATGTAGTTGATAATATTCGGAAAAAGATAGGTTCAATGCTCGTCACTGTTTCATATAATCAGACATGAAACCGACTTGTAGAGTCTAGAGCATGAAATGGAAAAAAGCTCGGGTAGAGTGGATGCCGAGGTTCTGCCGAGGCATGAAAAAGAGGCTGCGAGGCCGAGTGGGAGGAGTGTCATGAGAGAGATACGGAGAAGAGAAAATGCAAAAACAAAATTAAAAAAACAGCAGGGGGATTCAACTGCATGAATAATTCGTCAGCCAGGAAAAAAATTGTGACATAAATCTTTCCTAGCGCGAGAATAATGCGCTACAAGGGAGCGGGAAAATGCTTAGAGCGTCTGTTATCGAAGTGGCCCGTGGGGCGCGGTTGGCCGATCTAACCGAGACGATCGGCTCCTGGCCGAGATTATTCTGATTATTGTGCATCTTGATAGGCCAAAGGATTACTTTACCATATGTTGTTGAGAGATGTACTAATGTTTTACTCCGACTACTCCAGAGCGGGCTTACTTTCTATATAGAACATGGCGTTCCCTCATGATCCACTATATAGTTGGTGTCTGCCGGCTCGAGCGTTCTAACCTTTTTTAACTATTTAATGTTCCACGTTCAATGGAGGCTTCATTGCCATTATTAGGCGCTCATGAGATCTAATCGTGCGTTTGGCTCGTCCAAGTTCTCAATTTACTGAAGCAAGTGATGATTATATGCCCGAACTTATGAGCCATCCTGCCTTCCCAGCGGCCATATCATATGAACACTGTTTTCCAGTCTCGTGCCTATATAGTTGAGGAATACGACCTAGAAGTAGTATCGCTGTAAAGGCTCGAGGCTGATACTGCTAGTGTCGATAGACGAGACGTCTTAGATGCATAGAATGTGCATCTTGTGCTACTAAATCTGCACGATTCTCAACCTATTATATCATCGACAAAGATTAGAGTTGAGTAACATGATAAAGTAGAATGGTATGCATGATATTACATTAATTGGTCTAGATGAATCTGGTTGGAGCAGGCCGATTAACCCATTTATCTGGTATGATAGCATTCCATCTTTTGCTTGAATATACATCAATCGCAACGATTACGGTTCTTCAATTGCTTACCGAGTCTGAGATTATCTGGTTTGCTTCGAGAATTCAACTTATTCTTTGAATCTTCGAGCTCATTCTCAAATACATCGACTTTTGCTGTGGAGGGTGTGAATAGTAACGTGCAAAGAGACGCAAGGAATATGGAAATAGTGGACTGTTATGACCGGAGCATAAGCTATGGATGATCCTATAGAGCAAGTCTGCAAGACCAAGTCTACTATCACAAGGCCAATATGCTGAATAGTAAGCAGAACTAGTCTGTCCCTGCTCAAGAGAGACCGGGCAGCAGCTCAATACCTTTCAGTTGATCCTTCTTTAGCGTAAATAGACATGCTATGAAGCTTCATACTGCATCCACAGTCTCTTGCGAAACATTGCCTGGGTAAGAATGACTAATGGAATCCTCGGCGTTTTATCCATTGCGCACGGTGTACCTTCCTACACCCCCACATTTGACGTTTCGACTCTGTTCCTGACCCACTCTCCGCTGTTCGTGAAAGGTAAAACTACCGCAGCGAGTAGGCAGGTTAGGTTCAACTGTGATGAGATCAACTATAATTCTATATGCAAGTGCGGGTATTGACTGGTACTGACCGCAAAGAGCAACCCAGCGTGGTGCATTCACCAGGCCAGACACGGCCTGAATCAGCCCATTTAAGAAAAGAGAGAAAAGCCAAGCCAAACACACCAAAGTCAGGATTCTTTCGCCCGAGAGAAACGAAAAGAAAAGCGATTATCGGTTTTATCCGAATTGAGGCAGTATTCGACGAACCAGCTCGTCTTCCATAAACCTTCGCAATCACGCCATCGAGTTCCCCGCCAGCGTAGTTCCTGCCCCTCCTTCTTCACGAGTTTATGAGGCCATTGTTGTCCCTAATTTTCCTTGTCTCTTCTTACATCTCTTTTCTAAGTAATCACACTGCCTCTCCTGACACCGATTTGGTCGCTATCGTCCATCGTTGGACCTCACCGTACCCTTTCCCCAGATAATTTTTGAAGCTCCGCCCACCGGGTTCCCCGCATTTCAGCCATGGCTGAACAAAATCTCCACTTCGAGACCCTTCAGCTTCACGCTGGGTAAGAAGACCCTGTTTCCCCTTCTTTTTTAACGCGATGTATGATTAACGTTGATCTCCCCAGTCACGAGCCTGACTCGGCCACCAATTCTCGCGCAGTCCCCATCTACGCCACAACTTCCTACACTTTCAATGACTCCGCCCATGGCGCAAGGCTCTTCGGCCTCAAGGAGTTCGGCAACATTTACAGCCGCATCATGAACCCCACCGTCGACGTCTTTGAGAAGCGCATTGCAGCTCTCGAGGGTGGTGTTGCTGCCGTTGCAGCTTCCTCCGGCCAGGCCGCTCAGTTCATGGCTATCTCCGCATTGGCGCATGCTGGCGATAACATCGTCTCCACTAGCAACTTGTACGGCGGTACTTACAACCAATTTAAGGTGCTTTTCCCGCGCCTAGGTATCACTACCAAATTTGTCAATGGCGATAGTCCGGAGGATATCGCTGCTGCTATTGATGATCGGACCAAGGCTGTGTATGTCGAGACGATCGGTAACCCACGCTATAACGTGCCCGACTTTGAGGCCATTGCAAAGGTGGCGCATGATAATGGTATTCCCCTCGTGGTAAGTACTTGGAGACTGATTTCATATCACGTTATTAGCCAATCCGAAAGAATCCCCTGCAACGTGACTAACTCTTCTCTCTGTGGCTAGGTTGACAACACCTTCGGTGCCGGTGGCTACTTCGCCCGCCCCATCGACCACGGCGCTGACATCGTCGTTGAAAGCGCCACTAAGTGGATCGGCGGCCATGGTACAACTATCGGTGGTGTAGTTATCGACAGCGGCAAGTTTGACTGGGGCAAGAATGCCGCTCGCTTCCCTCAATTCGTTGAACCCTCCGAAGGCTACCACGGACTCAAGTTCTGGGAGACCTTTGGTCCCATCGCCTTTGCTATCCGCGCGCGTGTTGAAATTCTGCGTGACTTGGGCTCGGCGTTGAACCCCTTCGCGGCCCAGCAGTTGATTCTTGGTCTGGAGACGCTGAGTTTGCGCTGCGAGCGCCATGCCACTAACTCCCTTACCCTGGCTAAGTGGCTCCAGAAGAATGAGCAAGTCTCTTGGGTCTCGTATCCCGGTCTTGAGGATCACCCTTCGCACGCTACGGCGAAGAAGTATCTGACTCGCGGATTCGGCGGTGTTCTGTCCTTTGGTGTCAAGGGTGGTGCGGCGGCTGGAAGCCAGGTTGTTGATGGCTTCAAGTTGATTTCCAATCTTGCCAAGTAAGTAATGTATGATGGCGTGTTGGATGGCATATTCTAACGATTTCTCTTCTAGTGTTGGCGACTCCAAGACTTTGGCTATTCACCCCTGGTCTACTACCCACGAGCAGCTCACTGACCAGGAGAAGCTTGATTCTGGTGTCACCGAGGATGCTATTCGTATCTCAGTCGGCACTGAGCACATCGACGATATTATTGCCGACTTTGAGCAGTCCTTCAATGCATTGAAGGTTGCTTTGCCGGAGCGCACAGCCTAAGAGATGTGCTCGATAAGCGCCACTTTGGATTATGATTGGGTGTGATTTTACAAGGAGTTAGTTATTTACGGCTGTATTGACGCAGGAGATCTGTGAGGTTTAGCTTATACCCCAGAGGTGAAAGTCTTTCGTGCGTCGTATTTAGTAATGAATCAATGATATAAATCTGATGAGAAATCAATTACGAAGTGCTTAATTTATAGGACAGAGCTAGTTGCCTTAGGAGCGCTAGACGATCAATGTCTGATAAAACTAGGAATGGGTGCATTCTTGCGAGATATTTAATGAAAATAGACTGACTGAAAGCAGAAAAAAATAGGAGATGTTGAAAGACTCAAGTAATGAAATCAGCGTAGACAATATGTCTCTAATCCTCAACGTCTACGCCCAATATCGAAGCGAAGCATCAAGGGACCAGCACTGCTAGAGCTATAGGCAAGGATACCAGTAATACGAGTCGTCCCTCTATTATATCCCGCCAGAACAAAATATCCAACAGTCCTCCCAATACGAGTACCCATGATCTCATCATATTGTCGGGTTCCATATGCCCAAAGCCGCGGCTGGGCCGGGGGCCAAATCTCACCAGGAAAAAGAATCTGCTTAATGTAAGCGTTGGTTTGCCGGTTAGTAACGGTCTCAGCAAAGACATACCTCAAGCCTCCCAGGTCATGGTGCCGAGTGAACATGGCAAGCGCGATATCCGAAGTGTGAGGGTCTGTAGAACCTGCTTTCCGAGTGATCAGTGTCGCGGCGATGATATTTGGCGAGATGTACCCATGCCAGGAAGAGTGTCTCATGGAGATTGTGTATTTTTTGTAGTCCCCTGCGATTCGAGGCATTTCCCTAAGTAGTGGTAAGATTAGCTCTTGTTCGATATCGGACAGGTTCCCCGATAGCCGGGTCTCAACCACTTGTATACCGTGTCGGCGGAGAAGGTTGCTTGACTGGGTGTTTTTCGAGACAGGGCATCCGGGCTCGGTAGCGTTGTCAATCCAGTGGACTAGTTGGGATCCACGATCGCGCAACCAGGAAGCATCCATGGCGACGTCTCGCGGACCGGTCTGGAGTTCGGTCAAGTTGGTTTGTGAGACTGATTGATTGCCCTCGTCAGAATCCGAGGAAGACTGGCCTCCACAGAGGCAGGTTATAAGTGAACATTGGCAAGGCATTGCGGATTTTGAAACTGCGCCTTCTGAGGGAATTGCAGAGTTAATAAATGGGTCTCTAGACTTTTTGGATAACCGTTACCTTTTTGCGCTTGAGAGTATTCCCAGGTGGAATTGGCAAAGAGTAGAGTTGGTGGATTCTTGACTCCTTATATACTTTTCTTGGAAGAGGGAAATGTGGTGACTATGTATAGAAGCCAAATTATTCTATTCAGAGTGAGACTATGGTGCAAAATTAGATTATCAATGTCTTTGTCTATACAAAGAACTTGCCGAGGTGTGAACAAAGAGAGGCTGTTTTTGATACAACAAGCGGGAACGCTTGGTAATTTCACCATATAAATTCTGAAAAAGTAACCGCTCCTGAAAGAAGTATTCACAATAAACAGACCCAGAGGATTATATAGACCGGAGAAAGGCATTGCTGTGAGTAGGAGGGATTCAACAAAAAAATGGATACTAATAGTACATTCCCTTATGGTTCCTCAAAGTGACATGGCTCTAGTCCTCAACTATTCTGTCATTTTTATAGCTGATCTATTTCTAATGCATTGATCTTGCTCCTCTGACATGGATTGCTCCTCTGACATGGATTGTTATCTATCAGCCACAGTTCACGGGTCTACCAGTCTCAGCCAAGCTTGCCGCATGTGCCATCAACGCAGCACCCACCCCAGACCCATCCTTCGTGAGAGTAATTCTGACCCTCTGCTCACCCGCAGGTCCAATCTCAGCAACTTCTCTCATTGCACCGCGCATTTCGGCTTCGAATGTCGGATAGGACTCTATAACCGAGCCATCGGCTCCGATATCAATAATATCTCCGGGCAGTGGAGTGCTATCGGCATCCGGTGGATGTTTCGGGAGCATCCAAGACGGTCTCTTGCAAAGTAGCCTCACAAAATCCAAAAGGTGGCGCAAAAGAAGAGGCGCATAACTGTAAAAGCTTTGAAGGCTGTATGGAGAAATCGATGTCGTTCGCGAAGGGACTCGGTTCAGGAATTTTCTCGAGGAAGTTTCGAGTCGTCCACTTTGGATGATGACCGCTGCTAATGATGCACCAGACAAGCGCGCTGCTCGTCTGGCAATGGCCTCCGCTATCAGTTTGATAGCTTCTGCGTCTGTGTTACTGACGCTCTTCGCTGACAGTGTGTCTTGAAGCAGTCGAACTGCGCTGTCGATACTCTTTGAAATCGCAAGATGAGATAGGAGGGAACTGTCGATTCCATCTCGTCGAAAGAGACAGGACTGTTCGGCAACAGTCATGTCGAAAGCACTAGCTCGCAACAGCTTCAGAATTGCCAAACGGAGTAGTTCTCCAAGATACAGTCCAGATACCCTCTTCTCCAACATGCCAAATCCGGTATCGACGGATGCCGAGTCTAATTCATCGTCGAGTGGCGTTCGCGGCAATACTTTCATCTCGTCATCCAGGGAGCCCCATTCACTGTTGATCACCATAATTCCGTCCACGTTGGCTTTGGTACTCTTGAGCCTCCGCACATTAGATAGCTTTTCCACGTAGGCAGCATTTGTCCCAGTTCCAAAAATGACAGCGCCCAGCGTAGATATCCCTTGACCCGAGCAATACGATCTTGTCAGGAGCGTGCCAACGCTGTCATTTGCCAGAACTGTAACCTGAACCGGTATTCCCATTCTATCAATGGCTTCTTGAAGCATGACGCACGGATCACGACCCACGGCTTGTGGTATATCCCAGCCCTTGTCCCAGTGTATGAGACGACCGCCATTAAGAGATTCCTGCTCGCAGGTAAAACTAAACGTAAAGCCCAACTTGTAAGGCGACTGACTGTTGGGATCGAGATGCGCATCAACGAATTCTGCGATATGTCGTGCAATGAAATCGAACAGTGGCAGATAGCTCTGGTTGACCATGACACTGGGCGGAACTCTGTGCTTGCTTTGGAGAACGGTGAAAGTCGAGTCCCCGTGTAATTCGGCCATGCATATCCTACAGTTGCTGCCACCGAGATCAACGGCCAGAAACTGGCCCTTCTCAGTCCCTGTAGGTATGCTTTGCAGATAGGCGGGTAACTGCCACGGGCGTTCATTTGCAAGGCCGTCCTCTAGAAGACAAGATAGTCAGCATACCTCTTTCCAATAGCACAGTCCTGCTAAGGTTTCCTTACTTAATTGGCGAACCAAATGTTTCGTCACTCGCCGCACATGTTCAGAACTGAGGCTGAACTCGCTGGCAATCTGCTCGGCCTGGGCCATCAAGCCCAGCTGCTGCCCTTTCGACTTCGTCATGGTCAACAGGGATAAAAGAGCAGGGAGCCAAAGACATCCACGAGCCATCCATAATGAGTGACTGAAGTATTCGAGAATGGAAATCGAGAATAGCTGACCCCTTCACGATGTGGAGCAGTTGAAGCCCGACGTTACAGAACCTGTGTTGGTATTATTCATTCGACGGGCAAATTACCGGTAGACGGCCGGTTAATTCGGACTATTGAGCTCGAGAAAGCAAGCCCGGCCCTCTTAGTGAACTTTAGCTCCTGCAGTAGTGACCCGGTCCACGTCCCGCACCCCCGGTGATCTTTTGACTTTGCCGGTTTCGCCGGGGGTCCACAATGCGCGTTTGAGGGGAATGCAGAAGAACGTGCAGTTTTTCAGGTAGCACGATTCCATCTCCGGAAGCTAAGGCGATGGATGGTTTAGCTTTTTAGCTTTGGCACTGAATACTCGCTTCAGGTTCGTTTTTGCATCAAGGATGACCACTCGGGTCTCATTCAGCATATCCCTCAGTCTACAACGGCTAGTGCTCAAGCTGGGCAGGATCGTCTTCCTAATATACCAAGCTCGACAATTAGCTTAGCTCGAGCAAGATGAGAATTTTGATTCTATGGCTCTACTTAGCCGCGCTTAGAAAATCCCATTATAAGATTATATGAACAGTATGATGGGAAACTTTAGAAGAGAACGGTTGATGTCTAAATGTACATAAATTTGAATCACTAAGAGTCGAAAGTAATTCAAACCGGTGAAAATGGCATAGTCACAGATCGCACAGTCAACGGCTTCGTTTGTCCGATACGCGAGGACATACTATCCGGTGTTAACTCTCCATCCTCCGGCTCCCTCCACGTCCCATCGATAGATGTGGCCAGTGTAAGCGATGGCGGAGTCTCGCTGCTCATTCCTTTGGAAAGAATAGTACGTTCCACGCCCGTGAAATACTTTGAGCAATCTCAGCATTAGCCTCGCAATCAATAATGTCATTTGTAGCGGGGATCTTACCCTGACAGTTTTCACCTTCAGCTCCATCGTGGCATCCTCATCAACGACCAGCATGCTGGACGGGTGTAGTTGCAACGCAGACAATGTGCATAAGTGGCTGATACCACCCTCGACTGCTTGCTGGATAGCAGGCGCCTTTGAAGTCCCCGTTGCGATAATGACCACCTCTCTAGCATCCATGATGGTCTGCACACCCACCGTCAGCGCCATGCGCGGCACGGCATCAATGTCGCCATTGAAGAACCGCGCATTGGCGATGATAGTCTCATGGGCGAGGGACTTGATTCGAGTTCGACTAGCCAGGCTCGATCCAGGCTCGTTGAATGCGATATGACCGTCACTGCCTACACCGCCAAGGAAGAGTTCAATTCCACCAGCGGCTTTAATTTTGGCCTCATACGCCAGGCACTCGTCCGTTAGACTTGCGGCATTGCCGTCTAGGAGGTTGACGTTTTTCACGTCGATATCGACGTGTTGGAAGAAGTTTTTGTACATGAAGGAGTGATAGGACTCGGGGTGATCGCGGGGAAGACCAACATATTCGTCCATGTTGAACGTTACAACATGTTGAAACGAGATTTCGCCTCGAGAATATGCGGCAATCAACGCTTGGTATATGGGCAGAGGACTGCTGCCCGTTGGTAGTCCTAGGACGAATGGCCGGTCTGTTGTTGGACCAAAGGCATTGATTCGCTCTGTGAAAGTTGAGTATGAAGGTCGAACAATGTGTTGTGTCAACACTTACTGACAATATATGCAGCGATATACTGCGCCGCCTGTTCAGGGCGCTCTCGGACAATTAAACGCATAATCTCAGTTGATTGTGGAAAGACAGAGGCTGAAAGTTGATCTTGGAGGAGACTTGAAGTCGGGTTTAGTGATTGAAGTGCGGGCTGTCAAAGGAAAAGGATAATGTTTTCTAGAAGACAAATCAATGTCTTAATTTCGTTGCGGTCCGTGAGATTAGTACCCTAGTAGCACTATGACTACCACACGGGTGATCATTCTGATACGATATCTCATTTTACTCCGATTCTGCGTCATCGTAGGAGTCTGGTTCCTCAAGATTGAAAGAGGGTCCGGTGATATCGGGGAATCCGGTAAAACCGGTAAGATGGCTGAAAGTCCGGAGAGGCCGGAAATTGTCACGGCGAACACGAAGAAGATAATCTCTACGCAGACCCAATCTATCCGAAGCGGATCGAATTCAAAGCTTTCACGTACGATAATGAGATGACATGGCGGGTATTGGATGTCGTTCAAGTGGAATGCGAGCGGGAGAGTCCTGGCCATCTCGCCGAGGGTTGAACTTACAGTACAGCATACGAGAATCAAGCGTGATCATTTCATACAATATCTATTACTCAGCTTATACTAATTTGACCTAGACACTTCAAAGTAAGAGCTCTTGCATATCGATATTATATTGATTGCATTCATAAATTAAAACATCATCCATATCAGAACATTTCCCTCTTATAACACAAGGCTCAATTCAAATCATAACCCCCATTAAAATTCACCAACTCAAAAATCCTCATTCCTCCTTTGCATTGGCAATCTTCTCCTTATACTGCTTGCTCCCAACAAACCACCAGATCAAAATCAAAATAGGCAACCCACCCACCACCACACAGGTATAATTCATATTCTGCGTAGTCAGAGGCATAGTATAAGGGAAACTGAAGAAGGTGATTGCAAAAATCAGCCATCCAACAGTAACACCATTGACGAGCCAGCCCCATTTGCCCATATGAAAAGTACCCTTGTGCATGTTCAACCGGCCCGTGAGCATGTTTGTGGAAATGGGGATGAGATACGCCACGTTGTTAATTGTGACGGCTGCACCTAGCATACTGTTGAATGCGGTACTGCTGCCAAGATACAGACAGCCTAGTACGGCATTGGCGGCGGCGACGAGCAATTGAGCGTTGAAGGGGATGCCGAATCGCTTGCTGACGCGGCCCCAGACGTTGGAGAATGGCATGGCGCCGTCCCGGGCGAAGGCCCAGAGGACGCGGGAGGTGGAGAGCTGGGAAGAGATGACGCAAGGACCAAGGGCGACAAAGAGGATGAAAGTCAGACCGAATGCGCCGCCGGCGGATTGGGTTGCTTGGTGGAAGAGCTCGGCTAGTGGGAGGCCGGTGTTGGTGGTTGATAGGGCGGCGTAATCTTGGACGCTGAACATGAGACCGATTAAGTAGGTTAGGCCGGTGATGAAGGCGATAGATAGAGTGATGGCAATCGCTAGAGGTGCATTTCGGGAGGGCTGATATTGTTAGTGATGAAGATGGTTTGGCATGGGTATTTTGGGGACTCACGTTTGGCATTTCCTCGGTGATATGGGTCACACCGTCCAGACCACCCAAACTGTACAGAGGATTGACGAGGCCGGTGATGAAGCAGATGCCGTTGTTACTCCAGCCGGTATTGTTGATCCAGGTCTTGAAGACAAAGGTAGTGTCTTGATGGGAAGGTGCGCAGGCAACGACCGTGACGAGAACAACCAACCATCCAATCTGGAGGTAGAAAAGAGAGAATTTGTTGAGTGCTGGGATGATCTTGTTTCCGAACAGAACCACTGCTGCTGTGAGGGCATTCAGGATCTGGTAGATGACAAAAGTCTGCCAAGCCTTGAAGGACTGATCAGGGTGGTAAAGTGCATATAGAGCTTGGACTGGTTTGTGTTAGATATAGAATTGCTTTGATCAGAAATTAATGATTGACATACCGACTTGAGCAAAGATCAGATTCGTCGACGCAGTCGTAAAAATCCCTAATACATCATTTAGTCCCAGACACTAGTTTCAACTCAGGAAGCCCAACTTACAACCACAGACAGTCAACCATCCAGTCATGAAACTCAAGAAAGCGCTGTATCTCTTAGGCGCCACAGCGGCGATCCAGTGGTACATTCCACCTTCGGTTGGGTAGCTCGACACGAACTCGGCCAGGGATGCACCCAGGAAGGATTGCATGATCGTGACGAGAATGAACCCGTAGATGATAGCACCTGGACCACCGGCATTGATTTCAGTGACAATGCCCAATCCAAGACCCGTCCAGGAAATTGTCGTCGTAGATGCAAGGCCGATCAGCGATAGTATACTGAAATGGCGCTTCAACTCCTGGGTATGACCTATTTTTACAACCATAATTAGCACGCGACAGATTTCTACCTTGAGATGTACAGACATACCCATCTGAGCCAGACGAAGCTCGTCAGCATCCATAGGTGAACCGTCCTTTTTGGACTCGACAACCGAGCTTTCGCTGATGATTTCGCCCATCCTTTTTGTTGCCCTTGAAGATTGGACTGGCTCGTGTCAATCTCGCTGAGGGGTAAGCCTTGTAATAATCAATCGATGGAGATACGAGGGCACCCGAGGGTTGTTTATGTATTAATCAGGTATCTCGATAACTAGAAAACCTGCATATCACTTGACCAGTTGGGCCCCACTATCTCTTCGCGACTTTGCGGAGTTCAACGGTAAAAGCAGGAGGAATAAGGCTTATCGAATATGGGGGGAGGGTTATTTTCCCCAAAAGATAACTCAAGCTATTGGCTGATAGGAAACACCGACTTGGCCGGTCATTTCCCCGGCGATGGGCCGGTGCCGGAGCGCCGATTGGATTAGACATTGGTGGGCTAATTGATTCGGCTTGGTTAATTAACTTTAGTTCGCTTTGGGTGACTTTGGTGGCTTTCTCCGCAATGCAGCCGAGCCGTGGGGAAATAAGTTCCCGAAGATAGCAGAAACCGACCACCAGACATTCGACAAGTTGACCCAAAGTCTAGGGGTAACAGGCCAGGGTATAAAGTTGAGGCGCATCGGTACGAGGTAACGATGGAATGTCACGTCACACGTGTTGATTCTTTCCTTCTTACGACTTCAAGATGCGAGTAAATGCCAATTGGTCTCGGATCGCCAGCCTAGGCCTGCTGAGTGCCAGGCTGGTGCACTCCGCCGAGCTGAGCAAGCAATCCAAGACACTCTTTGACCAGTCAATGACGCTGATGGACGATATTTATGATTCCGATGCCGGTTATTTGAACTATTTTTATTATCCCTTGGCCGCGGATGCACACGAGACCCGATCGAGCGTTTGGTATTCCGTGGGACTCCTCCAACGTAACCAGGGCAGTGATCGTGATGAAGCAATTAAGATCATCAGGAATGTGATTGGCGGTCAAGAGAAGAACGAGTCGGTGCTGTGGTATGGTGATTATACCAAGTATCCGGAGCAGCCAACCGTTGGAAGCCCTGCATACTCCCCCGTGGTAAGTCGACATCTCACTTCTCATGCATCAAACCACGTACTAAAGAAAGATAGATTTATAATTCATGGGATCCCAATTGGCGAGGCTTCATCGGCACCGCATTGATCCTCATCTACGAGGAATTCGGCAGTCTTCTACCCGCCGACGTGAAAGACCTCGTTATCGACAGCTTGTACAACAACACCATCGGCGATAGCTATCGCGTCGGCGGCGTCGATGATGATAATCTCTACCCAGCTTATTCCAATGCCTGGCTGATGCGCACGGTAGCCACCTCCTGGACCGGCCACCATCTGAAAAACGCCAACATGACCTCCGCCGGAGACACCGATGCCCAGAAATTCCTCGACCTCTTCGATCGCAATGGCACCTTGTCCGAATTCAACGGTCCTACCTATGCAGGCGTCTCCCTTTACGCGCTAACTATCGCCGCGAAATACCTTTCCTCGACTACATCAGTCATTGGACGCAATGCCGAGCGAGTTATTCAGGAAATCTGGGGCTACGAATCGCAACTCTGGAATCCGAATATGAGAAACTTTGCCGGACCATGGGATCGATCATACGGCTACGATATGAATAACTATGTCGCTATCATCTCGATATGGATCTGGTCTCTGGTCGGCAAAGAGCATGTCTGGCAATCCAAGTCTCCAATTTGGACGATGACTCACGCAGATGACTTTGAGATTTCGCCCATCATCGCCGTCTTGTCGAATTTCCATAAGAAACTTGTCCCGCAATCCGCACTCAATAGATTGACTTCTTTCTCGGGCGAGCATACCTATCACGGACACACTTATGCCCCGCCGGCAGACTATGAGCCACGGAACATCACTACGTGGCTGTCCTCTAATCTGACCATCGGCACGGACTCGTTCAACCAAAGCAATGTCGGTGGCTATTCAAAGGACTCTTCTTCCTTTTCGCCTTCGGTCGTGCAGTGGATTCGTCCCGGTGGCTCGATCGGATACTTTAACCTGTATCCGACCGAGTCTGCCTTGCAGGCGGAAGTGAGCCCGTACGCTCTGAACCTGACTTATCCTCTGGGTAACTCCACAAGCACGTTTACGTTTGTTCTGGCTTCTAACCCGCTGGGCTCGAAGAGGGATATCTCCGGGTTTGAAGACGTTGATGGTCTTCAGATTGAGGTTGTTGGTGGAACCGTTAACCCCACTCCTGAGATTTCTTTCTGTGGACTTATGGGTGGCACCTGCGATATTATTCAGTAAGTCGATAACCTCCCCATTTCTACCAGGTGGCTAGACTTTGCTAACGATAACAGTAACTTTGAGTTTTGGAATGTCACTTTCTCGATGGACGAGAATAGCTCTGAAATCCCGAGTGTCCAGTTCAAGTTTACTCTTCCTTAGATTTGGTTGCGATGGAGTACTACGTGACATGTGTATAACACCAAGACACATTGGCAATTTTCAGTCCCCTCTATCTCTCTCTAGAAGCTATATAATGATGAAATTCAACTTTACTGCAGATGGATCGCATCAAGAGTATTTAGCAATTCAATAACAGGGTCATTGAAAGGGCCAAGCCCGAAAATGATCATGCCAAAGCGCCCTAGAAGAGAATTCCACGTGGCCATAGGCCGCTTCATACGTCAGAGTATGATTCCGATTCCGTGAGTATCTCTGCGGAGGACGATTCGCACGGCGACCCAGACCGTAATGATGAAAATGGGGAACCTGAAGTTGATTGTTACTGAACGTGGCTGGCGAAACCCTTGAATACGCACTCCAGATTTCCAGGAGAACCCGTTCGGAATTCGGGGTATTCGAATAAGCCATGTCGAGACGGACGTGTGTTTCCGATCCGGTCAACTATATTGTCAGACGGATACGATCCGAAGGAGTTAGATCGGACCTGCACAGAGGCAAATGCGTATTCGGTCTTGCGATCTCACTCGAGAAGACGAAAGGGTATCACACAGCCGAGTGTTTGATCCACAAAAGTGCTTTGATATCTTCTGCCGTCAATCCAAAGCTCGGCTCAACCGCATCAACATCTCAGACACTATCAAGTGGCACGGTGCCGAGTTCTCCTACAAGGACTTTCAGAGGTCTTCTCGGTCAGGAGATATCCTAGAAGGCGAAGAGCCATTCTGCGAGCAATTCTGGCAGTATGTCCGCTTCACAGGGCTCTACCTCGAGGGGTCTCTGCAAGTCGAAGCAGAAACGAGTGTGAAGCACGTTCATTACTAGCAGTGAACAATTCCTCGTTAGTGTCTGTGCAGTCAAGGTTTCTGGTCAGACACGCAAGATTATTTGCCCGATATTAGCAGTGTGAGGTGGTCCTAGGAACCTGCCAGCCTAGATATGGAGAACAAAAGACCAAAGGGGACTTTCTAGTCTATTATGTGAAGGAAAGAGTTGAATAATACAGATTTGAGATAGCGCAGTACCAGAAACTCTCATGGCTTATACGACAAATTGAAGCGACTAACAGGATTTACATAGAGAGAGGAGAGAAGAAGTTATCAATTGACTATGGTCATGTGAGGGTAAGTCATATCTGGACCTTCCCAGAAATTCAGTTCTAGGAGTAGATGGCGCCATAGTTTTCGTCGGAGGACCTTATAGAGGCAAAATGAGTTTGAATGGGACGAGTAGCCTGAGCATGAAGAGGAGCGATCTGGATCAGGTTGCTCAAGGTCCTAGGGCGTTGGGGTGGGAGCCGATCACTTCTCGAGCGAGGCGGCAGTTTTACCGTCTCCTAGATTGAAATGAATACATACAAGCAGTAAACAATGAAATCAGAGACGATAAAGAAGACAACGCATGAACATTACGAACAAAATGATCCGAATAATGTACTAAGTAGAGATTGAATACAATATTAAACTGTAGGTTCTTTGAAATTGTCCTATCTAGGTACTGGGCAATCACCGCTACCTTTGAAACAAGTGAAACTGAATCTGTAAAGCTGAAAAGCCCCCAAGACACCTCCGTAAAGGGTCAAAGGACAATGGATACGGGGAAGATTTTTTTGTTTGAAAAAAAAAGCCCACCCTAGACCCCCCAAAAAACCCAATCCAACCTCCCCTAAAACGCCGACTGGCTTGCTCTCCCTTTGTTTTTTTTCTCCCAGCTTCATCCGTGTCCCCCGAAACGCCGCTATATTCGAGAGCTGCCAGATGCAAGAGTGTGGAATGAAGAAATGATGATAGAATGAAAAATGAACACATTTTGAAAGAAAAATAAAAAAAAAAAAATGGAACCGGATGAAAGTGGTCGCTGTGCTGGGAATTCGTTGTTCTCGGTCATCTAGTTACCATGTCCGGGAGGTGGAGGCTGAGTTGAGGGTGCCTGCGAATTGCCCATCATGTAACCCGGTGGGAGGAAGGGCATCGCGGGCATACCGGGGAAGTTGAAGCCATAGGCAGGGACTGCGGGAGGAACGCCCGGGTTCGGGGCTCCCGACATATCGTGCTGGTCCTGGCCCTGTCCTCCCTGGGAAGGACCACCGAAGCCATCCCGGTCGAACCGGCCACGACCACCACCGCCGAAGCGCTGCTGGGGAGGAGGTGCCTGCTCCGGGCCGCCGCGGGTGGAGATCGGTCCACGCTTGCCGCCAGTGTCGGTTGCGATACGTCGGCTGATGGCCTTGGAGGAAACGCCCGCACCAATCTCGATATCCGGCTCCTCAACCACCATGCCCGACTCGATGGCGCGTCCACCGGTACCACCATACTCGGCAGTCAACATCCACTTGCGATCAGCCTCGGTCAGCCGTTCAATAGGGATCACACTGATACCGGTTTGGTAGTCGCTGCAGTCACGCGGACCAAAGCCGACACCCCAGCGGGTGCGCAGTTGCATCTCGGCTTGGCGATAGGACTCCATCCCATCGCGAGCAGCGACCGCATCGGGACGGCTGATCATCTTGATAAAGGCGTGGCGCTTGTCGACGTTGACAATACAGGTTTGGACCACACCGAATCGGCCAAAGAGGGCGCGCAGGTTGGCCTCGGAAGAGGTCACACCACCGACAAAGAGCGTGCGGCTGAGAACCTTGATGTTGCCCTGGCCGATAGAGTAGTCCCATTCGATGAGCTTGGGACCGGGAGGTGGGAGGTTGGGATCCTTGCGCTGGGGAGAAGGAGAGCGGCGGCGACGACCGCCGGGGGGGCTGCGCTGGCGATACTCGGCGGGACCACCCCGACGGCCTCCACGGGCATCACGAGGATCACCGCGGCGGCCGGGGGAATCACCATTGTATTCGCCATAGACGGGGCTGTCGCGACGGCGGGGTGGGGATGCGGTACGGCGACGGTCCCAACCAGGAGAGCGAGAGCGGCGGCGATAGCCTCCTGGCGAGCGAGGATAGTCACGGTCACGATCGCGATCACGGTCGTCACGGTTCTGGGTATCGTGCTGACCCCAACCACCAGGGGCCGCGGGGGCTTGCCCGGGCATCATGGGGAATCCGGGGAGGGAAGCAGCCGGGTTAGCTCCGCCCATCGGGTTAGACATGTTGAGGAGCTGGAGTGCGGTCGCCCATTGGTCTTGAGGGATGCCCTGGGTCGACAGGAACTGCAGCAGCTGAAGCTGTTGCGACAGCGCATTGCCATCGGGCACGGCTGGAGCGGCGTTAGGCTGGGCCATCATGGCGGCCAGCGGGTTCGGGCCTGCGGTCAGGGGGTTGGGAGTATGGTTCTGGCTGTGGGGTTGAGCAGGCATTGCTGGGTTCGGCATCATACCCGCCAGAGCAGCATAAGGGTTGGCACCCATTGCAGCCGCAGCATAAGGATTCGCAGCCGAAGGAACCGAGGAAGAGTCGGCGGATGAAATAGGTGGGGGGATCGCACCAGCGAGCGCAGCCAGAGGATTCGCAGGAGCTGCAGGGGCCGGGGCAGCAGGAGCAGCAGAGCTCTGCTTAGCCATATTAGCCAGAGCCTTTAGGATACTGGAAGTATCCGGGGCAGCGGCAGTCCCATTGGCGGGAGGCTGAGGCTGAGAAAGTGGGCCTCCGAGGGGGTTGAATCCTGGGGCGGGAGAGCCTTCGGGAGTGGTGGATTCCACATCTTTACCAAACGATGATTAGAAAATGAAGAACGACGAGGATGCATACGATGGTACACGGTGAACGGAAAACTTACTCTGTGGAGGGGCGTTCAGCTTGTCGCGGAACGAGGCGAGCATGGCGGTGGGAAAGGTGCCACCACGCTCCCAAATGTCGATGAGCTTCTTGATTTTCTCCTACAGGTAAAAAGAAAAGTATGAGCAAACGGGTCAACCAGCCAATAAGCAAAGTGCAGATACAGCGCAGGGGGGGGCAAAAGGGAAGCCCCATCCAGGAGATCGTGGTTGGTTCCTGAGAGGAGTGCAAAGAGAAGCGAAGACCAGGATACGGCGGGGGAACTCGGCCCCCAAACGGAGGCGCCCCTCCGCTGGCCGTGACTTGCATGTCTAGTGCGAGCGTATACAGTACGATGCGTATAGAGGGAGTGAATATAATTGTGATGAGGAAATCACACATCTTGCACAGTGTGTCCAGGTGCAACTCGTGATCTTGTTTTTTTCTTTTGCATGTATTTTGAAAGCGTACCTTTTGATCATTGGGGGCATTGTTTATGATGTCGGTCATCAGGACGGGGAGCAATTCGGTCACTCGATTGACTCCCGCTGCAAACGTTCCATCCGAAGGATTGGAGCCAGGAAGTTGACCGGCCTTGCGTGCAGCTTCTACCCATTGCCGGGTTACAGAGTCTACGACATACAGGACTCCCAGCTTGTGGGTGCCCGGTGTCTTCTTGAAATGCGTGTAGATCTTTTGGATCAAGACGGATTCATTCTGTGAATAATCTGGATTAGCGGGAGAGTCCGGTTCGTTGGTTCGGATCTAGGGGAGGATCGATCATACCTGGACGTTGGCAGTGCACAGTGCGGTGATGCCCTGAATCTTGCTGCCCGACACACCAGGAGGCTTCAGAGCCAGCATGGATTGGAGATAGCTCTCCAACTCCGTTACGGCCGTGGACATGGTGGTGAGGATTGTGGCGGGTGGCGGGTGGTGAGAATGTTGAAAAGAGTTGAAATATGGTTATATCCCGTGACGGTTCGGTCTGATTTTCCTCAAGGAAGGCTCTAAATGCAGCGACGCACTTGCCTTACTGGAAAGCGACCGGGCTGAGAGAAAACGGGCAACGGTCAAGAGGCCCCGGTACTGGTTGGCTACTTCGAAGAGCAGGAGGTGGTGTCAGAGAGAGAAGTTTGAAAACAAGAGAAATTTTGAAAAAGCTCCTAAGGAGATTAAATCTCAGCGCGAATGGAATCGCCTTCTCTCAATACCCGTTATCTTATAAGCAGTCCAGAGTTCGGGATTTCTTTGTTTGGTTTCTTGCCCTCGAGGTTTGGTTTCTTTCTTCACACTACAGCACGAGCGTATTCACTGTCGGACCAGAGAACTGCCGCCTACAGCTGAGATACAGCCTAAAGCGAAAGGGGGAAAAAAGAAGTGTGCTTCCAGGGACTCGGAGCGAGTGCAGCCTGGCGAAGTGTACGAAGTACTGTGTGGTACAACCTAAAGCGTACTGTGATGAGAGTATTTCCTCTAAAAGCTCCGAAGGATGACGGATTTACAGAGTACGAGTAATCCGTGGATGTTGGTGAGTTGAGAGATGATGAAAATGATGATGGATGAAGGTCGAGAAAAGAGAGAAGAAGGATGGATGATGATGAAAGGGGAAAGGAGAGGAAGAAAGGGATCACCTGAAAGACTTTTTGCAAGGTTTGCACGGTTTGCATGTTGGGCGCTAACCTCATTTCAGGCTGGATCACGTGAAGTGAAAATGAGATCATGTGATTGTAGGTCAGGTGATAAATGCTCAACGTTCCAACGTGGACTTGGATTGTTATGGCAGTGACACTCCCGTGCGGTATGTTCGGAGCAACAATTTTGCTTGTGGCTCCAAGGATCCACCTGCTAGAAGTGGATGTCCTAGTGGGTCCCTGGGTATTCGACGTTTGAGTTGCTGAGGTCTGGTTCCCCTGGCTACCACTACGAAAGGCGGCATGGGGTCAGCTTGAAAATGAGAGCTGTTGATTTTCTCCGATTCAGACTCGAGTGCATTTTGCTTAGTCTGCCGCCATAGCCATTAGTTAACTACACTTTTTTTATGACGGGACCAGTGGATACATCTTCCGGTAGAAAATGGGGCTGGAGAAATTTCCATTTGCGACCGAGGCTTTTTTGGGTTTGATTGTTTAGCCCTGAGCTTCGTCGGGAGTGATTGACAAGAGTCGTTAGGAGAAAGCACGTTGACTTCTTGATTCCCGTTCTGCCCCTAGATGCCGACCGTGGAGCTCCCGATCTCGGTGAACTATTTCAGAAATCTCACGGCTAGATACGGGGAAGCCAGAACCACGGACGGGGAGGGTGCATGAAGAGGCTCATGAAGATTGGTCCAGGAAATTTCTCTGGATGGTGTCTGACGGGATGATAGAATTATCGGTCCAAGGGGTCGAAGACGGACGCGAATAACCTCGAGTCGGAGCATACTACTAGAACTGTAGAACTGTACAATGATAGCTGAACGTACGTAATAACCTTACGGTACGGTATACCCGCCAGGACGAAGATAAACCCGCGATGCCGAGGATCCATCTTCGGGGATCCGGATGGCGGCACGGGACAAAAGATGGCGACTTGCCGACGTCACTGCCACCCTCCATCGGCGACAGGATCAGCTGGGTAATACCAATTCAGCATGAGCAACGCAGACTTATGAAATAGATATAGTACGTTTGTATAGTACCCAACCTAGATACCTTGAGAGTTTAGAGTACACTCTCTCAAGACTCGATCGATAGTTGATAGGAACCATAATTTACATATCGTACGCGATGGCCGAGGTGTTCGGAAGAATGATACAATAGAGAATGAGGTCATCAGAGGGACATGACATGGTACGGGGTATCTGAACTCAATTGAAATCAGAATACACCCGCGAATGCCAATGGTTGGAAATTACCCCGATCAAAACAAATGATAAACTTCAAAGTAAAATAGCCGTTTCTCTCTTCCATACAGTGTATCAACTTCACGCCACAACGGAAGCTCTCGGACGGGGGCAGAACTACCTGAAAGTGTAGATCTGCCGGCAGCCCGAAGTTGGTCAACCCCGTTACTTCGGTCTGTATCGTTGGGGGAAAATTACCAGCGCTTTTCGTTCCCGTCTCCCCCTTCTTCCCGCCCTGCCCCAGAGAAAACGGGCTCCCGACCGTGACCAATACCGGCGGTATTACTGTACCAGCCTGGCAATAATCCGAGAAAAAAAAAGACCAGAAAATTCCCAGGGAGCTCCTCGGGACTGATTTCTTCCTCTTTCCTTTCTTTCCCCCGTATTTCCTTTCTTCCTCTTCTTTCCCACTCTTCCCCTTCTTTTCATCTCTTTCCCTCCCCATATCCTTGATTCTTTTTTTGGATATTCACATTTCGTCATGGCATCCTCTCTTCGGATCGGTACTTCCGCTCTGCGGTCTTCTATCGCGAAGCCCGTTCAGACTGCTGCTCTGAACGGCGCTCGCTGCTACTCCTCCGCCAAGGTTAAGGTATGTTTGTCGACGACTTGGGTCCGATTGAAGCTCAATTGGGATGCTAACGTCTTGGTTACAGTCCCTGAAGGAGACTTTCGCCGACGGCCTGCCCGCCGAGATCGAGAAGGTCAAGAAGCTCCGCAAGTATGCCGATCCCGCGCTCTGCTCCATCACTTGCGAACACGGGGCATTTTTCGTCTGACCATCAAATTGCAGGGAGTTCGGTAGCAAGGTCATTGGCGAGGTTACCCTCGACCAGGCCTACGGTGGTGCCCGTGGCATCAAGTCCCTTGTTTGGGAGGTGAGTTTCCATTTTCAAAGGGGGTGGCGTACAACATACACCAAAGATCAAGAACTAACAATATCTACCAGGGCTCCGTCCTCGACTCTGAGGAGGGCATCCGTTTCCGTGGCCACACCGTAAGCTACCTCCTCTCTCGCGCACCGATCGCGCAAAACCAGATGGCTATAATTGTCCCAACATAGCTGACCCTCCCCTCCCTTTGATAGATCCCCGACCTCCAGAAGCTCCTCCCCAAGGCTCCTGGTGGTGAGGAGCCCCTCCCCGAGGGTCTCTTCTGGCTCCTCCTGACTGGCGAGATCCCCTCCGAGGCTCAGGTCCGCGCCCTCTCTGCTGAGTGGGCTGCCCGCTCCGATGTCCCCGCCTTCGTCGAGGAGCTCATCGACCGCTGCCCCAGCACCCTCCACCCCATGGCTCAGTTCTCTCTCGCCGTGACCGCTCTCGAGCACGAGTCCTCCTTCTCCAAGGCCTACGCCAAGGGTATCAACAAGAAGGAGTACTGGCAGTACACTTTCGAGGACTCGATGGACCTGATTGCCAAGCTCCCCACCATCGCTGCCAAGATCTACCGCAACGTCTTCAAGGATGGCAAGGTTGCCGCTATCCAGAAGGACAAGGATTACTCCTTCAACTTGGCCAACCTGCTCGGATTCGGCGAGAACAAGGACTTTGTTGAGCTGATGCGTCTGTACCTGACCATCCACTCCGACCACGAGGGTGGTAACGTCTCTGCCCACACCACTCACCTGGTCGGCTCCGCCCTGAGCTCCCCCATGCTCTCCCTCTCTGCCGGTCTCCAGGGTCTGGCCGGTCCCCTCCACGGTCTCGCCAACCAGGAGGTTCTGCTCTGGCTCACCGAGATGAAGAAGGCCGTCGGCAACGACCTCAGCGACCAGTCCATCAAGGACTACCTCTGGTCCACCCTGAACGCCGGCCGTGTCGTCCCCGGTTACGGCCACGCCGTTCTCCGCAAGACCGACCCCCGTTACATGTCCCAGCGCGAGTTTGCTCTCCGCAAGCTGCCCGATGACCCCATGTTCAAGCTGGTCAGCCAGGTCTACAAGATCGCCCCCGGTGTCCTGACCGAGCACGGCAAGACCAAGAACCCCTACCCCAACGTCGATGCCCACTCTGGTGTTCTCCTCCAGTACTACGGCCTGACCGAGGCTAACTACTACACCGTCCTGTTCGGTGTCTCTCGTGCTCTGGGTGTCCTGCCCCAGCTGATCATTGACCGTGCCCTTGGCATGCCCATTGAGCGCCCCAAGTCGTTCAGCACCGAGGCCTACGCCAAGCTGGTTGGTGCTAAGCTGTAAAAGTGGAGAAAAGAGAGGGGGAGAAGCCAACAAGGCTAACCCTTTTTTTTCTTCTTCCCCATTTTTATCACTTATTTTGATGGGTTGATCTTTTGGGGACCTTGACTTTGTTGTTTTCTTTATTCTGAAATTTTCGGGAAATCGAGGGAAGGGACCCTATGTATTATTTCTTTTGTCTTGGTGATTTTAATTCTTCATGTTGTATGATAGGACTTGATCGGTTCGAGCGGGCCTTGGAACAGCACTTCCTCCTAAACAATAAAAATAAAAACATGGAATTTGGTCACGCAGAATTATCCAACAGATCCTTCGATCTTCATTTCTATCAAAGACAAAACCCTGACTTGTCAAGGGGTATTGTATTGTTGGGTGTGAACGAGAGCACTCGAGCCCGCAGATGCACGATAGCGGAGGCCTGGATCGTCATGTACAACCGCATTGATAGTCCGGAAACATGTAGTCAGTCAGTCACTCTGATTGGAAGCATGCATTCCACCCAGATGTGGTTCTCTGTTGATCAGATAGATTATCAGATAGACAATAATTAAAGCCAATGGCAAGTGTTTGGTCTGACGGCTACTGTGGTAGAATCGAGCACACATGAATTGTTGGGGGGAACCACTGGTTGATGGGGGGGGCACTTTGGGACGGTCTCTCACGTTTCTCAACCGTCTCTCTCACCCGACCCACTCAACCCGAAAGCAAAAAAAAAAATGTGATGTGTGAGAGGGAGGGAAAGAGTCAATGGATAAATGTAGAATTGGACAGAGATAGAAAATGGATTTATCGAATGAGATGTGTAAATATTTTGATTGTATGGAATCGGAATATATCTCTGATGCTATGATCGGATGCTATGATCGGAGGAATAGGAAATTTGGTAGAATCATTCGCCGACGAGCGGACGATGGAAGACTATTCCGATTGTGAGGTTGGAATTTTGGTAGTAGTCAAGGCCGGTCACTTCTATTTTGTGTACTGTACGGACGACGTAGTCGTATCTACGGAGCACTAACCAACTAAATGCTTGCTACGGAGCCCTCCGTAGCCAATATTGTTGCTATGGTTGTGTTCTATTGTTCTGGCGAGTGTCGGTATGGGAGGTACCCAGTACCCGAAGGTCTGAGCGGAGACCGGTCCAGATGGATGTACCAAGTACGGTCAGTCCAGACCATGAACTACAAGTATAGGAATGGAGGAGGGGATCTTGGGGGGATAGTAACAGGAGAGAATATTGAGGAGAACTCTTTGAAAATGTAGATAGTAAATGAATAGTCAGTGATAGTCATTGCAGTCACGTAGGCAAGTGCTCCGGACTCCGTAAATAGTATACATAGTCTCTTGTGTTGATCGTCCGGAGGCTGGAGTGTTTTCTCCGCAGCTCCCAGGCAGTACCCGAGCCTACTTGGTACACTTCAGCATTCCCCCCGATTTCCTGCTGACTTCCCCTATAAGACTATTTGGCCCTTTCCCCCCCTCCCAGGACTTTCTTCCACCTCTACACTACTTTCACATTCCATCACTCTCCCCTCTTCTCCCCTTTCTCTTCTCTTCTCGCGACGAAGCCCCCTACATCCCTTGGTCAGGGCCCCTTTCAGCACATCCTCTCTCATACGATGTCTACCGCTACCCCCGACAAGGCCACCGCGCCTAAGCTCGAGAAGAAGCCCGTCAAGTTCAGCAACCTGCTGCTTGGTGCGGGTCTGAACATGTTCGAGGTCACTACGTTGGGTCAGGTAAATACAATCCCTCTACTCCCACGCCTCGCGCCTGCCCTGGTGGCCTTGAGCTGGCCTCGGCTGTCAAAACACCCAAAAGAAACAACCACCAATGGCGATCACTATTGCATTTATTATCGATCATAGCAAAATCAAATCATGCTGACATTCATCTTTTCTCTCCTTTCTAGCCGCTGGAAGTGATCAAGACAACCATGGCCGCCAACCGGGGCGACAGCTTCGCCGGTGCTATGGGTCGGATTTGGGGCCGTGGCGGGATCCTCGGTTGTACGTGACACCTTTCCATTCCTCTTCCCCAGTTTCTTCCGATACACGCACCATTACTAGTGTGGGGGGAATTATCCCCCCCCCCTTCCCATCAAGAAATCGATCCAATCATGGCGCATACATGCACGCACGCTCATCAATGAGCAATTGGGACTAACTCTCTTTCTCTCCTTTCTCTAGACTATCAGGGACTCATTCCGTGGGCCTGGATTGAGGCCTCCACCAAGGGCGCCGTGCTCCTCTTCGTCGCCTCCGAAGCCGAATACTACGCCCGCTCCTTCGGCGCGAACGACTTCTTCGGTGGTATCGCTGGTGGTATGACCGGTGGTGTTGCCCAGGCCTATGCCACCATGGGCTTCTGCACCTGCATGAAGACCGTGGAGATCACCAAGCACAAGATGGCCGCTGCCGGTGTCAAGCCCCAAAGCACCTTTGCCACTTTCATGGATATCTACCGCAAGGAGGGTATCCGCGGTATCAACCGTGGTGTCAACGCGGTCGCCATTCGTCAAACTACTAACTGGGGTTCCCGCTTCGGTCTGTCCCGTCTGGCCGAGTCGGCCATCCGCAATGTCACCGGCAAGGATGATGGCCAGAAGCTGTCTCCTTGGGAGAAGATTCTTGCTTCGGGTCTCGGTGGTGGTCTGTCTGCCTGGAACCAGCCTATTGAGGTTATTCGGGTTGAGATGCAGAGCAAGACTGTGGACCCCAACCGCCCGAAGAACTTGACCGTCGGCAAGACTTTCAAGTACATTTACGATTCCAATGGCCTGAAGGGCCTGTACCGTGGTGTTGCGCCCCGTATCGGTCTGGGCATCTGGCAGACTGTCTGCATGGTGGCTCTGGGTGACATGTACGTTTTTGCTTCGACTCTTCCCTTTTCATGTGATACCTCGGACTAACCATTCTTTTTACTACACAGGGCCAAGGAAGCTGTTGAGAAGCTGACTGGCGATACCGTCACCGCGAAGCACTAGAGGAGGTTTGAAATACCCTTCTACTATGCAGTAGTCTGGAGAAAAGAAATATCATGCGGACTTCGTCGCGCAATCCACATCCATAATTTCGTCTGCTCTCCTTTGCCTGCCTCATTTGTTCTATTTACTGGGGCAAGGACCAGACTCGATCGATACCCATGAAATTCATTTGCAATTGTGTCTGTGATACTCCTCAACGAGAGCGCCCATTTCTATGTCCACATCTCAATTCCTCTAGTCCCTGGTTGGCCTTTGTAGTTTACCTTCAAACCTTCTTGTGGCCTTTCCTTTTTGACTTTTGCCTATTGTTTTTTTTTTAATTGTCTCGTGTCCGACAACAGAATAGACTTAGAAGTAGTCGGCTACAGGTCACCTGCCACCGATCATTCCAACCCCAAATCTATTGGATATATTTTTTTTAACTTTGAACTCTAGATCTATGCTACTTTCACTTCCATCCCCATAGATCTGTCAATCTCCCCCTCCGAGTTTAGGCAATTACCTCCCCCGCAATCCCCTTCGGAGCCACCCCGTAGAAAAAAAAAAGGAACAGCCCGGCCTCCGCAAGGAATTATGCCGAACCTCTTAGCCTTATCCCTGATTTTACCCCGAAGTATAGCCAAACCCGTCCAAAATGTCCGATCTCGGGGGGGCCATCCCGCGGAGCGGCTATCGGCTCTTTCACAAGCTCCCGCGTCAAGGCCATACAGCGGGAGTGGTGTGTGTCCATACGGAGGGACTCCGTTTCCTAGCTCGTTTTTTACTTGGAGACTGTATAACTTGTACTCCGTACAGTAGACTATTGAAACGATTTCGCTCTTTACCCTCCTTTCATCCGGGTCGCGCTAGTAGTTTGTAATATTTCTTTCCCGGTTGCGGCGCTGCTCCGTTTGACCTCGGCTATACAGATGTACAGAGTACTGTACCACTTTATTGTTACTGTTTTTTGTGAGTAGGCGGCCCACTGGTGATTTCTGCTTATATTGGGGTAGGTCGGCTCGTGGTCATTGGTATTTAGTGTCTTTGTGCTTGGTGTTTTCATGTGCTACTGGATATTTCCTTTGGCATATGATTTTGGGATATCTTGCGCTATTGGGGTCTTGTGGCTAGGGGGATGTTCATATGAAGATTTTTTTGGGTCTTGTGGGTTTTGGCTTGTGATTAAGCTTGTGATTTAGCTTGACTGAGTAGTTGATTATTATCCATCACCATTGACGTATTATCTTGGTATGTTCGAGATTGTTTAAAGCATAAGCTAGGAGGATGTGTTGATGGAGTGGTATTTATGTTGGGGTTGTCCTGGATGCTTCTTCGATTCTTGGAGTGGATTGCCCAGTTTGTTCCCCTATTAAAGTTTTTATCTGAGCAATGAGTAGTATTTCAAGGTTTGGTGAAAGTGACCAGACTGATAATTATTCCAGGAGGCACTATACTCTTGCAGAAACGTGACCGCGTAGGGAGGAGATATCTTGGGCACTCCATAGGCCTGAAGACTGGCTTTACCTGTCGGGCTACAGTAATCATCTCGCCGTACATCCAATCCCCTTTAATCAAATTACCAGCGAGGTAGGTGATCATTGGTCGGTCGGAGGACCAAGCTACTGTAGCTTTATTGAACGGGGGGCGGAGGGTTCTTGCCATGGGGTAAGCCACAAATAGCCTTTGGCTGCCATTGCAATTTGTACAGCGCCCATAGATAAGTTTCGCTCTTATGTAGAGCAGCTCTCTATAATATCATGATGTCAATTTCAAAAGTCATTGACATGATAGAAGAAGCGACAGCTAAAAATGGAGCATCTCAACGCTGATCCTACTATTCTTTACATATACATGGTACAGAGTACAACCCAGCCAAATCCAACTACACTCAAGACCACGGGCAGATAAGCCAGAATAAAACTGAATAAGGTACAATTGTTTGTATTACAGTCAACTACACCCTGAACAACAAAAGAGATATCGGCAAAGAATCTAGGCACAGGTGATCACATCAAATCCAAACGAGGAAAACACGCTTTTCCCTCGATCTAGGGCTGTATGGTATACAAGGGGGTTTAAACGGTCAGGCCGAGGTCCTCAGCGTAGGGAAGCTGGAAGACGTCACCGACGCTGACGAGGGTGGCCTTGCCGGTGAGGAAGGACTTGGCAACCTGGAAGGAGAGAATTAGTATTGAGAATCTTGACATAAAGGAAATGGAAATTGACATACCTCCTTGACCTGCTGCTCAGAGACCTTCTCGATGGCCTGGGCAATCTCGCCAATCTGGTAAGGCTTGGCACCGTGGATCAGGCCGGAGCCGGTAGCCTCGAGGCCGGTCTCGAGAGTCTGGACGGACTCCAGAGCACGGAACTTGGCCAGAGCGGTGGCCTTCTTGATGTCCTCGCTGGAGACCTCGCCGGCGGCGGCCTTCTTGAGAGCATCAACGACGTTCTTGCTGGCGGCACCAACCTGCTCAGCCTGGCCGGCGAGAGTGACGGTGAAGAGACCAGCGTCAGAGTAGGCGAGGTTCTTGGTGGAAACGCTGAGCTGGTTGAAGCCCTGGGTGGCCTGGGACAAGAGAGAGAAACCGGGAGTCCACTTGATGGTGGACTCGCCGCCGAGCAAAGCAGCGAGGACGGAAGCCTCGGCCTTGTAGCCGGCGGTACCGAAGGCGCTGGAGCCGGGGAAGGCGATCACGACGGCGTTGCCGGTCTTGGAGGCGATGCGCTGCTCACCACCGAAGTACTTGCTGGCCTGGGAGGGCTGAACCTTGTACTGGCTGGCGGTGGTGCCGGTGGGGAGGTCCTTGAAGAACTGGCCGACCCACTTGGTGACATCGGCGGAGTTGGGGCCGGTCGCAACGAGAGCAACGTTGGACTTGGCGTAGGCGTCCTTGGCGTACTCAGCCAGGGCATCGGCAGAGAGGTACTTCTCGTAGGGGGAAGAAGGCGAGGGGGTGACGGGGGCGCCCAGGCCACGGTGGAAAGCCACACCGTGAGCAGCATCAAGAGCAACGTTCTCGGGGTTGGAGAAAGCGGCCTGCTGGTTGACCTTGAGGAGGTAGCTGACGACCTCGCTCAGCTCGTGGTCTAGACAAAAACCGGTTAGTATCAAAGGTTTCCCCAAGCATAACTTCGGCTGCCATTCTGCCAATATCTTCTTATCCTTCTTTCGCAATTGCCATCACCAATGGGGCTGGTTCCAACTCACCAGCGAACTTGGGTTGGCTGGCAACCTCAGCCAACAGCTCTGTGAAGTATGGGAGGTCGTTGGCCAGGAACTTGGCACGGAGAACGACGTTTTCGCGCGAGTGTGTCGACGAGATCTCACCGCCCAGCAGCTCGACCTCACGAGTGATCCGCAGTGCCGAACGCTTGAGAGTAGTCTGTTCAATTGATCGAGATTAGCATTGGAAGGAGAACCTTGGAGATAGTCGAATTGGGATGGGGATCCGGGGAGCGGCTTGCGGTTGATACCAACTACAACGAACCTTGAAAGCGAACTTCTCGAGGGCATCGGCGAAGCCGGGGAAGGGCTGGTAACGAGAACCAGCCTTGGCGACGAGGGCCAGGGTACCGGTAGCACCAGAAACCTCACGGTTGGCAACCTTCACGCCGGCGGCCTCGGTGACATCGTACTGGAAAGACGGGTTGGCAGCAGAGGCCATGGCCCGACGGCCGGCGGAGAGCGCACGCGGCGCATTTCGGCTGAGGGAAGACCGCGACAGCATTGTGCACCGGGAGCAATTGGAGGAGGAGAGAAAATAAATAGAAACCCAGAAGGGTTAAGGAGGGGAGGACAATTGAAGGGAGGGGGGTCTCGGATGGGGGAGGAGAGGGAAGCAGTCGGGTCACGAAAAGCTTCAAGTTGTCGGGGCGGGTTGATTACTCCGCTGCTGATTGGCTGAGGTGACGAGTCGGACGGAACCGGAATATCTTTTCTGCCCTGCTTGTATATAGCGATAATTTGGGTGATGATATAGCTGTTTTTAAGCATATAGCGAATATGAAAATTTGAATTCAAGTAATTGGACTATTTTTGTAATGCTACAATTGACGAGATCTTCCCATCTCTTCTGTGGTATTGCATATTCTCATCTTCACCTCATCCTTGATTCCCCGATGTCCATCCTGATCACCTGATATACATCACGTGACTGATAAGCAAAAAGTTGCCCGTCAAGTTACTTCGACAGCAGTACAGCACGTCAACCCCTCCTCCTCATGAATCATTTGTGGTGACCTCAATCGCCTCTCGTGAGGATTGGAGGACGGCCAAATTCTCATCCGCGCCATGACGATGTCGCAGGTTCGGGCTTACCCCGCTCAGCCCCTCATACGATCAGCACTGACGCACAAGTTGCATAGTACGCCGCGGAGCTCTGCGCGCTCCTTATCGAGGACCAATTTGGCGAGCTTTTCGCGGTGAGTGAAAGCCGGCTTTACAATGGTGGATCTCAGCTGCAAAGCGAATAATAAGCCCGCAGCTTCGCAGAGAACTCCATTTCGCAAAGATCTAGAACTGATGATTTCACAGCGAATTTTCACGACTCTTCAGCGCTATGAACGGCTGCCGCTGCCTCGACTTAAATTCTACTCCCGCCTGACCGATCGCCAGATACACCATGGCTTGGTGGCTATGATCCAACACCACCTTGTCTACCACTTCACCTCCCTCGAAGACGGCAATACCTACTATGCGGCAAACCCGCAGGCTGCGTACTATCTCGTGCGCTCCGGCAAGATCCTTCACTTGGTTGAGAGTCGACTCGGCGAATATGCGGCTCGAGTCATGGAAAACATCATGTACCTGGGACATGCGCCCATCAAACACCTCGAAACGCTGCCCGACCTGCGATATCTAAAGTCTGAGACCACAAATGGTGTCGTCAAGGAAGAGGAGCCGGAGGAGCAGCAAGTCGAAGAGCAGGAGCAAGCACCGCAGGACTTGGACCAGCAAGCGGAAGAAGAAACCAACGGTACAAATGGGAACCATGCTGAGGAGGTTTACCAAAAACCGGCACCACTGCACTCCACCCTAAAAGCACTTGCGTCGCATGGATACATTCTACGAGTTAAAGATGCGCACTTCCAAAGCCCCGAAGACAACTACATCGAGGCTCACAAGGCAGCTTCAAATCGATCCGATATCAAGCTTCTCAAGGGAAAGAGGCTAACGGAGGAATTGATACTAAAGACTGAGGAGATCCTTAGGGAACGCACAGACGGCGATCTCTCAGAAGCATGGATGGTCAACGGTATGCCTCGCGGTGTGAAGAGAAAGTTTGCCAATGGTACCTCCGAGCCCGCGAGCAAGTGGCCACAAACCGGTCAAAACGGCACGAACGGTAACCATGCAGACGAAGATGAAGAGAATGACTGGTCCGAGGACGAAGACGGATTTGACAATATCCCGATGGAGGTAAGCATTCATTTTTCTACCACGGCAACGGCAGTGTGCTCTTAAGCTAACTGACTTTCCCAGCCCGGACTGGTGCTTCGAGCAAATTACGAAAAGCTAGACGTGGCCCTTCGAAATGCCCGTTTTGTCGAAATGGCGGAGCACGACGCTCCCCCGGCCACGGTAGAGGTCTACGAAACCCTCCTCCGTCGCATCGAATATGTCACCAAACGCTGTCGCGACACCACCGAGATCCCCCGCGAAGGCGAGGAAGGCGAACAATTCTCCGTCCCCATAGAGACATACAAGATTGTCGGCGACGTCGATCCCCACCTAGTTCTATCAGGCTGCATGGGTCCCTTGCACTCAACCCCCGAGCCCCTGAACCGCCGCGGCAAGCGGCCACTCGAGAACGGAGTGAACGGTGACCACCACGACGACGATGACGGAGAAGACGAGGGCAACGCCGACAACGAAATCAGCCGCGCCTACGAGATCAACCAACATCTCCAACTCCTCGAACAAGCCCCCCACAACCTCGCATCCCACGTCAGTCTATCCGACGGTATCAAATGGCGCGTCGGCTTCCGCGGTCTAGCCCGCAAATTACGACACCTCGAGCTAGAACGTCTGGTCGAAATGCGCTACGGCGACGTCGCCCTCCGCGTGCTCCGCGTGCTCCACGCAAAGGGCAAACTTGACGAAAAACGCCTCCAAGAAATAAGTCTCCTCCCTTTCAAAGATCTCCGTCAAACCCTCGCCAGCATGCAAACGGGCGGCTTCGTAGATCTCCAAGAAGTCCCCAAAGATGCACAGCGTCAGCCCTCCAAAACGATCTTCCTCTGGTACTTTGATCCGGATCGTGTGTGCAGCAGTGTCCTTGAGGATACGTACAAGGCTATGTCCCGCACACTGCAGCGGATCAAATTCGAGCGCAATCTTCGTCGGGATTTCCTGGATAAAACTGAGCGCAGTGATGTGAAGGGCAATGAGGAGAAGTGGTTGAGTGAGGGGGAACTTGAGCAGTTGCAGCGGTGGAGGGATATGGAAGCTATTTTGTTGGGTGTTGTTTCTCGCTTGGATGATATGGTTGCGGTATTCCGGGACTTTTGAGACAAGCAGGCAAGCAGCAAGCAAGGTTGTGTCCTTGGGGAATCCGTTTCCCTAATTCTTGTGCATATGTAATCGGTTCTTCATGAGCGATGAGATTTATCAAGTGATATCGGCTAATGTGATTATTCCGGCATCTTTGTATGTTTGAGGGTGTTATTCCCTGCCATAGTATTTATTCCTTATCATTGTAGATCTCGACAAGGTATTGCCCTGCTGTCATGAATTCCGTTCTCAATAACTGCCCAACATCTTACAAAGGTAAGGTCTGATATGGATACCCTGCAACTTGTACAGGTTTACGGCACAACATCATAGAAAATCCGGTCACATGTTACATCAAGTAAAACCGAAAACGTAGTTACAACGGTATATATCACAACATGATCGTATGAAAACACGTCTCACACGAACGAGAATCTTTCGATACATATATCATGTATCATGTCTATCTGAATGATGCATTTCGAGACAAGACTCGACAAGATGGCAGAAGAGGAGCCAAAAAAAGATACTTCAAAAAAAAAGTAAACCGACCTCCCAGATAAACCAGGTCGACAACACCGACGCTATCAAACCGCCGAAGCCCCCCAAAAAGAGAAAGATATAGATCATTACACATTTGCGCGATGAAAAAGCAAGCTGCCGTATATAAACTCTTGGTTGATCTGGCCCAGACCCGCTCTTCTTTCCCATGTAGAGAAAAGGAGGTGTTGCAGGCAGAGCAACAAGGACAAAATGAACAAGAAATAAAAAGATGAAGCAAAATCCCCCACTTTCGCCTTAAATCATGGTCTTTTGGTGTACAATTTGGTCATTGTCATGATCATGGTCATGATGAACTCTTGTTCGAGGAGTCTGGACCAGTGCCGTTGGTGGCGATAGTGGTGGTAGTGTTGGTGGTTGGGGTTGGGGTTGTGGGAGACGTCTTCTCGGCCGTAGTCACAGTAGGTGAGGAGCTGGTCGGTGTGTCGTTGAGGTTGACCCCGGCAAGCTTGGCCTCGGCATCGGCCAATTTTGATGCAGTCTCGTCGAGAGTCTTTTTCAAGGCCTTGATGTAATCAATAGCCATCTCCACCGCGCTGGCCTTGCTGATGGCCTGGTTAGCCGGCTTCTCCTTGTCCTTGTCACTTGGCTTGGGACCAGCTGCAGCGGCCTCTTTAGCTTGTCGCATCTGAATGAACTCTGGTGGAATGAGGGACTCGATTTCCTTGAGAGCGTTGTTGATTCGATTCCGGCGGCCTTGCTCTGCAAGCTTGTGGTTGGTACGCTTGGAGCTCAGATTCTCCGCAAGGGTCTCGGGATAGGAAACTCCCGAGGGCAGAGTGCCATCCAGAATGTGTTGATAGTTGGACTTGGAGGCCAGGTAAAGCGCATCTTGAGACAAACCTGCTGGGGCGAATACTGTTAGTATCCAATGGGTTGACAGAATTTATAGGGATATCCCTTGAGATTTAGACAATTAACTGGGAGAGACAATCAACTTACTGTCACTACCTCGCATCAAAGGTTGAATGCTTGGACTAATCTTCGGACGCAACAACGGACTGGCGTGCGTAGAGCTCACACTGGGCCGCTTCCGACTGGATATCGATGATCGAGATGGATCCGACCTCTTGGGTACCGGCCCACTGGGCGAGGGCATAGCAATGGTGCGTGGACTAGGCGCAATCGACATGGGTGTACGGTCGGCCGCCGGAGTCGATCGGGGCTCGATCGACGGGGTCCCATGGGCTGAGATGACAGGACTTGCAGTGTTGCGCACGCTGGTATCGATCCGGCTAATCTTAGGGTGTGGCTGCAGAGTCGGCTGGACTGCCTCTGGGAGAGCAATATCCTCCATGACCTCGTCCGGAATCTCCAGCTGAGCCTGGCCCATTATCTGATCGGAAAGCTCCTGCGCATGTTGAGATCGCTGAATGCGCATGAGCGTGGCCGGGGTAGCTGCCGTGCCTGACAATTGCTGAGAGGACTGGTGGGGAACCATGGCGGGAGACTTGCGAGGTGGAGGAATGGCGGGAGGTGGCATCAAGGAGTCGGGCAAGGGTTCGGGGGAGACGGAGTCCTGACCAGATCCGTCATTGCTGCTTTCCTGCAGGGAGCGCACATCATGGTTTGGCGGTTTGTTGAACTCCTGGGCCATGCGGTTGTAGAGATCCTCCGAGCTGGGTGCATTTGGCTTGCCCCGGTTGCGCTGCGTCTGCGTCGTCTGGGCACGGATATGAGGAGACTGGCGAGATTTAGTCGCGCGCCCGGCGAGTCGAGAAGAAGCAGCGGAAGTTCGCCGGCGGGTCTTGCGGATGATGCTGGGAGAAGGTGGAGCAGATGTTCCGGGAAGTGGGTTGACCTCCGCATTGGTAGGGACGAAGCCCACATCCGAGACCTGACGGGCATGGAATTGGTAACCACTACTGGAGCTGTGAGCATTTTGCGCCTCCAGCGCAGGCGACGTCAAAGGAGTGAAGTATTCGCCGGGGATGGTGTATTCGGGAAGTCGGAATTGAGACTCCAGAGGAGTCATGGCGGGGGACAGCAGGGGCGTATACAAGGCCTGGTCGCGGGAGGATAGGTGTCAGTTCGGGATTTACCTGGTTTAGGCAAGAGTTGATGGCTCGAAGGGACATACCTGTTCCTCATTGATGCGCGAGTAGCGATCGTACATATCAGAGTGGTCATCCACCCGCTGCGGATACCGGGGAGCATTGCCGTGTAACTCCATACTGTTAGGAGTGGGAGGAATCATCTGTTGGCCCTGTTGCATATAATGTTGAGCGGAGTGACCCTGCTGTTGCGACATTGCTTGGTGCTGCTGGTGCGATGTGTCCTGGGCGCAGAAACCAGGAGTCATGCTGGGCGTGGAGTACGGGATCGGACCCGGCTGGGACTGCATGGCGGGCTGCATGGTGCCGTGGCCATTATAGTCCATTGCCAGACCTTCCATTGGGCTTGTGAACTGAGGATGCGACCGGGGATCTGAAGACATAGACTGGTCGGGGGCGGTCGTGGTGGGAGGCACCATGGAATGTTGCTGGTTCTGCATCTGCTGTGCTGGTCCGTGCCCGTCGAGGTCGGTAAATTGCATGTTGAACTCGAGGAAGTTGGAGAATTCATCCTCGCTGGGGGCCGTGATAAGCTGATTCTCATGGATCTGCTCCGGCCAGGTCATGGCCGGTTGGTGCTCCATGGTGGATGGAAAGAGCGACACCTGGTGGTGTATCTGGATCCAATGCCCCGAGAATGGAGGGAATAATCAAGAGAAGGACGAGAGGATTGGGGGGGGGGGAGCCCTTTTTTTCTTGGTCGTTGGCCGGACTTGAGTCGACAAACTGGATTGGCCAGATCGGCTGGGATAATTGCGAGTGGAGCGGGGTTCAAGTTGCAGGAACACTAGGCCCTTATCCGTAGTCTCCGTGATGCTCTCTCCGTCCGGCAACCCCTCAATAGATGATCAGATAGAAAATAACGAAGGACAAGGGTGGTTGGAGGGAAAGGACGAGAAAGTGAGAGAGTGAGAGAGTGAGAGTGAGAGAGAGAGAGAGAGAGGGAGGGAAGGTGGAGGTGGACGTGGAGGAGGAGGGGGGAGGAGGAATAGGAAGGTGAGTGAGTGGGAAGAAGTGGGCAAGAGGGTGGAGTTTACGGAGACGGTACGGTACGTTAATTCGGCCTTCAAACTACGGGAGCCAGGTCTCTCTCTACGGAGTACGGTCCTTTGGAAGACTCGATGGTCCTTCTGTTCTTGACTCTCGTACAAAGTATGGGCTGATTGGGGGGATACTTAAAAGTACCTCGGAAGCACTTCGGAGCATACTCTAGAAGACTAGAAACATCGTTAGGGCCATGTCGGCTTTTTGTAGCGAGCCCTAGTGCAGAGTTAAGTGTCTTTCGTGCCTGAGGAGGCTAGAAGACTAGGAACTAGAGGAACCAGGACGGTGGCTCGAATTCACCCAGTAACATTGCAAGCGAAGAATTGGAGAGACGAAAAAACCGAGAAAAGTCCTTCCCAAGTACCTGGTCCGTACCGCGGGCCATTCTCAGCCGGGGATTCTTTCCAGCTTCCGCCGTTAGCCCGTTGCGCATTTTCTGGCGCTAGAGGCGGTCGATTAGCCGATGCAGGGCTGGTCATCCTTCTGGTGGCGCTCTCCAGAAGAACGCCTCGTTCTATGATCATCCTAGAGCAACTGCCTTCTAGAATTACAGTGTGAACCCCGAAATCAATATTTCGCATTGACGCCATAGGACCTTTTACCGGTGTTTGATTTGCCTCCCCCTAACCCTGGATATCCCCCCCAAGAAAGGAATAAGATTAACGTGACAAGATTCATCCACAGTGGAGCCCCGTCCAAAGACTCGCAGACTCGCAGGGACCAACTCGAGAATGAATAATCCCGAGATCGGCTTGGCACATTACTTCATCGGTTCTGTCCCGGCTAGTTGAGCTAACTTAACTTATACTAATGGCTTATTTAATCATCTACGCCTGCCTCTCTAAAACGCACCCTAGCCCATTGACGCTTCGTGCCTCAGGCCCCAATCAGCTGACCGACAGCTCTCTTCTCCATAATTACCAAACTAGACTACGAGGCCTCAAAGATACAACCACTAAACCCTTCACTTCGAGCTCATTCTCCCACGGGCACAATCCCAATCGGCAACCACAATGTCCTTCCTCCTAGCCGTTCTCTGGCTCTGCCAACTAGCCGCGGCCTCCCTAACGATTTCCATCCCCCCCTCCACCCACCTACCAAACCCCCATGTCCTCCCCGCAACCACCCGTGCAACTCTCACCACCCTCCCCGCCGCCGGAGCCGGCGACCGCGATCCCAACCACATCCTGACCACCTCGCTCACTCGTGGCTCCACGCTGGTCTTCCGTGACATCCCTGCCGGCCACCCCGAATCGTACCTGCTCGACATTCGCGCCGGCGAGTACGTGTTCGCCCCGTACCGCGTGGATATCGCGGCCGATGGCTCGGTCCTCGGTGTCTGGGAGACGTTCCGTGGTAATCCCTGGGATAATCGCGGTGCGGAGAAATACGTCGTTGACGTTGCTGGTAAAAAGTCCGCGGACGTCGTGGTTGAAGCGAAGGTTCTTGGCCGGAAGGGTTTCTATGAGGAGCGGGCTACGTGTGAGTTGATATCCGTGCTTTTTGATCCCTTTGACATAGCCCCAATTGGAGGCTAGAGTTGATTCCTGGAGCGTATTCCTGGAGCCCAATTGGCTAATATCCTGGTTTTGGTTGGAATTTAGTCTCGCCGTTGAGCCTGGTTAAGAACCCCATGATTCTGATGGCTATCGTGGCACTCGTCCTCACCCTGGGCATGCCCAAGCTTATGGAGAACAGTATGTGCATCGGTCCCTTAATTCTCGACCGGGTTTCTACCAATAGGGTAGATGCTAGGGCCAGAATGTCTTTTTTTTATCTTACAACTGACCAAACACCCCCTTCCTTTCACAGTGGACCCGGAGACGCGCGCCGAATTCGAACAGCAATCTCGTGCCTCTCCCCTGACCGGTGCTACTACCAATGCCATGACTGGTGGTGGCTTTGATCTTGCCGGATGGATGGCCGGCACCGCGCCCAGTCCCATGGCCAGTGCCGAAGGGGCTCGCGAGGGTGCGACGGGTCGAGAGGCCGCTGCTGGCTCTGCGAGGAAGCGTGGCTAGTCTTGTGTCGGTGATGAATGTGTCGAGTGTCTTGTATTAGAATCAGCATCAGATCTGGGAATTTGAATCATAGACGACCGAGCATATCTGATGATAAAGCACGCCCGTAGCCCGTAGACTATTCCATAAAAAAAACAATTGATTCATTATGTACTGCGTCACAGACCCACACCAGAGCCAAAAAGCCAAAAAGGCAAACAAAAGAAAAAGAAAACATTCCTCCTCGGGCGTTCAAAGTCAAAATCCATGTACATCATAACCACGTAAGATAGGGGGATAAGGAGAGCAACAGAACATCAAGAAAGAATGGGGAAAATCCCATCAGACAACGCCCAGGTGGATCACGACTAAAAATCACCTCCACCAAAATCATCACCACCACCACCACCCCAATCTCCACCTCCATTATCATAGTTGTCATGATCCCCCATATCCTCCACCGCATCAGCAATCAACAAGCCACCTAGCAATCCACCACCGACACCCAAGGCGGCCGCCCCCGCAGTTCCCATTCCCCCAGACTTTCGCGGCGGCTGTTGCGCATAATACCCACCCTGCTGCTGGTGATAGCCCCCTCCATAGCCACCGCCATATCCGGCCTGTGGATACCCATACCCCTGCTGGGGCGGGTAACCACCACCGCCGTAGTAACCCCCGGGAGGAGGACCCTGTTGTTGCGGGTACGAGGCGTACTGCTGCTGGGGTGGGGGATGCGGCCGTGAGGAGCTCGAGCTTTTGCCCATGAGTTTGCTCAGGAAGCCACCCTTGCTGCGCTTCTGTTCTGGCATGGGACTTTGTGACTGCGGGAGGGGACTTTGAGATGGACCAGCGTAGTTGGGTGGTCCTTGGCCGGAGGATGGGTCGCTGTAGTAGTCCGTTGCTGCGCCGCGATCGCCACCTTGGGCGCGGGCTCGGGAGTCCTCCTCGGCTTGGAGTTTGGCGGCTAGTCGGGCGTCCTCGTCAAGGGTGGTGGAGGGGGTGCCGTCCTTGGCGTTGTTTGCGACATTGTAGGGGTTGTTCGAGGCCATCGGTTGCTTTTTGTCGCTTGGGACGGCCTCGGAGGGCAGTTCACTGGGTGGGGGGCCCGCGGGAGGGCCAGAAAGTGGTGGTGCTTCGGGGCGCTCCCATTGTGATTTACCCGTGGCGATGTTGATGTAGAACCTGGACAGGAGAGAATGGATTAGAGTTCTGTAGGCGTTGTAACCAGTTGGAAAGTGCCTTGTTACTCACCATGTCTGATAGCGATCGTCGTACTGGGCTTTCCAACCCTCCGGTACTGTCGGCGGGGGTGGGCCGGGAGGCGGGGCGAATGAGGACATGAGTCGAGTATGAGTGTGAAGATGAGGGATGAGTCTTGAGTTTGCAAAGGGAATTGAGAGAGTAATGAGCAAAGCTGACAAGATAGTCAGACGGGATTAAAAGGGGGAGGGGGGTTCGGTTAGATGAGAGAAAGCCAAGAGGCCAGCTTCCAAAGCAGGTGTTATATACGGAGACTCCTGCCGGGCCTGGGCGGGGCTCGGAACCAATGCGCCGCGGAAGGCACTGACTACGCAATAGAGGGGCTGCGCCACCGTGGCAGTGCCATCATCATCGTCATTGGCAGGCACCACCATATTTACTGTTCAAACACATTCCCAAGTTGGATTTGAAATTGTTTTGGGGGTCTGCATCAATACCTATTGTAATGTACCAATGCTGATATATCATTCTAGAATCTACTTATTCTAGAATCCTTCCTAATCTGCAAGTCTCGTGGCCCAGTCTCCACTAGGCTTATTCTAAAGAACCGTGCATATCTAAAGTACCCTGACCCCACTTCAGGAGGACCCTATCTATGGTCCATTGGATGGCTAATGTGAATGAAAGGTCCGACCAGTCTAGACTTTCTCTGATCTGCCTTCGATAAGAAATCCACTCCAAATGCACCAAGATCAGATATCAGCCTATAGGTGCCATCCCTAATCTCAAGTATAAATAGGTTGTACTCCGTAACCACACCCACTCAAGTGAGCAGTTGATAAAGAGATCAAGTCTCATAAAAGTGAAAATATTCTAATGAACAGGTGGTATTACATAACATGGAACCAGTCCATCCGCTACAACGAGTCAAAAATAACCATAGAACAGTAGAAAAAGATAAACATCACTCCAAAATTCCTCAGAGGCCATCGGCTTTCAGGTTCGCATCGACATGACCGCTATCGGGCCACCAATAATCCTCATCCGATTCTTCGTCCAAGACCTTTGGAATGGGAGAATGCGAAAGAGACAGCCGACGAAACATTGGCGGCCCTAGTATCTCACAGTCGGTGTCCATCGTCGAGTCACCAGTAGCCGCGGCCACGGACATGGTCGCAGGAGTAGCCACAGAACTCGTAGAAACCTGCTCGGTATCAGAATCCATCGTCAGATCGATGATCGTTTCCTCGATCCTCGTGATAACGTGAGAATTCTTCCTAAGCTTTTTCAGCTTGTCCTTTTTCTTCTTCTTTTTCCGAGCCGGACTAGAAGCGTGGCCACCCTTGTCAATGCCGCCAAAGTCGATCCGGCTATCCCATTTTCTTTTCCGCGAGTCATCCCCTCCATTTGATTGACTGATAGCCCCGGATCTCCAACGGCGCATATTACAGGCACGGGCAAGGTTGAATTGACATTGGAGTTCTCGGCGTAACCCCAGATCTAATCCAAGCCGGTCATTGACGGGTGGTCCAGCAAACTGCCGCAGTTGGTACTCGCTTAACAACGGGGTCCGCTTGAGCTTATCCAGAGCTACCGTCTTAGGAAGACCTCGAGCCCAAGCCGCATAGGGACCATCATACTTAGGTCCCTGAACTGGGCCAAAGATCGGATCCAAACTTAACTTGCCCGAGGCAACAAGCTCTTCAGCGATAGGTACCCCGAGTACTTCGATAGCTGAGGGTTCCGGAGCATACTTGAAGTCGAAGTTAACGACTTCGTCTTCCGTGTGCTCACAAGATAAAACATGCACACCACCGCTATAGTCTCCAAGAAGGAGCTGTGACTTATCTGCAGAGAACGCCCCACTTGTGATGCCGTCATTGAGGCGCACAGTGTTCGCGACTAGTGCATCTTGCGTTGATCGACGTATATCCCATTGTTTAAGATACCCATCGGAGCCACCCGTGTAGAACTGATCGATCGTTGTGCCCCATAGCGCCACCCGCACACCGAAATCAGTGTATTCTCGAGAATATTGCGGATTGAGAGAGTTGAGCGATTTGCCATGCAAAAGCTTATGAACAGGTCTCGAATCTTTACGAGAGTCCCAGACATAGGTGCTTCCGTCCGTGCAGCTTGCAGTGATGTAGGTGGAGCCCATTGGACAGAAAGTCACTTCGTTCATGTCCACCGCCGAGCAAGCGCACTTGCCAGTGACGACAACCTTACCGCCAGACTCAATGTCATAGAGTTGAACCACCGATTTGGATCGCAGGGGAAGGTTCATCGACTGGCTGTAGGTACTTCCTATCGCGAACCTCCGCATGGAGGGATGCCATTTGACATCGAAGATGTTTTGTGAATCTGGACTGAGCTTGCGTCGCTCAATGGACGATTCGGTCACTCTCCACATGCCGAGATGGCCACAGAGTGGGACCCTGTATTGATCTTTGATATATTCACCCATCCCCCCGACGAGGTAGTTTTTCGTCGCCTCATTCTGTCCCCAAGCCAAGGTCGTCGGCTCAAGGACAATGTTTGCTTTCTGACGAGGATCACGTTGAATTTCCAGAGGCTTGGCAGTCGGAGTTTTGTCGAGGAGATTCCACAGGCTGAACGAACGCGTCGTTCCAGTGGCCACGAGATGAGGCATCAATGGCGATACGGACATGACTTGTACGTTGGAATCATGCCGTAGTGTTCTGACGCAAGTAGGGGTATCGGGGAAAAGGAGTGTATCAGTGTTCCATATCTTCACTGTATGGTCAAAGCTTGCGGTATAGAGCTGCCGATTGACCCATTCGATTGCAGAGACGGTTGGGAAAAGACGCTCGTCTGCCGTGGCTGTATTTGATTCCCGGCGGATATGGTGATCAGGTAGCTCATACAAGTAATTCCGTGCGAGATCACCAAACAGCAAGTTATTGCTACGGTTATACTCATCAGACTGCGCAGTAGCCCCAGTAGCAAATTTCGTCCCGTCCGGTGACCACGCTAGGGTGCTCACATCATTTGAAGCGCCCTTCCACGTCTTCCAGAGCTTCAGGTTTGAGCTCACTGTCGCACGCAGAAGGTCATGACTGGGTCTAGCGCCTCGTAATTCTCGAGTCCACAAAAGTTTCGAGATATTGGCTTTTCGCCGCGGTTCATCCTCGATCTGGATCTCAACAGGAAAGTCCTGTAATGATGAACGTCCTGGCGAGAGCTGACGTTGCTGCGTGGACGAACGTGGAGATGCTGGTGGTGGTGGAGACTCAGACACGGCAGGGGTATCCTCTCTCTCAGACTGATGTGGAGAATCATGTGAGCCCGCTTGGCGTCTAGAGAGCGTCTTGAGATTATAGGTCACAGGTTCTACGCGAGACCGAGTGGATCGCCGTCTAGATGGGGATAGGGGCTGAGTAGGAGGCCTTGGAGTCGGCGACCTCGAAGATTGAGAGGACGGGGAAGAAGGTCTGTACTCAGATGAGGACATGGATGGTTGGGAGTCTGGAAGCTGTAGCAGGGTCGGTTCAGTGGCTTTATTTGACGCTTGTTTAGTGACTTGAGTCACTAGCCCTGTCTTTTGAGTTTGACTTCTATTTGCGTTCAATAGTGCAACACTCCTTCGCAGGTCCCCTTGTCGAGTAGAGGTCGAAGCTGAAGTCTTGGAAGATTTTTCACGAGAGATAGGAGGGGCGATTTGAGGTGCGACTCGGGTGGGTACTGGAGCAGGAGTCTTTTTAGGAGGTCCGATGGTATCCCCTAGAGTTAGGGTTTCCCGAGCTGGGACGGTGCCATTCACAGGAGTAGGGGATTCCTGAGTAGAAGCAGGAGGGGTAGGAGGAGGACGAGGAGCGAGACGAGCAGGAGGAGCAGGAGGAACAGGAGGAGCAGACGGAGAAGTGAGGCCATTTGCCAAGGCAATGTTAGTTGGTTTGGGTTTCGTAAAAGTCGGCGTTATAAGAGAGTGCTCTTCCGCCACCTCACTTTGAGGAACCCATCCCAAGCCGGTCTGCTCAAATGTGGTATGGCCATGCGTCACGAAGCTAACCGCATGGTCTGACTGCAGCCCATTAGATGATTCCGCATGAGCATAGGTATATTGTCTGTAAAGTCGCTCCGCCAGAGACTCAAGGTAGGGCTCTTTCGAAAAGTCCAAGGTGAAGGATGGAGTTGTACTCCGAGGCGTGCCTCGCGTGAAATAGAGTGAGAGATGCGACATTGCAGCTATTGTTTGTCCGTCGAGCTAACAAGACTGCTAGGCCTGAATGGGGTCGTTGTTTCTAGAAAGAAAACATGCTTGCTGACATATAACGGGACGAGATGAGAAGAAATTGCGCGCTTAAACCGGGGAGAGAGAGTAGTCCGAAATAGACATGCCGTCCACAATGTCGTTTGAATAGTGTTTCGATATTGGGTCTGACTGTTTGACGTGGTGGCGCTAATGCCAGCGCCGGGCAGATCTCACGATCCACACGCCGAAGAGGTCGCAATAAGATTTTGATCCGATCCCCAGAGGGCTAGGAGGAGACTGGGAGACCCTCTGGGTTGACGGGTGGTGTATTCGGTAATGAGGCGACTTCGACTTGGTGTGGGACGAGGAAAGCGGGAAAAAAGCGAATGAGACCGATGTGAGGCGAAGCAAGGCTGTATTGGCGACAGTTAGCAGAGAACACCGAATACTGTGACGTAAATACTTCAGCACAAACATTGAATTATTATGCCAGACAACACCTCCGTAGTACGGACAGGCCCCCGACAGATAACACTTGAGAACAAAGGACGAGTCGATCGCGAAAACGCGCGACGCGGAGACGCCAACCGCGGGCGGTGAGGGCCTTATGTACGGGAGGGTGGAGCCATCCCCGCTCTGGTGACCCAGTGGAGTCCTTCTATAAACGAATACATACTGATTGTTCAGGCAAAATAAGTTCAGAGTGAGTATAAGCAACAACAAATACATGGGTAATGAGTTAAAAACTATCTAAATATCACTCCGCAATCTCATTGTTGTTCTTTGCAGACGAAAAAGAAAGGCATTGTATATATACAGAACCGTTGGGAGAACCCGACGGCTGATCTTGGTCGAGTAGAGGGATATAGAGAGGGACACCTATCTTTCACCGAGGCGCGAATACTGTAAGAAGGGAGATTTCCATCCAATGAACAGCTCCTTTCTTACCGTGCAAGGTCCATCCGAGGAAAGACCTACCTTGAACGAAGACCGAGACAAGCATCGCATTGGAATAGCCATTTACTTGCGAATGGAACGACCCTTGCGCACCGACACCATCGCATCGTAGAGCACATCCTTAAAGGCAAAGAGGAAGGCGGCGGTGATGGCACTCTGAGTCACCTTGGGACCAATACCTAGAGATTATAATATTAGCGTCTCCTTGATCGGTTCATCAGACTGCAATGAAAACTCACCCTTGTAAAGACCGCTGTATCCCTCCTCCCGGATAATATTCTTAAGGGTGCCATTCAGGCTCTCCTTAGGACCATCCTTGCTGGCCACGTGCATGCGGCTCTTGACGGTGATATAGGGGTATGTGATGCTGGTGGCCAGAATCTTGCCCAGCGCACCCAGATAGAAAGCATCCTTAGGAGTCATGCGCCGACGGCGCTCGACAATATTCTTCAGTTGCTCGAAAATCGTGTACTGAAGGATGGGGTTGATCACCAGGATCAAGGCCGGCAGGACACCGGCGAACAGAGCCTTAGGGCCCTCCTCCTTCAGAAGAGTCATCAATGTGCTGAAGGTCGAGGCCTTGGCCTTCTTGGGTGTGCCAGGCAGGCTCTCATCAGCCTCAGACTTGCGAGCCGTCATGCGGGTGTTGATAACCCAGATTGGGTTCGTCAACATGACGGTGGCACTGCCCGCGATAGCACCGGCAATCATGGACTCCACGGTCGTGAGCTTCTTCGAGGCACGACCACTTTTGATTGCGCCCTTCTCGAAGGCGGAACGAGTCCACTCATACCAGTAATAGTATACAAAGTTGGTGACGCTGATTCCGAACAGGGCAGACTCCAGGCCGGAGTAAAGACCGGAGATACCCTCGCGTTGAACGATGCGACGCACCGCGTCAAGGGTTGTGGAGTGCGCGCGCTTGGACTCGACCTGGGCTCTTGTGGATAGCGTGATCAGAGGGTATCTGCCGAGGGTGGATCTTAGCAAAACAGGAATGACCCATGGGGTAGAAATCGCGGGGTATATCAATCGTACGTCAGGACCATCGACAGGATACCACCTCCTGAACCTGCCAGGGCGTGAGCAATATTATCGCTCTGCTGTACGGCCGCAGAAGGCGCGGGCTTGGGCTGTTGCTGGGGTTGAGACATGGCGAATCCTGGAGGTCGGTTTGCGAAAGGGCGGGGTGGTTGAATCGTAGAGTCAAGACCCGAAGGTGAGGCGAGAGAGACGGACGGGTAGGGAAAGAAAAAGGTAAATTGTCACGACTAGGAAAAGGAGCGGATCTGTTTGGAGAAAAAGGGTTTCCAGGAGAAGAGCGCGATAATGATTCGGCTTGGGCGAGGGTGAGAGAGTTCATGACGTTTTGCCGAGTGCTGTGCCTCGGCTCCTGCACAGCTCCACCAAGGGTCCCTGTTATTCCGAGCCGCCTGTGTAGTCGCCGGGGTAGTGGAAATGATGGGGACTCGGATGTTCGACGCGACTCCTTTCCACATGGAGCATAGCGAATTCGGTTGGTCCACCGAGAGACTCGGGGTGTGTATGGCACGCTAGGAGGGCCGTTGGACATTAAAATCTTCCTGATAGTCCGGGGGGAGGGGCTTTTTTGGCAGGTGCTTTGACATGTGATTGATCCCCTGCTCCCTTTCCTGGCTTCCTGGATATACCAAGGATGAAGATCAAATAGCCAAACTGTTTACATACACTTACACAGTATTAAAGTAGGATTAACTAGCCACTTCTGCAGTAAGACAAGGAGCTACGAGGACTTGCCAAGGTATGTTCTTTTTCGTCCTATATAGGGATCATCAGTCCATAGACCGTGTCAACCAAAATTACCAAGTACAACTACGGAGATCAATAGACCAAGTCAAAAGGGGCAACAAGACATTCTCAAGGGACGCAGTCATACAAGGAGGCTTTAAACATGAGAAACAGAAAGATTAAAAAACCCATAAGGTTTTCGCCATTAATCCATTCTGAAGAGATGAATCCAACCTACAAGAAAGAACAAAAGAGACTGAAGGGCCAAGAAGAAAATAGATGCGGCCAGGAATAAGGAGAAAAAATAGGAGAAAAGAAAAAGAAACACCAGCGGTAATCACAAAGCAAACGAAGAATGACAGAACGCAGAGCCATCTAAAGCACGGGTAAGAAAAGGGAGGGAAGAATCAAGGGCAGACCCAGATTGGCTCTCGCCAAAGACGAATGAGACCAGCTTCCCCCTTCCCAAATTTCTCGGGGCTGTCTGGACTCGATGGCTAGCTTGCAATCAACGGTCGAGCGGGTGGGTAAAAAGACAAGCCTGGCTGCCGATGAAATTATCATCCCGCTTGGAAACCCTCATCCATGAATGTAACATTGCGCCAAATGGAAGTACCGCCTTGCACACTGGGTTCCATGGTCGTCTAGCAGCAGCCGCCTGCGGATCCAGACTGGACGCCCTGGCCCTGACCAACCTGCACGGTGGGCTTGTTGTTGACAGTGGCCGTTCCCATGCGCTCCTTAATCTGTCGGGCCATCGTCAAGAATGCCTGCTCGACGTTGGATGCGTTCTTGGCAGAGGTCTCAAGGAAAGGAATTCCAAGGCTGTCGGCAAACTCCTGTGGGAGAAGAAAAGGAAAAAAGAAATCGTCAGTCGTGAACGAAACAACAGAACCAATCACCAGTCATCTCCAGAGTCCTCCGCTCAAAAACGAAATAGCAACCCAAGGCTATCGGTGTCCATGGAGAAAAGCTTACCTTCGCCACGGTGTACTCCACGACCTTCTTGTCCTCCATATCGCTCTTGTTGCCGACGAGCAGCTTGTTGACACCCTCGGTGGCATATCGGTCAATCTCCTGAAGCCACTGCTTGACGTTGTTGAAGGAGTCCATGTCGGTCACATCATAAACGACGCAAATACCGTGGGCACCACGGTAGTAAGAAGAGGTGATGGTACGGAAGCGTTCCTGGCCAGCAGTGTCCCACTGGAGAAAGGTGAAAGGTCGGGTTAGCTTGCGTGCATCCGGGCGCCGCCGGCGCTCAAGAGTTTAGAAGAGGAGTCCGTACAATCTGAAGTTTCACGGTCTTGCCATCGAGCTCAATAGTCCGGATTTTCTGTCCTCCCGTCAGCATCAACAGTCCCCCGGTGACCAAAACACAGCCCCGCAAAAAGCAATAGATCCACCTACGAAGTCGACACCAATAGTTGAGATGTAGCTTTCGGTGTAGGTGTCATCGGCGAAACGGAGTAGCAAGCAAGACTTTCCAACACCGGAGTCTCCGATGAGGAGGAGCTTGAAGAGATAATCGTATCTATTTTGGTTAGGTCATGCAGATCGGCGAGATGGGGATCGTTGGGTGCGACGAAGCGGCCAACGCTGCGGAAAAGACTCTGGATAGCAAGGCAGCGTCAGCAGAATTTCCCAGCCAGCTAGTACTCGAGGATGACCAGAGACGAGTCTGCGACCATCGGAGATGGAGACAGAGCAGGAGGTTTCCCCAAAGTAGACAAACGAATGGGGGCGGAGACTCACCACTCGGGGTTCATGATGGGCTAGCAGTGAACGGGCAAGGGAAGGTAGTCAAGAGAAGCAGAGGCGAACACGGACGAGAGTCGAGCAAGAGATGGAATCGAAGGGTGTTTGGGGTCGGTGTTGGGGGGGTCTTGGAGGGGACTGAATGATGAACGCCTGAAATGATAGGAGGTGCAGGAGGCCAGATGCACCTGATGCGCAGCTTCGTTTCAGCGGTCACCGCCACCACCGCCCAGTCTAGTCAGCTACAAGAATAATGTAAGTAGCGTGTAGTACATCTAGTATGAGTTGATCAAATCTACAATTAGATGTTCCTGCAATATTTGATTTTAGAACGTCATTTAAACTCGAGACTTTCTTAATTTTAAAAACTATACTTTCTCTTCCTTGCTTGTATATCTACTACTACTCAACTTTGGTCGCCAAGTAATACTACATACTATGACGAAGTGCGTCATTCACCAGTCTGGCTGTGGCTGATCCCGTGCTCCTCCTGCAGCCTCGTGGGAGTTACTCCTGGCAGGTGACCGCCGCTCGTTATGGGAAGAGATCGTGAAGATGATTGTCACATTGGGGTCGCTTATCTCTCACATTCATATCTTTTTGTTCCTACCACACGATTCCACAAGTAACACCAGCCCTCAATTATTGGGCTTATGAAGCAGGCCAGCGAACCATTCTTCAGTTTCTATTCAGACCTCTCTTTACGCGTATCCATGGGCCTTCAGCCACTCCAGAACCAGAGCCTCGTCTCGCTCCTTGTAGGATGCGTTCGTCCGGATGTTGTCCTGGACAATGACGAGGGCACGGTCATACGCAGCCGTGTCCTTACCCTTGAAGAACTCGGAAATATCATCGCCGATCGTGTGGTCAGCGAACTTGGACAGACCCATACGGATGAATCGCTCAAAGACAACGTTGTTCGAGGAAAGGCGAGCAGAGACCGAATCCCAGTTCGTTTTGAGGTACTCCCACAGCAGGTGGCGCACCTTGGAGTTAGCGGCCAGAGCCACCGCACCGCTGTGGATGTCCTGAATGGCTACCTTGTCCGAGAAGACAAAGTCCAAGTAATCGGTGACTAGAGCCGCGTCCTTGGTGCGTCCCATGGAGGCCAGGCAGATCTCCTTGCCGTCCACGGAGTCCGTCCGCAGGTACTCCTCCTTGACGGCATCGTACTCCTTGCGACTGCCCTCAGACACGTTGAGGCTGAAGATCGCGGCGCGCAGGTTGGTGTGGATGGCGGTCTGATCTTGACCGGTCGCCCAGAGATCGAATCGGCGCTTGGCCTCGGCGACGATGCTAAAAGGATATTTGTAAGCAAGCAGGAACGGAAGGGTCAGGTTTTCTTCCAAGCGGAATAATAGAGAGACGGCTTACTTTTCATGACCAGCGTTACCCGCCATGGAGATTAAAAGCTTACGAAGCTGGATGATAAGATAATCCTCGTTGGCCTGGAACTCCCAGCCAATGCGCTCAGCTGCTGGGGCAGCCAGGCTCCGAGTGAACTTCTTGAGGCCGTCGGCAACCTGCTCATTCTGCGAGAAGACAGAGCGGAGGTTAGAGAGCGACGAAGACACTTGGGACCAAACACTGTGAAATCAACAGTCAGCAAATGCGGTGGCAAGGGGCAAAGAAGCCGGAGATGGTGATTATCATTAGGCTTCCTTACAGATAGTTTTTCTCCTCCTTGAAGCCCTCAAGGAGAGCCAGTAGGGCGGGAGTGTTGCCGTCGCCAGAGACAGCAAGGGCAGTCGCATCGCCAAGCAGACCAATCTTGTCTTCGGTGCTCAGGAGATCAAGAGACTGGCCTAGCTTTTCCAAACGCGCAGGGGGGTAGTTGGTCCGGTAGAATCCAGCCAGATCCTTGTTGATCTTGTAGAAGCCGTCGGCGCCAATATCTCCCACAGTGTCAGACCTCTGGGTGAGAGCCCGGGTGTCCACGGTAGCTAGGTTCTCGCCGGACTTGATACCGAGAGGAATCCACCAAGTGGTTTCATCCTCCTCGGGCTTGGCATCACCAGTGGAAAGGAATCGGCTCTGACGGACGCTGACCTGACCAGGCTCCTCAGCAACGGTAACAACGGGGAAGCCGATCTTGCGAATCCAGGGGTCCTTTGGTACTAGTTAGGTATACTCGCATAGAAGAGAAATGTTGGTTCGGATCATTCGTTTGACTTACCATGAACTTGTGCACGTCCTGACCGGAAGCCTTGCTCAAAGCAGACCACAGATCGTTAGTAGTGGCGTTGCCTGGAAGAAAAAGTCAGTTAAAAGTCCCCTAGGCGAACAGGAGCTAAACTTCTTACCATATGCGTGAGACTTGAGGTAATCAGCCACACCGCGAAGGAAGGTCTCTCGGCCAAGGTGGACACTGAGCATGCGGATGACAGAGCTGCCCTTCAGATAACTGATGTGATCAAAGATCTGGTCCACCTCGAGAGCATTTCGGACGGGCACCTCAATAGGGTGAGAAGCTCGGAGCGAGTCGAGGTGGAAAGCTTGTTGGACACCCTCAGCCTGTGACAATGTCAATCGTGGGTCTAGGGAGAAAAGAAGGGTTTACCTCGATTGCTACGTACAACGAACTGAGACCAGATGTTCCAGTCTGCAACATTGGGTTAGAAGCTGCCTGACATAATTGATGGTGTAGTTATGCACTTGGACTCACCGGGATAGAAGTGGTCGACGGCCAGCCATCCAACCCAGGTGGCAAAGCCCTCATTAAGCCAAAGCTCATTCCACCAATCCATGGTGACGAGGTTGCCGAACCACTGATGGGCCAACTCTGTAATATTAATCCATGTCAGATACATGACTTTGATTGTATTAACGAGACACAAGCACCGAAGACTCACCGTGCGCAACGACATAGGCAATACGGTTCTTATACCGGTTGTCCGATTTGCCTTCATCGAAAAGAACGGCAGTTGTCCGGTAGGTCACCAAGCCCCAGTTCTCCATGGCTCCCATGGCCTAGAATCCACCCTAGTCAGCCGGCTACTGTTCTAATTGGAGAAGTGTATCGCGACTTACAAACTCGTGCACTGCCAACAAATCAGCCTTGGGCAGAGGGTACTCAATCTCGAAGATCTCCGAGAAATAGTCAACGGTCCGGTGGGCACATTCAAGTGCAAAGCGGGCCTGGTCCTTGAGACCACGAGTAGTGTAGACACGCACGGGAATGCTCTTTCCCTGGTACTTGCGCTCAGTCAGAGCCTCGACATATTCGAAGTCACCAATGGCCCACGCCAGGAGCTGTGAGATAAATTAGTAACTTAGCAAACGGCACCACACCTTCAAGGCCTGGTAGGGCTGGAGATGTTACTCACGTAAGTGCTCATGACGGGGGTCTTCTCAAAGGTGACGAATTTGAGGCCGGAGTTGCTACCGTCCCGCTCGGACTTAATAGGCATGTTGCTAAGCGCCGTCTGGCCCTTGGGGATTTCAATCTCAAAGTCGAAGGTGGCCTTCAAGTTCGGCTCGTCGAAACAAGGGAAGGCCCGGCGAGCATCGCAGGACTCGAACTGAGTGCTAAGCATGTAGTAGAAGTCCCCTTCCTTGGGGGTATCGGCAGCGGGCTCGCCGACGGGCTTGTACTTGGAGCGATAGAAACCGGCCATGGCGTTGTTCATGGTTCCGGTAAAGTTGATAGACAGCACAATATCCGAAGGAGCAAGCTCCTCGGCGAACTTCAGAGTCACACGCTCTGACTTCTTATCGTAGGTGATGTCGGTGGTCTTGGCCACTGAAGCCCCTAAGAGAAAGGAAGAAACATATGTCGTCAGCCCAGTTCCATCCGAGTTGTTCGCCAACTGCCGTATAGTGGATAGAAGAAGCCTCACCATCCTTGCCTAGCACCTCAGCGCTCTGCACATCGATCTCCTTCGAATTCAGGACGACCTCCTTTGTAGCACGAGTGATTTTGGCGTCAACCTTTACCACACCCTTGTAGCCCCACGAGCCACTGAACTGCAAATCGAAGAGGGAGACATGATAGTTAATAGGCTTGGCACTATAGCTTCGGGTTAGTACATTTCAATTCATTTTGATCCACGGTAAACCCTAGGATGCTTGGGTGAGGTTATAGTGAGGTTATAGTGGACTGCTTGCGCTTCTTCCGCTCAGTCGGCATCACTCACACGTCAGGAAGAGTCTCTCTGTCGGTGGACGCCATCATGCGAGCTTCAGCAGAACAGTGTCTAATGGGCGACAAACCGAAAGATACTCGGGGAGCAGGTATCGGAAGCCGAGAGCGTAAACGAGGAGTTTGACGAGGGGGTGATCTTGAAGAGAAGACCGAGGCGGATGTGGAAGCAGAAGAGGAAGAAGCAGAAGCGAAAGAGAAAGCGGAGGGGGAGGGGCGGAGAGTGATTTGACGGCCGTGGATTGCAACGCCTGCGCGTCTTGACGCCGCAATGGATCTTCTCCCCCACATCGGCGTCTTTAACGACGGCTAGTGTCGGGATTGGGTTGACTTGGGGTTGCGCGAAGCGAATGGTCTTTCGGTTCCTCACCATCCCTTGGTTGAGCCGAACTGAAGAGATCTCGACAGACGGAGCTCCGGCGGAGCTTGGACCCTCTTTCGCGGCTAATCCATGCCGCGCCATTTGACACTATCTTCCTCTTCTCTCCACCCATTTTAGCACCATCCTTTGGACCTCCGCGAATCGCCGCCATGGCCGACTCGGATGAGGAATATGTGGGAAGCGTCACCGACGATGAAGATGATTTCCAGGTGACTCGGACGGATCAGACTCAGCCGCGAAAGAGAAAGCAGCGTGGAGGTGCGGAATGGGAGCTGTCTCGTACTTGGGAGTCCTTGGTCGAAGGCGCCGATGGAACCATCAGCTCGACGGTCGAGGGGCTTCTCGAGGCGAGCAAGCGCAAGAGGTCAGATTCGTTCAGCAAGAGCTCCGGTGTCACTTCGTCTCTTAATACTGACATTCTTTTGGGGCGGGCAGGCTCCTCAAAGATACTACGCCTCTACAACGAGGTATCATACGACATCTCATTCTTATCCTCGACCTCTCACAATCCATGTCCGAAAAAGACCTCCGACCAACACGATACCTCCTGACGCTGCGATATGCTCAAGAATTTGTGCGGGAATTCTTTGAGCAAAACCCCATCTCGCAACTTGGTGTGCTGGGGCTTCGAGACGGACTTGCAGTTCGAGTGAGCGATATCAGTGGCAATCCAACCGAACACTTGACCGCGATTCAAGAGCTCAAGACTCAGGATCCAAAGGGCCTACCTAGTCTACAGAATGGCTTGGAAATGGCCCGCGGTGCTCTCTTGTACGTTTCACCTTGCTCACACCCTCAGCTCTCTTGAAGATTACCATGCAGGCTGACCACGAATTTAATATAGCCATACACCTAGCCATGGCACGAGAGAAGTCCTCGTGATCTTCGGCTCCCTTCTCTCCTCCGACCCGGGTGATATCCACCAAACCATCAACACCCTGGTCACGGACAAAGTGCGTGTTCGGATTGTCGGTCTTGCCGCTAAAGTCGCCATCTGTCAAGAGCTATGTAGCCGGACCAATCGAGGCGACGAGATGGCATATGGAGTGGCGCTCCACGAGCAACATTTGCGGGAGCTTCTGATGGACGTGACGACGCCACTAGCGACCCAGAAGCAATCGGCGAACTCGCTGCTAATGATGGGCTTTCCCTCCCGTACCGTGGAGCCTACCCCTTCCCTATGTGCATGCCACTCGAAGCCCTCTCGAGGTGGATATCTGTGTTCGCGTTGCGGGAGCAAAGTGTGTAGTCTGCCCGCCGAGTGTCCGTCCTGCGGCCTCACGCTGATCCTTTCGACTCACCTTGCGCGCTCCTACCACCATCTGTTCCCCTTGATGAACTGGGTGGAGGTTCCCTGGCGACGTGCCTCGAGCACCGCCTGCTTTGCTTGTGGACTGCCCTTCCCAGCGGTGCCACCAGAGGATCAGTGGTCGGCAACGGAGACTCACGCTAAAGGCATGAGTGTCAGCAGTCGCTACCAGTGCACAGCATGCCAGAACCACTTCTGTATTGACTGCGATCTTTTTGCGCATGAGGTTGTTCACAATTGCCCGGGATGCCAAAGCAACAGCGTTCAAGTGGTCTCCGAGGGGATGGACACTACGAGTTGAGTATATTTTCTAACGTTTGCATCACATGGATCGGGCGTCGAGGGTTTTTTTATCAAGGCATGGAAGGGGAGTTTTTGTGTACCATACAATTCAGCAACTTGACCATCAATAAATTTTTACCGAAGTACCTAATTTTCTCCTTCAAGCTGTAGCAAATTGTGGAAATGCATCAGTGTCCTTCTTGAGCCTCGGCTAAACTGTGAATAGAGAAGCTCTGCCACTTTGGCCCCACATCTTCGCCGCCTCCGCATCGGCGTTTATCTGTCGCATCCCCCCTCGTACATAACAAGACCTCACTCTCCCACAATGGCCGAATCACAATCACCCAGCTCATTTGAGCAGCTCAAGGCATACTCTTTCACCTCCGACCCGGAATTCGCAAATGGCCTGGCAATCATCCTAGGCCACGCCGGCACGCCAGCCTCGGAAGCGGAGATGAGCCGAGACGACGATCTCGTCTTGCAGGCCAAATGCTTCTTCTTCTCGCGGTATGGATTTCTAATACGTTTTGGTCTATCAGTAACTCACTAATGTATTGGTTCGCGACGTGCAGAAAGGAAAAGATTACCCCTCCCCTCAATTTCACAGCCTACAAAGCTTGGTTAGCGGGGAAATCGTCCGAGTCGAATCCTGCGACAGCTATACCGGAACAATCGAACGAGTCCTCTACAGAATCTGCCGCTGTTGCGACTACTGAATCCTCTGCCCTCCCGGAGCCTGCCTACCCCACCTCATTTGCGCATATCGTGGAACTCATCACAACCGGTAAACCAGTTCCCGGCATACAGCAGATCCCAGACACAGTCTTGGAGGGGCATGACATCGCAAGTGAGAGACCGCGCCGAAGGAAGCCTTGGGAGAAGGATGTCGAAGAACCGGCATCCCTTCAGGGTGAAATGGCCAGCAACGCTGCTTAACCGGTAGGCACTACAGAGCTGTTACGATTGTCTAGCGAGAACTACAGAATACCCGGGAGGAATCAAGATTTGATACAAAGAATATATGAAATTGGCATCATAGAGATACTGTCGCCAAAAGATGAATACACACAGCAACAGCTAAGTGGCTGAGCAATATCAAAGTTAACACCGTCGGTAACAGTGAAATAAATATAGTGTGAAGGCCAGACAGGAGAGGGAAGAGAGTGATAGATCCATCTTGGACTTCGCATGAGAAAAACACAGGAACCCCGAACAAAAGGGGAAACAACATCAGGAAAACAAAAGGTCAGCGCAGCATCGCCGCCAAACAACGAGTCAGATCGTCATAGGCAGATCGAAGCCCAAGAGCGTCGTGTGATTTTGTCGGACCGTGTTCATCACTTGCCAAACACACTCTTTGGGCACCGGGAAGCCGAAGAAGAACAAGCCAAATGGATAGATAAGCAGGCAGGATGAACTGTCGAGATCGAAGCCACAGAATAAAAGTTGGGAACATGCTTCAAAGTCGCCTGATAGCGTCTGACTGGTAGAAGGCAGTCAGCTGCTCTTGGAGACTGAGAGCGAATGCGAATGTAATTCATAAAAGTATAATGCATGCAAAATTGTTGCTGTTGATCTTTTTTTTTCTTTTTCTTTTTCTTTTTTTGAGTTTGTGTCTTGTTTTTCCTTGGTTTGATCGTTGGTTTGTTGTAGTGCTCGCCTGTGCAATTTCTCCTCTCGCCTTGGGTACGGTCGTTTGATGAACGCGGAATGCGAGACGCGTTCAACCTTGAAGCTTGTTAGACAGATCAACGGTAAGGAGAGTAGCCGGGGCTCCATTGATTTCCTCGACCGAACCGACCATTGTTGGTTGAGTTTGTAGAGGAGATCCTCTCGTCGTTGAAATGACTGAAGCGGCCAACTTGAATGCCGGTTCCAGGGCCAGGTCGTGTAGCATGGGAAGGGTTGCAACAAAGCATCGCTACACGGGATCCAAATTTAGAGCCTCGAAGGGAAACCATATGCTTCCTATTCCGATGCGAAGCCGTCAGTATCATACTAACAAGTGAGAAATGTTCAGAAAGTACCGAATATGACTGGCCACAAGCTCACGCTGATGAGCTGCAGCGTTCATCAAGACCCACTGGATCAGGTAATTGCCGTACTGATCGCCCGCTACTACATGTCTTCATTAGCATGGCCGACAAAAGAGAACAAGCGTTTTCCACTCACTGTCAATCAATGGCATCCGAGGTCGTTCAGAACGACCAGTGCACACACGGGAGAGATAGCGGTCCAAGAACTCAGAGCCACCGATCTTCAGACATTTTTCGACGATTTTGGATGCAAACTGATCCATGCTGTAATCCACAGCATGGTGGAGTACATGCTCAACTGCACGACTCTTGTCGTGGGGAGCGCCATGTTCACATATGTGCTGGATGCACCAGTTGCCGAATTGGCCATGAGCAAGCAGATCAATCTTTACCAGCACTTCTTCAATAGCAGGTCGCTATTGAGGTTGTCAGTCTGTCATTCTCGATATCAAGGTTGTTTGACAATGTTCGACTGGAGGAGGGAAAGAAATGGGATAATGGGGAGGAGCAGTCTGGAATGCACGGATATATCAATCCACCAAGATTCACAACAAAGCAAGATCTCTCACCTTTTCCTCCTCGATGCAGTTCTCGAAGATATTCTGCACCACCAAGCTCCCCGTTTCACCCAGTGCAACTTCGTGCCACATCCCCTCGAGCGCTTCATTTACCTTGGCCATGATTTGGGGAGGGTCGCCACTCCATCGAAGCTCGAAGAGTTTCTGCCAAACATGGCAGGCATACCGATGAACGACCGTCTCTGGAATTCTGCGGAGAAGTTCATGCACCATGATGGTCTTGTGTTCCTGCGGAACACAGTCAAACGCTTTTTGAATGACGTGGCAACCGAAGGAATCCATGCTCAGGTTGAGGGTGTTGCCTCTGATCGCATTCGCGATGGCGACAACTTGATCCGGTGTTCCGTGCTCGAAGCATCGCTGAACAAGGAAGTTTCCAAAACGATTGACCATCAAGGGGTACGCCTGGCTGACAATCGCCTCGATGATGTCAAACTTCTGCTCCGACGTGCCCACTTTGAGCTTTTGTTGTAGGAAAATGGATGCTTGTTGGTCATTGTTGCATACAATCTTGTCCACAATGTATTTCCAGTCACAAGAGACATTCTTATCGAGGAGGCGTCTATAATTGAGAGGTTCAAGAGGAGAAACATAGGTTTGCATGGAGCTTCCACCACTGCTCTAGAAGAAGGGTTAGTACGATTTCTCGTGTACATTGGGGTGATGAGATGGATCTTACTGAAGCATTTGTCCACAAGGAACTATTCACGCTACCAGCTGTGAACTCAGAAGCGGTTGGAGAGAGGGTCGTTGCACCTGGTCGGGCAGGATATGAAGATACCGGATAGATTCCAATCGGTTGAAAGACGCTGGGGGATCTTGTTGGTGGCGATCCCGGAGACTTTGGAGTGGCATCACTTGGGGTCCCAAAGGCCAAGGCTGCCCAGGGCGTATTCTGAGGGGGGAAAATCGGGCCACCTCGGCCTGCATGTGTGGGGGAAAGGCGAGATTCAGGATTCGTGTTCTGGAAAAATCGGGATTGTTCACCTGGGGGCCGGGGATAACAATCATATCCGCCGGTTGAAGGACCAGAACTGATTCTGTGAGGCTGGAAACCTCCTTGCGATACCCCAAACCCAGTAGGATACATTGGTGCAGCACTCCAAAAACGACCAGAGTCCTGATTCACCGGGCGGGAGGGCCCCGGCAGAGCCTCTCCATAAGCCTTGTCGAGAGAGTGGTCTTGGGCATCCATCCCGAAGGATGATTGCCCATTCTGGTTCCAAAGCCCTCGGCCACGATTGTACGCCCCAGCCGACAGTGCATCGGAGATATCGGAGTGAGAGTCATCTTGTGTGCTCCATGCGTCTTGAAACTGGCCGAATGCGGGATTTGAGGCATTGAATGCATTCTGAAGGTTGCTGATGGTTTGTTCGGTGATATCACGCCCGCCAAAGTCAGCCTCAGATGGAGGACCGAGAGCCTGGTCCAACGTGTGCTTGATCACACGGTTCTGGGCAAGTTCTTGCTCCTGCATCGCAATCTTGGAATTTGCCGCGAGCAATTCCTTCTTGAGTCGAAGAAGCTCAGCCACCTTGTCATCTTGCGTGTGACTGTTGACTGTTTCTGCCAATCCCGCCACTGGCAATGTGTCACTGGACTGGGGAATTCGAGATGTACGCAAGGAAGAGTGATCAGATTCTGGGCGGGATACCCGGATAGATTCAGGGGAGATCTTGGCCAGAACCTTCTCCAAATGTGAAGGCTGTCCAACGCTAGATTCAACTTTGACGTGCCCCAACTTTGGCTTCTAGGATTGTCAGAATATGTACAGGCCATTCGGTCTCATTGGGACATCATTCACACTCACCTTGATAGACGGCATATCAGCCTCCTCGCCAGATGCTTTGAGTGTGGGTCCGTACTTTGGCACTTCATCAAGATCAGAGTGACTGTGGCGGTTGCTCGAATGCTGGGAGCCCTCAGTGTCAGACATACTGATCAGCTGTGGCAGGGCTGGCAAGACTTACCGAAAGATCACGTCCAAATGAAAAAGGTCGCAAGTCCCTACCCCCATCTTGGGAAAGAAACCTTCCTTCTTTGGTGACCCGAGAGATCACGGCAGGCCCAGTGATGGTGGCCATCACGCTGATCACACTGGACAAGAGAAAGGATCAAGTATAGATCAGACCGCCAGACAGACTTGCAACCAAGAGGGTCAAATGAAATGGGATAGCACGAAGATTCACCAGATGATAGAAAACATAGGATAGATGAAGAGATGGGATAGAGGTGGGAAACAGAAGGGAGGAGAAAGGGCGGATGATAGTTGGGGAGGAGAGAAATGGAAAGAGACTCCAGAATAGGAAGGTACGTCGTAGTCACGTCGGATTACGATACCTCCGGCCTGGCCTGGCCAGAACTACGTGCGATGGCAAGAGCTCCAGATCAAAAAGGGAAATCAAAAAGGAAGTTTATTTCCTTCTCCCTCCTTCCCCCTTCCCCCTTATACTGTTCCATCCATACTTGCCTAATTCCCATGCCCATGCCCTGCTATCTCCGCACAGAGCAAGACCTCTACATGGGATCAAATTGGTATGAGGCAGGTGATATTTGCCAACACCAGTCAAAATGACCGGCAGCAAAGACTCCAGCCGCGCCTTCCCAACGAGAGCGATTTCCCAGGACTACATACTCGGGCTGTCCTGACCCGGTGATAGTTGGAACCAAACGAGCCGCTTGCCGCAATCCATCCAAGTCAGTGCCCCAAACCACGAGCCCCAATCGTTCCTCTGGTAAGGGTTGAAGGAAGATCGCTCCTGTTCCAGGCTTCCCATACAAATATTCTCGGTTTACCCCAGGCAGCGTCAATGTGGATTGGCTCGTTGATATAACAAGACGACCTTGATCGATGCGAATCGGATAGGATTTCATCGCGGTTGATGGCAAATTATGGCCAATCGCAATCGTTATGACGTTGCCAGGGTGATTCTGTGAGCTATAACTTGAGCAATCCTCAACAATCTCGGAATCTGCTGCAAAGTATTGGAAGAAATTGCGACTGATTTGCAAAGCGACTTGCTCCACTCCAGGAGAACATCTCTGAATAGTGAACTTTCCTTGAGTGCGGACAACGGCATCGAGCGCACCAAGCTGACGGCCATATCTTTGATGCTCTGTCTTCCAACGTGGGTCCTGGGAGAAACTCCACTGCCCCTCGGCATCTCTTACGAACCAGCTTTGCGCTCTTAAGGCGACCTCTACCTGGAAAGTGCCGTTCATTTTGTCAAGCACAATTGCTTCAGGTAGCTCGGCCCGAGGATAAGTTGCTGATAAGTGAAATCGACGAATGTTGCGAGTGGTAATGTGCCAGATCTTGCTGTCTGAAGAGCGGGTAACTCGAAACTTACCGTTCACGTCGGGTGTGTAGAGCTGGTCGACCTGGATCCCAGCTTTAGATCCCAATACCCCGGACGATGGAACCGTAATGGTGAAAGTTTGCGGCAATACCCTCGTCAGGCTAGACTGATTGACCATGGTTCGATAGAAATCCTTCAGGTACGTGGTCGTCATCACACCTTCATACCAGTGTCCCTTGCCCGGTAGCTCTCGGTACTCAGAGGGCCACTGAGCGTGACCTAAGAGCTCGTGCATCAGGCGTCCATGATATGCAGGTACATTGTCATCGTCTCCTCCGTGTTGTTGTGCCACGGGAATACCAGCCAAGTTACCTACTAACAACTCGTTTTTATAGCTCGACCGTGATCTGGAGAGGACCGAGGAAAGCGAAGACTCTGAGTCATGCCACATCGTATATGGAACATAATCTGAACAGCTTAGTCTCAATTTTCCACATCAGAGAATAGAGTCACCACCAGTCATACTTTCGATCGATGTATATCCGGAGACAGCCGCTACAGCAGAGACGTCGTCTGGAAAATGAGTAGAAAAGTACCACGCACCCTGACCTATTCAACATCAGCAGTCGACGCGACAATCTGCCAATGTATCGGACGTATACCTACCTCCATTGGAGTGACCAGCCACAATCCGCTTATCTAGTGCAGCAGGGGGGCCATCCCAGGCAACTTGTTTCACCCAATTCGCAATGGATGACATTGCAGCCTGGATGTCAGCAACACCCCAATAGTCTATATCGAATCATCGGTTTAGCCACTAATACTAAGCTTGAAACATAGACAAGGTTCAGACTCACGCCAGTCATCTCCACTCCATGAAGTGACACCGCTTGGGAATAGCATCCAAGCACACGTTCCGTACGCTGCATCTAGCATGCCTCGCGCTTGAGCTGAATCTACTTCAAGCCCCGCCCCATGAAGAACAAGGATCACCGGAGCGGGTAGCGGGATCTTGCAAAACTTTTCAGGTGGAGCTCGCAGAATGGCGTAGGAAACTATGCCCGCCGGGTGTAGGTAAGTCATACGAAGCGGATCTGACAACGGTCGTTGTTCAAGGCTGATATCGAAATATATGGCACGCGAACTCCCGCTTGCGGTCTTATATGTCACCTCTACAGAGAATTGAGGTTTATAACCCGCCTCCAACGAGATGTTGAAAATCAGAGGACGAGTTTGGAGCTCAGCAATGCGTAGCGGGCTTTGCATAGACACATGATGTGCAGTCTAGATCGAAGAATGGTGTCAGCAGATCGATGAGGCATACCATGGCGAGATTATGGAAGAGCCCGACCTTCAATGCGCAAATTGACTTGATTTCCACCGATTCTTCTTCATTGTTCTGTACATTAATAGAGGCCCATGGGCTCCCAATCCTTTCGTTGACCAATTCGGAAACCAACAGGCTGTCTTGATCCAGTGTGATGGGCTCTGCTCCTCTCAGCTCGGCATGAACAATGACTTCAATGGCATTTTTGAGTCCCCCGAGGGCCCGAACATCGCGCGTCAGCCGCAACTCCAATGTATGAGGGCCTGGCGTTAGTTTGATCAAGCTGGGAGCCCGGTGATACCGAAACATATCCCCACCAAAATACGGCTTGCCATCCACCAAGAATTCCAACAGACCACCCCCAAAGAGGGCAATAGTCTGTGGTTGAGATCCCCTGACCTCCAATACCCCTCGAGCCCATGCTTGGTACTGTAATGCTGACCAGCCATAGACTGATTGCATGAATGCCCAATTCACGGCTGCAAAGCTCACGTTTAGGGCCGCCTTGACTTGACCGCGAGAGGAGCTGGATATATTTGCATGCGTGGTGCTCCATTGGACAGAACCATTCATTCCAAGGGCACTGTCGAAGGTGGCATTGGGGTCATATGGCAAATTGTGGAACCCACCGTAATACTCCAAAGGATCTGCTCCCCAGATGGCCTCTGCGTGAGTGAGGGTTGTTATTTCTCTAACCGCCTACTCTATTCTTTGGTCTCGACCTACTGACCTCTTGTACCGAGCCTAAAGGGCCCTAGAATGTCCCATGTCTCCGATATCAGCACCTCCGGCAGCGCGGGTTTGAGTGGACTCTGGCGGACAGCACCGTGTGAGCCAAGCTTCCAGCTAGTCCCCGCTCGCTGGGCGCAAGAGGCTGGAACTAACGTGGGTGACAGTAGGATCAATCCCAAGGTAACTGGGATGAATGTGGCAAGCATATTCGATGCACATACCCCCAATCCTTGCGACCGGATCGAAGTATGAGAAATTGTTAGATCTTCAGATACCGTCACATCGGACCCGTGAGTAGTCCGCAGGACTATCGGCCCGTCCCTCCGTCAATTGTTGAATTGCGGGATGCCCATTGGAGAAAAGAACCGACCGCATTCAGGATGGTCAGTGCGGTATGGGCGCCGTATGTATCGAACGGTATGCATGATTGTATGTACTAGGGTCACGTGACTAAATATTTTCCAATGTCTGCGACCATGAATACAAGCCGGTATATTTAAGCTGTTGATATTAGAGCATCTAGAAGATATGAGTAAATGATACAGATCCAGCTACTCTGCACATGCAATTTCCTAGAAGGAGTTGTCATTGACCGGAGCTACCGTTCTACAAGCACAGGGCAAACGGAGGACTCCGAGGGTACACTATGACACGGGTCCGGCGTAAGGTCACAGCTGCTGGCGGTCGCACGCTGTCGGCCTCGATTCCATGGACTCTCCCGATGGGGCCAGCTTAGTTACCCTAACCATCAATCTCTCCCAGTTCGTTCGTACCTGGCTCCCCCCCCCCCCCTTTTTCTACATTGTTCTCCGGCATCTGGGCGATTATCCGAGCTTGTCATACGCCGTTACAAGGCTTGGCCCCGTTTCGCTTTCTGCAGCGTGTGTCTTCCATCCTCAACGCTCATTCGTCCGAAGAGATTCGTCATCGCCAAACCATCTTCCTTGCACTCTGGCCAGACGACCCTCTGCAGGTGAAACCACCCCCGTCCGGTTCGACTACTTGAGTTTGTAGTCTGCTCTATACTTGGGTAAGTCCAATGGTTTCCCCCGACGCGCGAAAGAGCCCCATGCGAGAGAACCGAAGGGAACTGAAGGAGTTAACGCCTCCTCCAAGCGAAAGCCTAGACGATTCCGCGACGACCATGGCGACAACGACAGTTACCGGTCATGGGCGGCGGGCTTCTATGCGACAACCCGAATTGCAAGTGCCGAACAAACCCTCGTCCTCTCAACACATCAGTAGCCCCATCGACAAGTTCCCTCCATACGAAGATTCTCTAGACGCCGCCGTGGGGTCAGCGGCACCCTCAACCCGACCGCATCGAAGCCCCTCGGTGAAATATGCCCCAAGTGAACAGTGGGAGCCACGGAAAACTGCATTCTACTCGCGAGATCACCCCAATGAAGCTTTGAGGAATTCCAAACACCGACCCCGAAAGAGTATCAGCGAGGCCATTACCACCATTCGAAACCGCAACGGAAGTATGAGCGCCAATGCGCAGGAACTCGCCGAGGCCCTTAAAGCTCCGGTATCATATCGATTGATTGTACGTTGATCAGGAGGGTGAATAGCAGGATTGGCCTTTCCCCGGGCTGTTCTGCCGTGTCCCACCCCCGCTCCGATGAGTTCTGGCTAATGTTCGATAAACGATTCAGGGTCTCTGTCTGATTTGGTACATGACCTCTGCGCTCACGAATACGTCCTCGAAATCAATACTGAATGCCCTGCCAATGCCCATCACGTTGACGATCATTCAGTTCGCGTTTGTCTCCTTCTGGTGCTTATTGCTTGTGTATCTGTCGACGGTGATTCCGTGGCTCCGGCGAAGTGTACCGGTTCTCAAACACGGCATTCGGTATCCCTCTCGGGATGTGATTTCCACCGCGCTGCCTCTGGCTGTTTTCCAGCTGGCAGGCCATATCCTGAGCTCAATGGCTACCTCCCAAATCCCCGTCTCTCTGGTCCATACAATCAAGGGCCTGTCGCCATTGTTTACGGTTCTGGCATATCGAGTCCTGTTCCGCATTCGGTACGCCCGGGCAACGTACCTCTCGCTGGTCCCTCTCACCCTTGGAGTCATGCTTGCATGCTCCACTGGAATCTCTACAAACTTCTTCGGAATTCTCTGTGCTCTTCTGGCTGCTCTGGTGTTTGTCTCCCAGAATATCTTCTCCAAGAAGCTCTTCAATGAGGCCGAGCGCGTTGAGGCCGAGGCCGCTAATCCTGCTCGGCGTAAGCTAGACAAGCTCAATCTGCTCTGCTATTGCTCTGGGCTGGCCTTTTTCCTCACATTGCCCATCTGGTTTGTGAGTGAAGGATACCCTCTGATATCCGACTTCATCCATGACGGTGCCATTTCACTGTCTCACAAGCAGGGGTCGCTGGACCACGGTGACCTCTTGATTGAGTTCGTCTTCAATGGCGTCTCGCACTTTGCGCAGAACATTTTGGCATTTGTGCTTCTTTCCATGGTGTCACCCGTCTCGTACTCAGTTGCCTCCCTAGTGAAGCGTGTGTTTGTGATTGTGGCTGCGATTTTGTGGTTCGGCAGCTCGACGACGCCCATCCAAGCCGTTGGAATTGGTCTCACCTTTGTTGGTCTCTATCTCTACGATCGCAACAGTCACGACGACGTGGCTGACCAGCGCGCAAATGCGGATCACTTCCGTGCGCGAGAGTCCATTCTACCCATGAATGTCCGACACTCGAGCAAGCCGTGGGACTCCAATGGCTATGCATTCCCCGGTGCGAGATCGTTCGAGACCTCCACCGGGAACACCTCCCATGCGACCAACTCCTCTAAGAAACAGGATGATGGCCCTGGGCGCGTTCGCCCTCGAGGAGCAAGCGTGAACCGGACCTGGCTACCCGGGACGAAGCAGGAGTCAACGTGGCAGCCCGCTGATTCTACCGCTGCCGCATAGATAGCCATTTGCGCCTGTCTCTTTTATCTCAGTTCTCGTGAATTTTTTTTTCTTCCCCTCCGGCTTCTATGTTTGTATTCTTCCCCTCACAGACAGAGGCTTTGGGAAACCTTGGTGTATTATATTAAGGCGTTCAAGGCGGATTCTTGCTTTATTTTCTGGGAAGATAGATCACCAGTCGGTTCGATTTCCTGCCGACATTGTCTAGTGAATCATTTCTCCTATTTGGGCGCCAACATGGATGGGGCGAAGGGAACGAAGGATAATCGAGTTTTGTAGGTTGTATATGATTTCAATCTACCTATGAATCTAGTGACCGGGAAAAGATCGATGTCTAAAAGGCGTTAAGTTTGCATCATCCTCGTTTATCAAGGTCCGCCGTCAGTGTCGCGTCGTACTTTGTAGGTCGGTATGTAGCTACCGTCGGTAAAGAACATGTCATAATAGGGAAGACCCTTGACTGCTCCAGTTCGGTGCAAGTCTGCTATAGGACTATGTTGCAGAGGAAACTGGGACTGAGGGCCCGGACTCCTACAATAAATCATGCCCAGAATGAGATGATTTCCGGTAAAGGACGGGGCGCGGTCGACGGCTTTTTAAGGGGAAATTTCCGGAGACGAGGTTTATCCGCATAACCGAGCCAATGGCTACCGGCGCATTTGGGATTTGTGAGGCCCGTAACTTAGTCAGCTCCCGGATGGTCAGCAGCATTATGTAACCCAGCAGATTCCGAACTCTGAACGTCAAGCTCCTTCCTCAACCCCCTCGTCCACCCCCAACGCAATTCCCCCTCCCTCCCCTCTCTCCTTCATCGCTCCTCTCACAATCATGCGGCCGCAGCTGTTTCGTGCGGCCGCCCGGTCTCTCCGGGTGCCCAGGGCCCGTGCCTTCGCGACGACAGCCCCTCGCGCGGCCGAGGTGGAACTGACCATTGGTATGCCCTAGATCCCTCCAAATCACGCATTGATGGTGCAGTATGCTTATCAGATCGTTTAGATGGCAAGAAGGTGTCTGTTGAAGGTAATCATCGCGCTATTCGCATCCATTGGACGGCTACTCACATCCTCCGAAGCCGGCTCGGCTCTCATCCAGGCTTGCGAGAAAGCAGGTGCCACGATCCCCAGGTACGAATGCTCCCATGCACCGACAAGGCCGACTCGTGACTGTGACTAACATTGTTTCTAGATATTGCTACCACGAGTACGTGTCCAACTTTCTACGGCCCGGGTCCTCCGGTGACGGCTTATGCTAACATTAGACATGAAGAAAACTATTGATTGCAGGAAACTGTACGTCTTCACGGTCTCCATAATCTAATGACGCACCAGCTCGATCAACAATGCTAATTGCAGGGAATCTATCTAGGCCGTATGTGTCTCGTCGAAGTCGAGCGCGCCCCCAAGCCCGTTGCGTCGTGCGCGTGGCCCGTTCAGCCCGGCATGGTGGTCAAGACGAATTCGCCGCTGGTCCACAAAGCGAGAGAGGGTGTGATGGAGTTCCTCTTGGCCAACCACCCCCTTGACTGCCCTGTCTGTGACCAGGGAGGAGAGTGTGATCTTCAGGACCAGTCAATGCGTTATGGAGCTGACCGTGGTCGGTTCCACGAGGTTGGCGGTAAGCGTGCGGTCGAGGACAAGAACATCGGTCCCCTGGTTAAGACCTCGATGAATCGCTGCATTCACTGCACTCGCTGCGTCCGATTCATGAACGATGTGGCTGGCGCACCCGAATTGGGAACTTCTGGCCGTGGTAACGACATGCAGATCGGAACCTACCTGGAGCAAAACCTCACCTCGGAACTGTCTGGAAACGTTATCGACCTTTGCCCCGTCGGTGCCTTGACCTCCAAGCCCTATGCTTTCCGTGCTCGTCCCTGGGAGCTCAAGCACACCGAATCCATCGATGTCCTTGACGCCCTCGGTTCCAACATCCGAATCGATAGCCGCGGTCTGGAAGTGATGCGCGTCACCCCCCGACTCAACGACGACATCAACGAGGAATGGCTCAACGACAAGTCACGCTTTGCCTGTGATGGACTAAAGACTCAGCGACTTACCAACCCCTTGATTCGTCGCGATGGCAAGTTCGTTCCCTCCACTTGGGAGCAGGCTCTGGCAGAGATCGCCGAGGCCCAGCAGAAGCTGCAGCTGCAGCCCAATGAGTTCAAGGCCGTCGCCGGTCACCTGGTCGACACCGAATCTCTCGTTGCCATGAAGGACATGGCTAACAAGCTGGGTTCCGACAACCTCACCCTGGATCAGCCCGGTGGCAGCGCTCCTATCGCCCACGGTATCGATGTTCGCTCCAACTACCTGTTCAACTCCAAGATCTACGGTATTGAGGAGGCCGACGCCATTCTTCTGGTTGCCACCAACCCCCGCCACGAGGCTTCTGTTCTGAACGCCCGCATTCGCAAGCAGTATCTGCGTTCCGACCTCGAGATCGGCCTCGTGGGCGAAGAGTTTGAGAGCACCTTTGAGTACCAGAACTTGGGTGTCGATGTTTCTGCCCTGAAGACTGCTCTTTCCGGCGAGTTCGGCAAGAAGCTGGCTAGCGCTCGCCGCCCCATGATTATTGTCGGTAGTGCCGCGGCGGAGCATGCTGATGCGAAGGTCATCTTCGAGACTGTTGGCAGCTTCGTCGAGAAGCACTCCAGCAACTTCAACACCCCCGAGTGGCAAGGTTACAACGTTCTGCAGCGTGCTGCTTCTCGCGCTGGTGCTTACGAGGTCGGCTTCACTGCCCCCTCCCCGGAGGTTGCGCAGACCACCCCCAAGATGGTCTGGCTCCTTGGCGCCGATGAGGTTGCGCAGAGCGAGATCCCCAAGGATGCCTTTGTCATCTATCAGGGTCACCACGGTGACCGGGGTGCTCAGCTCGCCGATGTCGTTCTCCCTGGTGCTGCTTACACCGAGAAGTCCGCCACTTACATCAACACCGAGGGACGCGTGCAGGTTACTCGGGCGGCCACGTCGCTGCCCGGTGCTGCCCGTGACGACTGGAAGATCATCCGTGCTACCAGCGAGTTCCTCGGCGTTCCCCTCCCCTACGACGACATTGAGGCCCTCCGTGACCGTATGGAGGAGATCAGCCCTGTGCTGCGCCGTTACGACGTCGTCGAGCCCACATCTGTCAGCGCCTTGAGCAAGGTCCAGCTGGCGGATCAGAACAAGGGAGCCTCAGCCACTGGAGCTCCTTTCCAGAAGGTCATTGAGGACTTCTACTTCACCGACTCTATCTCCAGAAGGTACGTTCCTTCCATCCCTTCGCTCTTTGCTGTATCGATTTCCCACTGACAATTGTCTAGCTCCCCTACCATGGCCCGCTGCTCGGCCGCCAAGGCTACCGGCAACCCCGAGACCAACTTCATGGCCGCCGGGGAGATGTCTCCTCAGGCCCTGTACGGCTAAATGTAGCCAGGGCCTCGCTGCCTCTGACTTAACCGCATGAGCCGCCGATCGAATTCTTGTGTTTTCTCTAATGGTTGCAGGCGTTGTCATTTTGTATCACATTAAACTTCCCTTTGATGTACCGTTTCCTTTCCACCTTCTGTTTTCTCTATCATCTTGAACGCCGCCTGGTCCGGGCTCCGTGGTTGACGTCTCTCGGCCACTCTCCGGCATAACCTGGGATTAAATCGGTTGGGGTTGACTTGTACATAAAAAGCTTGAGACCCTTACAAAATTTCAGTCCCCTCACGGAGATAATGATGACACGAAGTTGTAGCTCGCGTATTTGTAAAATTATTTACTCATGGTGATGATAACCAGCCTATATATACGCGAGAGGAAGTACGCAAGATTGGGAGAGGCATGCTTCCGGGTTCGCGTTTGGCGGGAATACGTTCAATCAGAGAGACAACTTAAATGATTTCTGCTATGTAGGGCTTGCTTGATTGCCTCAGTCCATCAACGAAGTACGATAGTAGATGCTCAAAGTTCATCATCGTCCGTTTCTCCCGCCGTCTCTTCCTCCGCCACAAGGGACTCTGACCGAGGCTCCGATGTCGTCTGTGCTGGGCGCCCTCGTCGCGTAAATGGCAATTCTCGACGCGGGGGTGCTGCCGCCTTCGGCGGTGCCTCTCGCTCCGAAGTAGCTGGGGCATCTTCCTCATCGTCTGTTGTCGTATTATCTTCTTCGTCCTCAAGTGGCTGGGGCGTGGCTCTTTCTTCGTCCTCTGTCTCTTGATCATATTGTGCTCTGGCATCCGCTCCTTTACGATCCACGTCCATCTGCTCGAAACCTTCATCTGATTCGTCCTCGTCCGCGGTGTCTGCTGCACGTCGCTTTGTTGAGAGATGCGTTCCGGATACCTCGCTAGGTCTCCCGCTGGCTGCTTGGATCTCGGCGACTGAGCCGTTTGGGAAGAAATGTTAACATTGATTTTCTTTTCTTGGGTATGTAGTGATTGGTTCTACCTTTGGTGGGATCAGCGGTTGCAGATGCCAGCAATCGCTGCTGATTCCGGATCTTGAGCTTCTTCTCATTCAGAAGCTGGGCAAAGTTGGCCACCAGTTGGTTCTCGTGCTGGGTCTTGGCCTGCATGAGGTCTGCTAGTTGTTGCGTCAGTTTGGCGATGGTGTCCTCGGCCTCCCGATAGCGGTCCGTGAGGCTCGTCACTTGGCCGTGCAAGTGATCGGCTTTGGCAGCTGCGATACCAGTCCACTCGAAGAGTGCAATCTCTTGGTCTTCATCCTGTTTGAGGACTAGAGACCCAAGCCTTTGCTACAATGGTATTAGACAAGGGCAAATAGACGAATGAAGGGCCTTGGGGTGGGGGGTTAAGGGAGAGGATGCTCTCGTACTGTGATATCTTGGACTCTTTTCCGAATGGTGATGATTATTTCTTGATCATCGCCCCCTGCACCTGAGATACTAGCTGAAGCTTCAATTCCGGTAGACCAGGATGAGTTCTCGGCAGGCACTGGCTGTCTCAGGACGTGAGCAATGATGTAGGCCCATTCGTCACCGGATCCTTGGTAGTTTTTGCCGCGTAGGGTCTGCAGACGAGATTGTTGGACTATTTCCGGGTGTTAGCTCGTACTTGATTCAAAGTGGCTAGGGAAAGATTGTACTAGACGCGGCATATGGGTTCTCGCCCTCCGTTGCGGTGAGCGATAGATCCAGAGGTGCCTGGCCAGCCCGAGAGACGTGGACCAGTACGTAAGAATGCGGCTCGTCCGACCGAGGAATTCGTACAACCTGGGGGGCGGACATATTAACAATTGTACAAAGAGGTATAGTCCTTGGAATCGCCTCCTATGGATTGGGATCAACGAGGATCTGCTAAAAGCTCAAGCGTGGTAATGTCCTGGAAGTAGTTTCATCACTGCTGGGTACCGAACGGTCCCCGAAGAGCCGCGTTGCACGGAGGCAGCAGGGCGTGGCGGAGATCCACCCAAGGTACGTCGCCGAGCAACTGTCAAGTAAGTACTGACTTAGCTACAGTACTAACCACTAGTCAAGCCGACTCGGTTCATAGTGCTCCTTAGTCGGCCCATCAATCAATAATTTTTTTTACAGCAGCCTGCGAATGAGCTCTCGTGATCATCCTGACCGTTGAGAGGGTGCCTTATCCTCGGTACTGGGCAGCGGAGTATACCTATATAGTACGCTAGATGTACCTCGACCATGAATACTACCCGAAATACATACTCTTCTTGGTATATAAATCATTCCACTGCTCCACAATATCACTGAAAATTTTCAATACTATCTCTCTCCTCAAAAGGCGAGCAACCAAACGACTCGGAGTATTCGTATTCGAGCCGGGCTAAACGCACGCCCCCCCTTGACGGAGAATTGTGGATGTGGAGTGGCTATAGGGTGGCTCCCGTGGCTTTAGTTACTTCAATAGTCAGTCAGTCCTCTCGTCGTGAGAATAACCATGGGCAGTAGACCCTAAGAGAGTGTGTGAGTGAGACTCATAAATTACTTAACGAGGACTCCATTTTTCCGCTAGTTAGATCAATTTCTGACAATTATTGAGTTGGCCCTAGCCCAGGTCTAGAAATTCAGGCCACTCAGGCACCCGGCACGTTCCCTTCCTCCACGAGGAATCCCCCCAACCCTCCCCCTCAAATTCCAGCCTCCACCATCACCATTTCTCACCACCATTACCACCACTAGCGGCTCATACCTCGCTGTGCTCTCACCTACAACGTTTTCATGAACCTCTCTGACATCCTTTCACCTTGTTCCGGCTCGTCGTCACTCTATCTTGTTCTCGTGTCCGCAACACCCAACCCGTCCCCCCCTAACACCCTCGCACGCGACGAAACCTCGCGAGCCTACGACTACCCACCCAGCCTTGTTTGACACCACTTCATACTGCCGACAAAAGCGACCACTTAAAATTTCGGCCACCTGGACATCTCGAACCGTCACGGAATGATGTCCATGGTTCCTAGTCCTCGCCTAGTGTCAATGTCAGTGTCGTGAAGCTCGGCGTCTCACTTCCTGATTCACCGACATTGCTGTACTTGGTACGACGTGAAGGATCTGTCATCGCCTTTGTCAAGATATATTTGCACGCGCAGCTCTGTCATGGAGTTCCCGACTACTCAAGAACGACCGCATGGGACGGATGAAGTAATTGAATGCTGGGATGACGACGATGACCTACAATTCAATGATGGGATCCAATTCCGTGCCACATCCAGCACGAGCTCTCTGACTAATTCCTCGTTTCGTCCCTCTGGTCACCGTGATTCTATTTCCTCTCGCTTATCTGCTCGCTCCGACCTCGATTCAAACGCCGGCGATGAAGACTGGCAAGTCCTTCTACACGACAACGATGAATTCTCCAAGGAGGAGGCACTTGCCTCCGCCAAACATGCTGGCATCCCTATTCCTGCGGATATACCCAGCTCTGCTCTCATTGGGGGTGCCATCAAACGTCTCTCTGCTCGGAAATCAAAGCGAACGTTTGTGGACGATTGGTCTGACGATGTTGAGCTTCCCGGTCCCGGTGCGGTCCTGGAGCTGAAGACTCCACGGGACAACGCTTTCCCAGACTCCTTACGGCAGATCAGCTCCGCAGCCACAAGTCCCGTGAAATCGACCTCTCCCCCTTTCTGGAATGACGACATATCGACTCGCCTTCAAGCAGCGTTCTCGCCCCTAGAGCGCTTTCAAGATGAGAACAACCACCCAATGAACTTTGAAGTTCCTACGATCAAAGCCCCTACACTCCGTTCTCCCAAAAAGAGCCCCGTGGATTTAGCAGGATTCAACCATGCAGACAATCGGGAAATGGATGATTTTGACGAAGACCTCGAGTTGCCTCCCGACCACCAGCCGCTGCAGTTAAGTCATCGAAAGGATCGTGCCGAGGTCTCTAGTCCTATTATGGATGACTTTGATCTCGAGTGGTCCGAAGGCAGCATTGGGGTCCGAGTTGGTGGGACGGCGCGGGACGGTCGATCAATCCCAAGCTCCTCTATATCAATCGCAAGTCCGAGTGTGTCAAGCTGCCTTACAGCAGAGAGTGAGGAAGATGGCTTGGACGGTGTCTTGTTTCCGGAGGGTCCTTTGGATTTTACGGCATCTCTCAAGCGGAGACAAGAGGCTCAGGCGATAGACAGTCCCATTAAGAATGAGGGTATCCAAAAGGCACCAGCGTCACCGGATGCTGATGACTTTTTCTCGGGCCTTGAGGTTGACCATGGTAGAGCCTTTGTCTCCGGGAAGATGGCCCTCAATCCCAACGTCAAATGCAAGACAGAATGGCCATCAAGCCCAACTCGTCGGCCGGCTACCACGCTTACATTCACCAATGCAACTGGAGGCTCCCCGCGTACTCGCATTCCTCGTCTGTCTGGCCACGAACGAACCCATTCAACTCACCTGGAGACCGTCTCGGAAAGCGGCGCGCCACTTTCAAAGTTTCGAAGATCGCAGTCCCGACTTGGGCATTCATCACAATCTTCCGTTTCAAGTTTACCCGCCACTAGTGCCAAATCACCATCGCCTACCCCAAGTACGTCGTCCCGGCGGCTTCTGGGTTCCCGAGCCATCAAGGAAAGCCCCAACATCGCCGAGAGTAAGGGCCCTTCAAGACAACTTCGACCAAAACGGTCATTACCATCCATCCGTGGGATCACTTCGGCTACTTCTACGCTGGCTTCGCAACGGACGCCAACCCATGCAGATGGCTCTATCCGTGGCTCCCTTAATAGACCCAAAACGCCCGTTGAACGGACGGCCGCACTTGACGGACGGGCCTCGGTTCGCAGAGTTCAGGCTCCATTCCTTTCCGGTGCATCAGAAAGGAAGCCCCAAAATGCCGGTGTGAAAAATTACCGTTCCTCCCGACGCACCAATTCGGACAGCTCTGGTGACCTCCTGAGTCCCCAGGGTACATTTTCCCGGCTATCGCGACCCTCTCGGCCAGAGAGTCTCCGATTGAGCTTTGGTGACTCCGGCGCCGAGACGACCGGATCGACAACCAAGCGGACTCTAACCAAACCGACCAAGCGACGCAATTTTGGGGATGGCACCGAGCTAGAATCATTTGACGACCTACCTACCTCGGCGTCGACCGAGAGTAAATTCACGAAAAACCCAACCGGGCGAGGAGCCCCGCGATCTGTACGCTCCCGGCTCAGCCAGAGCCGTATCACTCCCCCGATTAACTCCCCTACTCAATCCACGCCCCCCTCAGTCTCCAAGCCGCTCAATCCGACCCCGAGATTCGCTCGCGATACCAATGCATCCCGCAATGCTCGAGAGCAGCGAATTGCCTCCATGATTTCCCGAACCCGAGACACGACCCCTCTCTCCTCTGTGAACGCGAATTGGAAACCCCACCCGGTTGTTTCTCGCATCTCACCCAGCGCGGCTCCTGTACGAAGCCGCAAGACCAAACCCGTGACCAAGTCTTCCTCCAAGCCCCACTTGATCAAACCTCTAGGGTCCGGCGTGCATGATGCCAAATGTAAGAGCCCGAGATCCTCCCCTTGAGTATCGAGATGGTAAACTAACGCCGTTGTCTAGCCGTACGAGGTATGCGGTACAACCCATCAACTTTCCGATGGGAAGGAAACGAAAACTTAGTCCAGGATTTCGACGTTGCAACTGCTCCCAAATCACCGAAGCCTGCACCGGCCCTGATCACTAATGTAGGCCCTTTGCACAATGTTCAGTCCGTTGGGGGAATGGTCTTTGATCCACAGCGCATGTGCTGGCTCAAGGCCTCCGCGCTCGAGTCTGCAGTCCACGGCGGTGCGGTACCCGAGGATGAGGATGATGTTTTTGCTGGATTGGATGACCTGGATGACGATAAGACTGCTGGACCTACGCGGCGGAACTCGGGCGCTGTGGATGACCTGTCTTCCCATACACCCGGTGGGGAAGATGCCAGCGCGGGAGAGTCTTCCGATGACTGCCTTATCACGGAGGAGTTTGACGTTGGCCCGGAATTTATTCGACGACAGAGAGCCGAAGAGGAGAAGTGGAGACGCAAAGTGGCGAAATGGATTGGTCCTGCTCGCGGCGATCGAGAGCATCACTGGCGGTGGGCCATTCGCGATCTGGTGGCCGAAGATACCGGCCATTTGATCGGATAGGGAGGGAGAAGAAGAAGAGAAGGCTCAAGGAGAGAGAGAGCGGCCCGATCAAGGTGCCCAAGAGAGCCTAGATGTATTTGATGGACCATCATTGAAAGTACCCGTTGTCCTCTTAGGGATGAGGGCAAGGCGCGCTCTCTTGGGGGTTGGGCATGGATACACATGAACTTATGACAAGAAGGCAATAATGTTGTCTTCATTGGCCGTGATGAAATTGGCCAAACGACTTTAATGGCAGTGGCAGTGGCAGTTTAGTGTCCCTCGTCTTTTTTGGGGGGCAAGGTGTTGTCGTTGACGTGTTTGACATTGTGGAATCCTGTAACTATACTACTAACTACTTTCTATTCCCACTTCTCCTCGCACTCGCATTCCTGGATTGATCTCCGAGTGTACATAATTCATACAATCGGCCTGCAGTTGCACTTAATGATGATGACCATTTCGTTCTTTTGATCTTTCGTACTTCGTTTGGAGGTCTTTTTGTCTCGTTTGCCTTGCGACATCATGGTCTCCGCTGTTTCCTCTCCTCACCTGGCCAGTCCGTACTCCCACTCCGCCCTTTCTCCCCCTTCCCCTCTAATCTTCTCTCATTCTAGCCTCACCTCTTTGATTTCTCACTGGGCTAATCCTCCGTATGGTCTGCTTGTTTCTTCCGTCCGATCAACAAGGAACATCCATGTCGGTCCCTGGCCCTCTCGGGCTAAACACTTTCGTCTCAACCCCGTACCTCTGATCTTTCCCTTCTTTTTTTTCCTCTTTGGTCATTCACTTCGCCTCTGTCCTCGCAAGCTCATCCTAGGCAGTTCTAAAACACCTCGGACTCGGCGCTTCCCCCCTCTAGAGCAAGGTGTTCGCACTATCTTTCCGTCCGGAATCATGCACGGCTCGCGATCATGATCGGGAAGCAGCAGAGTGACACCGGGTGATAGATTGTCTAACGCGCAAAGGCTTCGAGCATCCCCCATTTCCGGTCCACGACTGGACCAGACGCTGTCATTGCTGCGAGGGTCCGGTGCCAAGTCCTTCGAAGACGGTGTCTCACCTGTCGCGGACTAGCCAAACGCAGGCAATCCTGCCATCCCGCATGCTGCATTGATTGCCCGCCAACAATGTCCAATCCACTTGGCCCTGACATCGACGCCACGTCAAGGTCACGCCTAACTGCCACGGATCTCCCTGACAGCTCACGCTCTGGAAAGGGCGAAGAGGAGGCGTGTGGGACAACAGTACCGACCAGGATAATGCGCTTACTAGCAACCCCTCCCGCGCGCGCGATTCCACATCCCCCCTGCTCGTCTCTGCTTCCGCCCATTCGTGCCCATCTTCCTCCCGCGCTAGGCTTTCAAGGTCGTAAAATGGGCCCCAAGACGCTGGAAACTTCTCAAATCCCCAACCCATGTTCCTTACGGCAACGGCTACGTGCATGTTTGGACTTTTGCCGGAGCCATCTCCAGCCCGACTTTGTTTGACGGAGAGCAAACCTGCAGAAACAAAGCCCTGCACGAAAAGAGGATAAGAAAAAAAAAAAGAAACGATTGTCCTCTAACTCGTCTTTTCAAGCCTCCGCCCCCGGGATCGAGTTGTTCCGCCGCAAGTCGCAAGCTCCGAGTCGCGAGTCGGAGGTCGCAAGTCGGGGAGGTCCCAGTCGTCCCCCCGGTGTTTGTCGGTGACATTCTAGAGGCCGATCCTCAACATCTGCTCCCTATAGGTGGCCTCGAGTAGCCCAACGTGGCTCTCCATGAGGCGAAGTGGTGGCGCCGGGCATCGAGGCAGGAATCCGTATCACCATTGCTTGTATGTGTGTGTGTGCTGTCGTAGGCCTTCAATTGCCTCGGCGGGCCGGAAAGAATTCGACCACGAACCCTAGTCGTTTCGCTTTGCTTTGCTTTAGCCTTTCCTTTCTTTTTTTCGGCTCTCGCTTTATTTTGGGTGGGAATTTGGACCCATGCCACCTCTCTTCCCTGCAAGCTTGGGTCATACCCTACTACCTGTACCTTACAGAGCTCTGCTCGACTTGTCTGGCTCCTTTGTTTCCTTTTTTTTGTGGAATATTGGCTGTTGGTCTTCCAGGGATGACCTCTGTTGCTTCTAGCCACTCTGCTTCGGCATGGTCTCGTGCACTTCCTTGGGCAGCTGTCATGTCCTGCAAGCTTCGTCTGGGGTTTGGTGGGTTCTTTATAATACAGAATGTCGCCCATTTGATATCGTCCATGGCTTACTGAATTCTTTTTGGCCTTTCATAAGACGTGTCCTTCAACTCTCTCCATTGGCCTTTCCCTACTGCTGTTGTGCTTCAAGACTGAAGGCACGTCCTTTTTGCTTCAGCCCTCACCTTTGTCGTGGCCACCGAGCTATTCCTTCGAATCGTATCGTATCTTGCTTGGGGATCCTGGCTTGGCTTCTACCCGGACGTGAGAAGCGATAGCTTGGCTAGATCGAGCATAATACACCATGAGCGGCTTCTCCAGGCGCAGCGAGGGAAATGAAAACTATCTCATGAACCCATCGATGGCAGTTCCTGGTACCTACAGTCACCCAGATAGCCATGAGTATGGCGGAGCAGGATCTGGCACATATCACTTTCCCCAGCATTCGTTCAATCCATACGGAAACCAGTTCAGCCCTTCATATGGGCAACAGTCGAGTCTTTCTCCGGGAATGCAGCATCTACAGTATGCATCGGAGCATACGATCCCCTCGATGTCTACCACGGAGGATATGAGACTTCACCATCCTCCCCCGCAGTACATTACTCAGCCCCGCTATCTACAATCTCCGAGGTACCTGCCGCTGCGTGATGCTCTTGGTGAGACGGATATCGAGAGTCAAGAGTCCCGGAACGAGGGTACAATGCTCTCAGAGCCCGTGGTGCCCGCCCTCGATGGGTTCCCAGATGTGAAAGAGTTCGATCAGCTCATGCAGAGGTTTGTGGAGTCTACTATGAACCCTACGAGATCTTTCCCCACAAATTATAGGTGCTGATATTGTATTCCTTACCAGCTATGTGGACGACCTCTCGGTGAAGAAACAGGATAAGGCATTGATTCATGCCAAAAGAGCGCGAAACATTCAGACTGTGTTGAGGGACCCGAAGGATACTGCAGTCGAGTCTGCTCAATTTCGGTTGGTTTTTTCTTTTCTTTTCATCTTGAAAACGCAAGCAGTAGTACTGACTAAAATCAGGTTTTGGGTCAAGAAAATGTTCAAGCTCCAAACAATCGGTGTTGGAACGACAGATGTAAGATTTTCCTCCGGTTTGGTTGTCAACACACAGATCTAACGAGACATCTCAGTGCGATAAAATGATTTGCCATGAAGGGAAGCCTGTGGCCATTCGGGAAAAATTGTTCAAGATCCTCACCAAGGCACATCAGCAATGCCAGCATGGCGGTCGTGACAAGACTTCGGCACAAGTCCGACGGATATACTCATGGTGAGTGCACCGGCATCGTATGACCAATTTAAACCGTAGCTGTTGAACATACTAAGCTTCTGTCAGGGTCCCAAAAGAATTGATCTCTCGGTTCGTCAAAATATGTCCGACTTGCCAGGTCCGAAGAGGAGGATCTCGTCTGACGCCACCAAATTCCCGTCGAGGCTCGCCCCGACTTGAGATGGTGTCCCGATCTCCCAAGCTCCCGTCACCACCGGTCATCAAACGGGAATCATCATACGGAGGACAATCCTCTCTGGACCGAGCCCAGACAGAATATCTTGGCCAATTTCACGGCCACGGCGGGTGGATAGACAGCCATCAGAGTCTCCAGGGTCGTCCTTCCCTGAACTCCGGAGTTCGATCTTTCCCAGGGCCGATGAACGGCCTCTCGCACTCAATCTCTGGAGCCATGGATCCATTTTCCACTGATATGTCAGTGCCACCGTCTCAATTGAGTTATACGACGGGATATGTCCCATCCCACGGGGCCCCAAGTCAACGGGGCTTTTGATCATCCCCCCAGGAGCCATGGTAACTCACAGCGTTGCTCGGGTCGAGTAGAAAAGGCCCCGTTTCCACTTCTGTATCTTGATCTCGTTCATCTTGGTTCTAAACTTGCTGGTCTGGTCTTGCAAAAGCGTTATTCTTTATTCTACAATGTCCCTGGGGAGTGAACACCACCTCCCACCTCCCACCCCAAATACGCTCATATGGCTCGGTCCCCCAAAAAAAGGGTGCTCAGAGGTCGATGGAAAAAAGATAGGATCATGACAAAAAGCTGATACGAAGCAGTAGACATGGTTATTATAGTACGAAGATAACTCGAAATTACAATAAATGAAACTTTACGGCTGGGGAAATGAGCAGATCGAGCTAAGAATAAAGCAGCCATTGTCATGTATTAGAAACCATTATCAAGATGTAGTCGCAGTCTCATTACTCTTCGAAAATAAACAGTTGAGCATAGAATAACAGTGTTGGTTACAAATACAAATGAATGAACCAAGTCAAATGCTGGCAAACTTGCCCTCGAATACGTTTGCAGAAAGCAGTTCCTTGTGAGCGGCATCGTCAGGTAAATGTCCATTGCTCTTTTCCTCTCGTTCAACCGTGTTCTCTTTGATTTGTCTTTATCAACGACCAATAGCGCCATGCCACCGCTCGTTATGATAGCCCCTTTCCTCTTGACATGGGCCGCCGGGTAAATGAGCAAGTCGAGGTCATACTCCCGGAAAGGGTTGAGGAAATTGGCAACGATGGGGACTGGCACCAAGTAACCTGAAAGCGTCATCAATTCATAGGCTGACTCCGAAGCGATTGTCCGGAGCGGTGCTGTATAAAGCTAGGGACATGATCGTTTCGTGTATTATCTTGGGGGGGGAGGCGGGCGAGCTTCCAAGCTGCATCCGGAAAACATCAAGGAACAACCAATCCACGTGAAAAAGATTCACCGGCACGTATACCCTCCAATCGGGGGTGGCAGAGCGTCCTCCTAATATTCTCGCAGGCATGGGGGATCCTTTCTAGACGGGAAGGGAGAACTTCTTTCCCTTCAGGACCCTGTTTCAAGTCAGCAAGTCAGCAAGCTTTGCACATGGACAAATATAGATGATTCCAGGCCACTTACTTGTTGTAGTAGATATAGAAAAAGTCCGAGTAGAGCAGAGTCTGAACGATACCAGCAATGATGGGAACCGGCTGGAAGGATCGCTGGAAGGAAGCCTCGGTGAAGTATCGGTAGATCCAGTTGGGAATATAGAGCGCTCGGTACACGCCCAGGGCAAAGAGATAGTGGGTGGTGATCGTGTCCGCTTCTCCCGTACGCTGCAACATGAACAGCTGAGGCAGAATTGCGACCGACTCCAACCAAATCGAGAAAGTCCAAAGGATCTAGATATCATTTAGTCGAACATCCTGCCTGGGTTTAGGCTACCGCCCGCAAATCTGGCAGCCAAATTGACACTGGCGCATTGGCACGAACCTCGGAGAGTCGATAATCGTGGGGGAACAGCAACGCCAGGATCACACTGATTCCAAGCAGGTACTGGACCTTGAAGGTATCGATATTGGGATCATGAGTGGGTTTGTAGTCGTTCAGCATCAGATAGATGATGTAGGCAGAAGAGCCGATGAAGAGCAGCTTGAATGTGGTAAGGTACAGCGAGTCCGTAAAGGTCCAGAACAGATCTAGAGATCAAGGGATTGATTCCACCCGTTAGAAATAATCGATTGGACAGGGAGTAGGATTGATATACGCGCACTCACCCAGATAGCGTGTGACAAAGACCAGGAAGTAGAGTGCTTGCGACTTGAAGGACAATCCGGAACAGCTCTGCGATGACGTTAGTATGAAGGCGGAAGCGCGGACTTCGGGAAAGACGTACGCTGGACGACTTCATCTTCTGGAGAAGAATGAAGATAGATGCCAGGTGGGAGAAATCGGCTGTATAAAAAGTTTAGTATATCTCCAACATCGCGGTGGTCACGCGGTCGGGTGGTCTGGCTCACCTAGTAGCCTGAAGATATTCATGGCGACGGTTGGAGCGGTAGCTCAGCGAGAGTGACACGGGAGATTGTACAAGATGGATATTCGAATCCGAACTGTGAAGAGGAGGAAAAAGACAATGGGAAATAGGGGAGAATGGGGGAGGGGTGGAAGGGAGGAAGGGAGGAAGGGTGAAAGAAGGGTTTCGATCGCGGATTGCGGAATCGGGGAGTTTGGAGTTGTTGACACGAAAACCAGAAGCCAAGCAAGCGGGCTGCCGATCATCAGGTACGGGAGCCAAGACTTTTCGGGTTTACCAAAATAGGTGGGTTTAGTTATATACTTCAACCCTCGTTTTCTAATTATTGAAGTGATCTGATGATGATAATTGTAGAAGAAATAAATACGATCATGTTTCAAAGTGGAAAAGAGCGCGAAATAAAGTCAGTCTTGAAATACTGCAATATTGTACAATAACCATGCCATTGCCATGTCCCATGATATCAGAAATACCCACCAGCCGTTTCCCAGGGAATAATAATAGACTCCACCCATATGAAACCACTGTGAAGAAGTAACGAAAAGGACAAAACACATTAAAAGATAGGAGAAGAAACGTCAGAATAGAACGCCACCTCCAATGCTGCTCTCCTCGGCCATACGCTGTAGGTGGCCCTCCGCCAACTCGCTCTTGAGAGCACAGATGGAACTCTCTCGATCCAGCCGATCCCAGTCGCGCAGCCCGGCTCGTTTGGATCTTTGAGTCTCCATCACCTGTTCGAGGAGCTTCTCTCGATCAGTTTCAAGCTGGAGAAGACGCTTTTCCGTTGCGGGATCCAGCGTCGAGGGGAAGACCCTCCCGCCCGGGATAATCGAGCTTAACCCAGCAAGATGGCTCGGACCCTTCGGTCCCGTCGGTAGATTGGCAGATGCCACACTGTGTTGTCGAGTACCTGCATGTCGATAGTGACCTCCTCCCCCTCCCGTTACGGGCGATGAGAAGGAGGCACGTGGCCCAGAGGGCACACCGTGTGCCGCTGGCGCTGCAGGCGGTCCACGGCGCGCCATAGAAGCACCAGCCCATGGGGCGTCTCGCGAGCCGGGCCCACGACGGGGCCGGGTGGGAGCAGACAACAAAGACATATTGTGAGGGCCTCGATTAGGCCCAGGAGCGGCCACCTTGAGCCCCTGTGAGGGCCCCGAGGGTGGGGCTGGATGGATCCCAGCGTTCCTTGGTTGTGTAGGAATATTGCCAGGTGATCGACCACCGCCCAATTGACCTAGATCCGGGCCTGCCTTTTCTAAATTACGAGCAAAATCATCCTGCGACCTTCGAGGCCCTAGGGTCTCCGATTGACGATGGGGATCTCGGTACGGGGATCGGCCCCGGGGTCCTGGTGGCGGTCGAAGGGAGGGGGATTGCCGAACAGGGGATCGGCTGCGACTGCGAATAGAGGTAGTACCGGTTCGGTCAGGATGGATAGAGGGAGAGGATCGTCTAGACGTGGCGCTAGATTCGGGTGCAGCAGCAACGTGGGCAGGTGAAACTTGTCTGGACCGTGACACTGGTCGCGCTCTTTTATCGGCATTCTGTTCTCGGCGAGGGGCGTCGGCCGAACTCTGTGAGCGGAATACTAGCGTCGGTTGGGCATCTGTAGGTATAGCTTGTGTAGGTCTGTCGTTGTCGGGAAGAGGAGGTGACGTGTGTCGGGCGCTTCGAACATCTTGACTCGCCGGAGTGGGATCCCGGGTCCGCCGTGGGCTGCCGCGCCCTCGAGATAGATCGCGCGGCCTGCCCTCGTTGTATGCAGGAGATCGAGACCGCCAAGAAGGAGGCGGAGGCGATCGGGGTCGATCATCTCTTCGCGGCGAAAAGCGTCGTGGGGGAGACCGCCGTCTACCATACGACCCTGGTCCATACCCTCTACCTTGGAATGGAGGCGTTCGGGAGCGGCGTCGATACTCGGGTGAGCGACTGCGTGGACGTCCATATGTTCGATTTGATGGTACCCAGGTGTCAGCCCGTGGACGTGAGCGATTTCGTGGCGGGGAGCGTCGACGGCCTTCGTATCCTCGAGAGGACGATCGGCCTGGTCGTTCGGCTGGTCGATAACTTTCTCCCCCGCGGCGGTCGTCAAATCTATAATGCAGTGGTGAGAAAACGGCGTGATATGATAGCAGACAGTGCCGCCACTCACCTTCTGCGATCCCAATCCATCACTGGGTGATACGTCGATCAATGGAGCATTGGAAAGCGAAACTGGAACGCGAGTCTTCGCGATCGCTGGAGACTTGAAAGTTGAAAGACGGAGTGCCCAGCGGAGGCTAAACCGCTTTGGGACGGAGACAGCGGGCGGAAAAGAAAAGGGAAAGCGGTGAATCCATTCCTTGGATACATGCCAACGAGTGTCCTTCCAACTGCTGTCTCGCAGCTATAATTTGTATTAGATATTCTTCTCGTTGGAGATTTTTCACGAGTTGAATATATGGATTACTGACACTTGGTTCTTGGAAGAATCCTCGTAGGACGGATGAGATGGCATTACAGAGAGACACACTACCTAGCCCATATTTAGATCGATGGCTGATAAGAGCATGTCCAGGTCAATGGGGTTGCAGCAGAGGCATAGATGATGGATGGAATTATTGGTTTCATAGAAGTACAAAGAGCGACCAAAAGAAAACGGGTTGCCTCAACGTTTGCCTCGCCGCTCTTCTTCCTTGCGTATTCTCTTTCGACTCTCCTGTGCGATCATGTCGCTAAGATCTTCCTGGAATCCCCACTGGGGCTGATTCTGCTGCTGCCGTTGTGTTTCGTAAAGATCCTGGAGACGTTCCTTGCTGAGTCCGTCCCCAGACTGAAGCGCGTCCAAATCAACCGATACCTCCACATCGCCAGGCTTCTTTCGCTTCCGGGTCTGGTCATCCACGCCTAGAACGGCATGGGTGCCCGCTGACGATGCGAGATCGTAGGCTCGATCGCCGCCAAAGAATCCTGAGACGCTGGTCTGTTTCTCGGGAATCACCTGGTATGCACTGCGAGGATGAACGGACTCCTCGGTTTCGGTTCCGCGGTGATGTTTGCGAACGTCAAATTCACCAGATACACTTTCCGTGGTTCCGAACTCGGATGGCATCGCGGAAGCCATGCCACTGGGGGTGTCTAAGCCGCCGGGAGAGTGAATGCCCGTTTCTCGCTCCTCGTCAACCGCATCCTCCTCCTCCTCAGATCCCTCTTCCTCGTCCTCTTCCTCGTCACTTTCCTCTTCCCCTTCGGACGCCTGTAGTTCACCCCAAAGATCTTTCTCAACGGGTTCTCCTTGTTGCGCATTTTGCTGGGGTTGTAGCACACCAAAGATATCACCTCCGTAAAGCGGTCGGTTATGTTCATCGACAGGCGGTTTACCATAGCCTCCAGGATGGTATCCCCACATTGCACCTGGTGGTGGAGGCGCATTGAGGCCCGGGATTTTCAAAGCAGGATATGACGGAGGAGGTCCGAACCGTTGCTGGTTGATGAGCCAAGGGGGCGGAGCCCCAGGGGGCATATTGAGCGCCTCTTTTAGCTCATCACTGAGTTCGCCGGGGCGCAAGTGTCTAAGGTTGGTCTCGTGCTCCTTTCCTTCATAGTAAATTTCGCCGTATCGGGTCAGCTCGGGCTTGGTTTGAAAGCGGAAAAAGGCCTCGTATAGTTTCTGGTAGTCGATGTCTAATCGACCCATCTTAGGCTGAACCCTCTCCCGCTGCTTCTGTTTCAAGGTGGATTGCTCCTGTTTTTCCAATGCAGCATCACGCATTTCAGCAATACCCGTCTCCTGGATGAACTTGGGAAGAGCAAAGGGGGCTTTTTCGACTCCTCGTTTCGAGGACAGATATTCACGCTTGAGAGACCAGTGTGTCGGAACGGGAACCACATTGCGATGGGCTTTGATATGGACCAAAAGGCGTGGATCGTTGGCGGACGTATCCGTCCATTCCACAATATCAGGTTTGGAGACCTGGGCCTTGAGTTCAGCCACGGATAATTTGTTCAGCTCCTTTCGCTTCTTCTTGGACAGTTTAGGCTCGAGCTCTTGCTCCTCATCGGGGATCTCATTCTCGTCGTCAAAGTAGACTTCCGGCTTCTCAGCCTCTTTAGTTGTAGCATTTTCCCCGGGCCCTTCGTCAAACCTGCTAGCGAGACCTTTGTACATCTCCCAGAGCGGGTCATCTGGCACGGGAACGACGGGAACGGCTGGAGTCTCCGGTACATCTTGGGTGGTAGTGGAAGGAGGAGATGCTTGCTTGTCAGCCTCTCCATTTTCCTCGGCGGTCGTACTGGGGGTCTGGAAATTGTGAGCATCTTTCTCGAAAGTGAGAGGCGATCGACTCACCTCGGCCTTCAGAGCCTTTTTGCGAGCTCTCCGGAGCTGATTCTTATTAGGCTTCGTGGCAGAAGGCATTATGACGACTGGGCGACCTTGATCAAGAGAATGTGATGCGTCCCAGTGCCGATACTGTCAGTTCGATGCGGTTGTCGCGCGACGGGCGCAGGACTGGAGAAGTTGCGGGAACGTGATCAAGGATCGCCAAGCTGCGGAAGGCGAGGCGGTGATTGGCTTCCGAGGCAGACCGCCCTGGCGCATCCTCCAGCTTATGATCAGTTAATCGTTGGATTTTGGACTATATGTTTTGGGGGGGGGAGAGAATTCTCAAGTTCACAATATACTCTTCTGTTGGAGAACAATTAAGTCTTTCTGGCGACTCATTTACCAAGCTTTCAGATCAAGTATCTTCAATGACTAATTGGACGAACGCACCAGTAGGTCAACTACCGACAACGCAACCTTGATGCTTAATGGGCGGAGGTTGTTCAAGGCAGGGTTTTACCCCTACAAGCTTGTCATAAGGATGATCATGCAAAGTAAAAAGGGATTTGAGCTTAACATTGGGTTATTTTCCACAATATTTACCAACATTAGGCAAGTCCTCGAAATGCGGCATTTACCCAATCATCTCAAGATGCGGATTCGGATTAGAAAAAAAGAAACCAACTGTGATGCTAATAAAGTGGGTAATTCTATAATACATTTTGGGGGGTGAACGGGGTATGAACCATCATCAAGTCACCGAGGGCTGACCCAGTCAGTCACTATCGTCGAGATGTAAGAACAATGTTCACTGGGTCGCCGGGGTACCCCAGTCCCGAGACGAGATGCAGACAGTTATCTCTCTCTGCTGGCCATTCCGCAGGGTGTTCGGTGGTAGATGGGAAGAGAATTCTATTTCTTCTTCTTGGCGGATCTCGATTCTAGGAGAGAGACAAAAGACTGTCAGCGGACACATGGAACCTTTTAGTTCGCCAAAGACCGGCGAGCCTTACCAGCAGCAGTCCTCTTCTTCTTAGGTCGACCCTTTCCTCGTAGTTTGGCACTACACGCATCAATCAGTATGAGCTGGTAAGATCACAAAATGTATAAGTCCACGGACACTTGAATGGCCTCTTCTCGATCATCCTCCGCCTCGTCAAACGTCGTTAAACCCAGGGGCTTGTAGGTGTTCTGGAGATCTCGGAAGGAGACCGTCTTCTTCGGGTACCATGCTGCAAGTGCTGGGCCACGGAGACGTTGCCGCAAGATCTTATTGCCGAGTCGGAGCCGTTGTGGGTTGAAGTTCAAGGAGAAGATGCGACATTGTGTCTGGTCCATGGGTCAGCACACATTTCCTTCGGTCAGGGCTGAGAAAGACACGAGCGATATACCTTCACCAGATCAAGTATTCGGGATTGCGACATCGCCACGGCTCGGTCACGTCCCTTTGATGGCTAACGGATAGACGATGAGGTCTGGCGGACTGCGGAAAGAAGCACCCAACTTGCGGCTTTGCAGTCAGGTCACGTGCATGTGGCTTTGCGGGACCCACTCTGTTCCTCCACGCCGCTTTTGCAGCTTCGACGGCTTCGGCTTCACAGCTCGTGCTGGGGCAAAAGATCACCGAGAGCTAAGCAATGGGGAGTAAGCGATCAATCACGGCTCCCGGGGCAAGCCATATTGCCGGTCAGCCCTCAAAACGAGCCAAGGTGTGTCTATCGTTGATATGCAATCACTTTTGCGGTATCTTTCTGCTCGCTTTCCCGTCGGTGCTACGTTATATCTTGTTATTGAATCTTCAGCTAACAGACTCTTCGATGGAGATTGACCACTTGCAAACGAGGGATGTGGCTGCTGCAAAACTTCCGACCTTGATAAGGGAACCCGACACCAATTCCCGTCTATCTTCTTTAAAATGTCTAGTTCGAGATGTCATGGCCGATCCTGAGGTCGCGACAGCTAATCCCGATGTCATGGGGGCCCTTTCAAGGCTAGACGAAGCGCTCCAATCTCTCCCAACGTTTCAACATCCGCCCACGAGCGGCTCAGAGGCTTTTCGAAACCAGAAGACCAGTGGCCTCTCACCGTTCTCAGAGGAGAGCGAACCTCAATTGCCTAGGCCACCTGCCATTCTCGATGATCAATTGCAGAAGGCAGTCTTTACGCACTCCGCATGTAGCGGCGATAGCAATTCAAATTATGACCGACTGGAGATACTGGGTGATGCCTACATCGAACTGATCGCAACGAGGTTGGTTTGGCAGAGGTTCCCAGGCATACCGGCGGGTCGGATCTCTCAGATTCGTGAACTTCTGGTCAAGAACGATACGCTTGCAGGCTTTGCGGAGGCATATGGCTTTGATCGTAAGGCTTTGGTTCCCGCGAACTACTCGGATCAGTCCAAGCGATGGATCAAGACCAAGGGCGATATCTTCGAGGCCTACGTAGCTGCGGTCATACTCTCTCGTCCTGAAGGTGGAGGATATGAGCTTGCAGAACAATGGCTGACTAGCTTATGGCTGCCTAAGCTTAGCGGTCTCGGCCACCAGAAAGCCAGCTTGCGCTCGAAGGAGGCTCTAGCCCAGCAAGTCATGGCCAGGAACGTCAAGCTGGAGTATCTTGAGGAGCGTCAATCGATCCAGAAAAAAGGTACTGGTACCCAAACGTTTTTCATTGGGGTATATCTCACGGGTTGGGGATGGACCAAGAGACACCTCGGATCAGGACAGGGTTCAAGCAAGGCAGCAGCGGGTGATGAAGCAGCACGGAGCGCCTTACTAAACACATCCTTGATCGCAGAAATAACTGCTCGGAAAAGGAGAGATCTCTCATAAGAGGGGAATTGGCCACAATGGAGTGCCTATTTTTCAATGTCTTCACTCCGGCACATCAAGACGAAGGGGAGGATAACAGTCTTCACTTTATAATCATGAGTCGGCCTTGTCACTAAGGAAATCTTGTTAGGCGCTAGCGATTCTACAGATACCCTGGGTTTGAGATCAATGAACACATGACATATGTCGAAAAAAGTCACCTACTGTTTCAACCAAAGTTGGCTCCGCTACTTAACCACGGTAGCTTTGTATCAAAGATAATATCTAACAAAATGTCACCGTCTTCTTTGATCTGGCTTATCCTGTGTTCTTGAAGTCACGGTTGATTACCGCTCTAAAACCTACAAACCGACCGAAAAGGCCCCCACTTACCCTATAAGAAACTTGCTTGATCTCACGTTCCAATCTTGAGATATACGTACGGTGGGCTCCACTAGCCAACCATTAATCTGGGGTACAGTAAGTCAAGCATAATTCGAAGGAGGCCTCGTCACTTAAGCTTCACTTTCTTCCCGTCTCTATCACCTAGCCTGGCCCTAAGCGCTTGGCCGTCATCAAACAATCAATCAATCTTAGCCCTTAGTCTCGAAGTGCGGTTGTAAAGATCATAGTATAGTGATCACTGAATTTAGTGCCTTATATAGGATTGTATCCATAATAAGGCGCTTACTATTACACTAGAAGATATATCTCCATCGGACGTCATCCGTGATGAAGACAATAGGCCACGCATACTGAAGCAACCAAGAATCCTTCAGGGCGTTGACGGCAAGATTATTTTCATAACTACAGGAACTGATCACTCCTTCATCATCACAGAGTCTGGGCACGCTTATAGCTGGGACTTCAACGACCAAAGTTAGGCTGGAGAGCCTGGTCTTGATGAAGTAGTGTCGTGGAAAAGTGGAGCCGTATAGTATATGGCTTTAAGGCGATATAACCTTTAAGTATATGCTTGCAACCCTATCACAAACCGACAGTTCTTTCAATCCCGCATCTCGTTAATAATTAGACATTTTAGAGTCTCTTACCTGGACGTATGTATGTTCTCTTTTTTCATTCATTCGAAACCCCTGAAACTCATCATAAATACATCGTAAAGATTTGGCGATTAGAGGAACTATACAGCGCTCCACCGCCACAGTCCACCGGTCAGCAATTCCCCACGAAAACTCAAATATCACCAAGGAATTCCTTTCTTGATTTCAATGCGGGGCATCCTATTTGATGGTGCAATCTTCAGCCGGGTTCATTTAAACATCGAGTATGGAAATTTGACAAGAAAGTCTTGCAACAATCTACTCTCTGCCTAGTATGTGGCTAATGATTGGTCGTGCGAGTAAATACGGGACGTCAGACAGGAGTGGAAGATCGGGACGAAGATTCTTTTTGTTAGGGACGCTGATGAGGATCACTACTAATACGGTGTATGTTTCCAGCCCACGACGGGCCCCTAATAGGGGGCCATGAAAGCCCGTTCTTATATAAAATCAAGGTCTTAGCGCTTATAAGACTACTTATAGCTTATGAATAATATCCGTAATTATAGACTTTACTCTTATTTTTACTATCATGTTATAAGTAAGCAGTAAGCGAATAGGAAGTTGATTGAATAGGCAAACCTATAGTATATAGCTATATGATATGATGAAATTTAATGGTGAAAAGTAGGTGAAAAGTAGATGGTAGGTAGTTAAGAGTAAATTCAGAACTAGGATTTAAAACTATTTAACAGAGATCTGAGGAGGTATTTTACTCAATTTTTCAGTAGTAATAGGTGGCAATAATAAGAAGCGATGATCTTAGTATAGAATTATATAGTTCTATCTATAAAATAATATAGAAATCTATATAATTCTATTAATTCTATATAATTCTATATGATTCTGTTAGATTCTATATCTAGAGTTCTATTCTATCTATATATAATACTCCCCCTTAATTAAGGGATTTATTAAGGGTGACCCTATTCGTACGATATCGATTCCCTTCCCGCACGATATTTTGCCTGATTTCTATAAAGGGATATTTATTTTAATATTCTTTATTAAGCTATTTTAAGAATTCCGGATAACTAAGCGGGAAGAACTAATATATTACACAAGCGAGCCGTATATATAAGCTAGCTATATACCCTATCTAAAATCGCGTCTCTCTAACTACCTACCTTCTTTAACCACCTATAATACCACTAATCCGCTCTGAATCTCGGTAGAATCTAGCTAATTAAGAGGGTAAGATCCTATTAGCCCTTAACGATATTAGAAACGGCTATATTTAATCTATTCGTGCGGTAGCGAAGCTATATGAAATACCCTATATAACCTTAGCCGGTCACGCTAAAGGTGTTAAGGAAGTATCTACTTTACAGGGTAGATGGCCTATCAACTAGGTAGGAGAGGAAAGCACTAAGTCAGATTGAGATAAAGACTGTTTCTTAAGGAGCTTGAATCCCACTCCTTAAGCATCAATTTAAATACATCATCTTTTGTGCAAACAGGAATCAAACACGAAGTAAGGGGGAAACCATGGCGAAAGGCCACCGTATGGCTAACGTATGGTATATACTATAGGCGTGGCCTGTATATAGCGTGGCTATCGTATATCGCGGCCGAGGGGCCACCGGCTGACCGCCGGATGGCTACCGCCTTAGCAGAACCCTTGGTCTACGTATGCCTAAGGCCCTAATATTAGTGTGTAAATAGTCTTATCGAAATACTATAATAATTATCCCCCCTCTAAGGACTCTCTCGCCCTCGAGAGAAATCGATATATAGAAAATAAATAAACGCCTAAAAAGGGGACGTATTAGTTAAAATAGAAACTAAACGTAGTAAACGTGGTAAACGTATAGGCGAGTAAATAAAGATAGTACGTTTCCTTTATTAACGTTAGTAACGCTTCTTCTCCTTCTTACTTCTTATCCTCTTCTTCCTCTACCTCTCTCGCTCGTTAGCTTCCTTTATATTAACGCGCCTCTTCGCCCTCGAATCCCTACCTATATTTTGCCGAAAACCTTACGATACCGCCGCGAATCCGGCCTCTCTTAGAGAATCCTATTATTATAGGGATTCTCTAGTATATATACTATCTTCGGACCGCGCTTACTAAGTAGGACCCTACCTATAACGACTAGCCTATCTAGATCGAATATATCCGCGACGCTAAAGCCTCGGTAATATATTAGTAGTATTCCGCTTATAATACTTTATACTTTCCGGTAGGTTTCGCTAAATCTTCTTAAGAGGATAAGACTAACGGCTATAGGTTATAACTACTATAATAGGAGATAGCTACGACCTAGCTATTATTCTTTTATAGGCGCGTGAAATATTTTAGGTAGGATAGATAGACTTAAGCGACCCTAGAAGCTTTATAGACTAGCTATTTCCTACGGAAGCCTATCTAATTATCGCCGGATTAATATAGGACCTATATTAAGCTTTTAATATTTCGGAGTAGGCTTACCGTAAGAAGTACTCGCTAATTAGGAGTAAGACCTAAATTAAGGTATACTTCCTCTACTTCCGTTTATACGTATACTAACTAACGTTTCGGTAGTTAACCTAAGCTAACTACGATACGCTTCTCTTCGGCCGTCGTACTACCCTTCCTACTATCCCTACCCCCGGTCTCCTTAATACTTCGGAGTAGAAAGCGGACTATTTTAATAAGTAGCTTCTTCGTCTTTACCCTAGAGATAAGGGATATATTACTTAGACTCTAGCGAAATAGGTCTTTTTCGATAAGATTTCGAGAGTAATTCGCGAGGCTTAGGATAACCTAGACTCCGATAATAATAATAATACCTCTATAGATAGAGATAAGGTAGCTACCCTTATAATAAAGGACTTCCCCGTCTTTATAGAGACTAAGATCTAGGTACTATTACCCTTCTACTACGGATTCTACTAGATTTCTTTATTATTTCCTCGTTCTTTTAGTAGCCTATCTATACTAGGGTACTTCCTTAGCGGGACTTAGTAAGGTCCTACCCTTAAGGCGCTTTATAGCGGAGGGATTATCTTATTTTAGCTGTTATTTTAGTAACCTTTTACTACTTATCCTTTAGATTTAATCCGGTTTTACCCTTCTTTCTCTTTTAGTAAGACTATATAGCTTCTATAATATTACCTATATCTTCCTAGGGGACCTATTAATTATATTTAGAGGGCTATCCCTTCTACTTCACTAGAAAGTAAGTTTCGCTATTAATAGTCTTATCTTCGCGAACCTCTTCTATCTTATATTTATTATTATCCTCGAGATCGGGTATCGGTAGGAATTCGTGGTTAGTCCCGTTTAGTTTCCGCTATAGTTCGAGAAGAGATATATAAAAGATATTATAGATTCGATTATACTACTAGGGTAGGCTTAGGCGGTAAGCTTATTTACTAATAGCCTATAGGATTCGGAAGGATCCGATAAAATAAGGGGCTAGCTTCTTACTTCCCTTTAACCTTAGATTCTTAGTTAATAACCCTATAAGATTACCTTTCTTAAACTATATTAGTTAGTAGTTTTTATTATAGTATTTCGCTATTAATTTATTAGCTTTTCGCTAGTTCTCCTATAATCTCTCTCGGAGTACTTCGAGCTTTTTAATTTATACGGATACCGCTAGGACCTCTCCTAAGGCTAATTCGCCCTTAAATCGGTATTAGAAGCTAGGCGAATAGCCTATTAAAGCTTAGAAAGGGAAGAATTTTATTATTAAGTTAACTATATTATTATAAGCGTATTCTACTAACGTAAGTAGGTTTAGCTATACCGTTTAGCTTTCGCTAATAAAGTATCGAAGGTAATATTTAAGGGTTTAGTTAACCTACTCCGTTTAGCTATCGGTTTATAAGTAAAATATAGTCGAAAGCCTAAGGCGTACTTTAAATATATAATAAAGACTTAACTAGAATTTACTAGTAAAGACCGGCCCTCGGTCGGAAATAATACCCTCGGGCGGTCTAAAACGTAACTCTACGGAGTTATAGAATAATTCGGTANTTAAGAGGATAAGACTAACGGCTATAGGTTATAACTACTATAATAGGAGATAGCTACGACCTAGCTATTATTCTTTTATAGGCGCGTGAAATATTTTAGGTAGGATAGATAGACTTAAGCGACCCTAGAAGCTTTATAGACTAGCTATTTCCTACGGAAGCCTATCTAATTATCGCCGGATTAATATAGGACCTATATTAAGCTTTTAATATTTCGGAGTAGGCTTACCGTAAGAAGTACTCGCTAATTAGGAGTAAGACCTAAATTAAGGTATACTT